TGATGGGAACAACAAATCCAATTTGGGCTTGCTGGAGACAAGCCCCAAGTGAAACCATGAATAGGGCGACTCTGGATGAGCTTAAAGCCAACCAAGAATTACTGATACTGTCTAAGCAGTAGCTGATGCTGCCTTCAGAAATGGAAGGCTGCTGGTTGTGATCCTAATGATTACCAGTAATGCAAGAGAAACTGGAAAGAGGTTTCTTTCCCAGCTCAAACAGGAAATGCATCTTCATTCTTATTTTTACCCTCCATTTTTCCTACAGTTTTCTTTCCTTGTTCTGCTCTCATCTTACTTTGCTCTTTGGGAGCGTAGAGAACATGGAGAACTCTTTACTCATGGTGGAAAACATGGCTTGGACCCCAACCTCTGAGCTCCGCTGAGAGAAGAAAGGTGCTGGGGGCAGGGTGAAAAGCAAGTGCCACCCCCAAAACACTGAAGTCCCCATCAAGGTAAAGAGAACTCACAACTGATGATGCTGGAACAACTTCAGCCATAAAGGCAAGGTAAAAAGAGGAATCACTGTTTCAAACACACCCTGCTGTCCCCTGCAAACAGCTTTTTCCCCCTTGATGTTCAGATGTCAATAATTACTATGTAAAACCCACTTCACATTGCAAAGCCTTGGTGCTTCTAGAGTGCCAAGGGAGGTGAAGCCGTTTGTTTCAAGTCCAACCAAACTAAACCAATCATTTAATATCTTTCCTACACTGCTTTCCAACAGCCACCCCCATGCACTCTTGTTTATCGAGGGCAGATACTGTCAGCGGGCTGGCAGGTTTCAGAGTGCTGCAGTGCAGCATGGCCAGGATAATCCTTCCCTCTCCTCTGTGAGTGGAGCCTGGGATGGAAATGCCCAACCAGCCCTGCTAGCGGTGCCAGCAGCAACGCGCTCCCTATCTGCATACACACAGTCGGGCTCTGAGAGGCACCACACATGTGTCCCCAACAGATAGGGGAAAACAGCCACGGGGGCCACAGAAGACTGACTGAAGCTGCCAGCTCTAATGTGTTGAAATGTTGTCATTCCTCTTGTAGGCTGTTAACAAGAAGGCACAGGGGACTTCTCTCCATGGCATCTTCTTAGCTACTTGCTGGGTGGAGAAGATGGGAAAGCGTCTATGTTATAAAAGAAAGGGGTGCCCAAGGTGGTGCCAAGGGTCTCCCCTCTCCAGAAGGTGACCAACAAGGGCAGATGACACCATAGAGAAACACATGAAAAGAATGAGGTCTGCATAAAGAGATGAAAACAGTGAAGGACAAAGCAGCCACCTACTCCACAGCCAACCTTCTCCACGGCCAACCTTCTCCTGCATTAGCAGGAGATACCAAGAGGCATCGCCCGAGTCCAAACAGCGAGCTAAGAAGGCACAGGGGTGCGTTGCTAGAAGTAGCTCCTGAAGGGAAGCCACAGGAGTCAAGTCTTTGCCTCCATGCAAGGTTGCTACTTGCTCCTTTTTCCTCAGCAGGACTTCTCCTTCCTCAGGCAGGTTTTCAACCCCATGCTTTGTTATCTCCTTCCCAGTTCTCCATTGCTATTTTTGATCCTGGAGCTTTCCAGGGGGGTTCTGCAAAACGCTGGAGACACCCAGGGGGCTCCGAGAGCTCCCTCCTGATGTGCCTGGCAGAGCAGAGCCTCCCACTCAACCTTCAGGTGCAGGAGAACTGGCTGCTGCCAGCAAAATAGAAGGGTTTGGGAACTCCAGGAATACCTACGGTACGGCTGGCAGGAGGGCGGATGAAAATAATTGCAGAAAAGAGTGAAAACAGGGCTATTTGCTTTGGCTTCTGTAAGCTTTGTGCTATGGGATAAATTCAAGTTTTTGAAGAGGAAAGGAGAAGAGAGGAAAGAAGCAACCGTCCCTCTGTCCCACTCCTGCTGCCATCTCACCCACAGTCTTGCTTTGATGAGAGAGAGGCTGGCAGGAATCCTGCTTTTCCGAAAGATGATATTAGCATCCAGCGTGCCATTTTGGTGCAGGACTTCTAAGGAGTGCATCTCTGTAGCCCTGCTCTTTGCTGCTTCCCTTCCCTTTATAGCAGCTGCTCGGAGGGATTATTATTAAAAAGAACAAAATAATAATAAAAAAACACCTTCAGCCTCACCAGTTCTTGTGAATTCTGATGGTCACCAATGTCATTATCAGTTATCATGCTGCCCATCACTCCCCTCTTCATGCCAATGAATTTATCACCTGCTAAGACAAGTGTCTCTTGGAGAACTTCCCCCACTCTGCTACCTCCTCTCCCCATACACACGCTCTCCTCCAACAGCAGCTGGAAGAAATTACCAATTCCATTATTTCTCATCCAGAACAGCTTTGCAGTAGATGGGAGAAGCACTGGAGGCTGCAGGCTCGTTAGCACAGGATTTGTATAACAGCCTTCCATTTTATTCACTTTCTGAAATTAGGTGAAGCATGTCTGCCCCAAACCTGTGATTTCTGTTTAATTAAAATGCAGGTAGTAGAATCTCCCCAACGCTGGAGACAAGCACACAATCACATAATGACAGCGACCGGGGAAAATAATGTGCTCGATATAGCAGCGCCTCTAACAGAGGCCTGATTCCAGCCAAGCCGAACGGCACCTCTGGCAGCAGCTGTATTTAGGAGCAGGAGGAGTATCAGTATCCCGAGCCTCCCTGCACGCTCCCTGCCTTTCCAATCACAGCCGCATTCCCCGACAGCTCAACTGTTAAATGAATTAACAAGGCGAGCGGAGGCCTTGCCGAAGGGGCCGCGGTCCCTTCTTAATTTCTGCAAGTGGCGGCGCTCAGTTTTGCTGCCGTTCAGCAGGGGATGTGCGGGGCTGGCTAATGACCGGGGCAGAGCCGTAGCCGGATGGAAACGGGCAACATTGCAGGGATCTGGTCTGCCCAGGAGGCAGGTGAGTGGAAATACCTGGTACAGAGCTCCAAATAGTCCCGGGATGGGGAATAACTGCTACCCACATGAGTGGGGTTTGCAAGCACGCAGGCAGAACACCAAGCAGAGCCTTCATGGGGCCCTTTCACCTCGCTTTGCTGCACCTGTAGCAAACAGAAACCCCTCAGCTTGCACCTAGCCCCTTGCTTCCCCAAGGAGACGGGGAAGCAGATGTTGTTGGTGCCTGGCAAGTTGTCTGCAAGGCTCCTTGAAGGTCTCAAAACCTCTCCCTGTCCCTCAGGCGAAGGGTTGCAGAGCACCAGCACCATGAGGACACAGTCAGTTCTGAAGGTGGAAGCAGAGGTTATATAATAAAGCAAAAAAGCCTCATACAAGTGTGAAGATCTACAGGAGGATCCTACATTCATGTCCTCTGCAGCAGGAACCTGGATTGTCCCTAGCCAAGGTTAAATCCATGATTTCTAAAAGGATCCTCCAAATCATGCCACAGCTTCAGAAATGCCAGCCCTGACTGAGGAGAGAGGACCTCCCAGATATCTGAGTTTTCTTCCAAATTTGCTCCTTTCTGCTCCCCTGCTCCTTGTCTGAATTACGATCAGGAAGATTTGGGCTGTGGGGTTTAAAGACATGATATAACAACATTTTCTTGTTTCCCCAGTTGAATTTATTTGCTCTGTGCATGTATAGAAATGTCTTTGCTGGCTCCATTTGCAGCAGTGAGATATTTAGTTCTGAAACAAAAATACGTTTTGAAAGTAGATACAGTTGGGTCCACTTGGGGCTTTCTTTGCGGTTTGTTACAGGAAGAAGTCGGAGCAGCAGCAAACGAGAAAAAAATGTAAATATTGCCAACTGTTTCTCAAGGATTGTGCTGCTCTGATTAATTTATGACTTTTTCAAAACAAAAAAAGAAAGAAAAAGAAAATGCTACACCATGAAAAGCTGAAGCAGAGTTTAAAAAAAGATGTGCTCCTCCTAGTTTAGAGCAACAGGTTATACAGCGAATACCAATAAAATGAATTAGGTCTGCGCTTGAAAACAAACTTCAAATTTGAGCCTCAAGATAAAAGAACAAAAGGGCAAGCAGTTTTCTTCAGGTCAGTGGAGTGCTCAGCAGGAGGTCTGTTTTAGGCTGGGCTTTATTTTAAGCTCTAAAAGAACTTGCTGCAGACATTGATACTCCAACTAACAAATATTTCAGCACCAGCCTTTCAACAGTTGGGGCCACCATAAATACGGCAGAAGGTGTCGTGGCTGCCAGGAAGACATCAGCTATTCTAATCCTGTGCTTCTCAACAAGCTACTGAGAACAGAGTTGGCTCCAGGCTACGCGGGCTGTGCAAAATCACCTGTTTCACAAAGCACTCAAAGCAGCACCTAGTTAACTGTCTTCTCCTGACTTCTGCCTCCAGCTTTCCGATGCAGGGCTTTTAAATTGATCAGCAAGTTGCACTTCATAAATACAACCTGGATTCATGCACTGGGTCTGCAATAAATAATGGCGAGAATAGTGCCCCAGCAGCCCAACAACTTTGGAGGAGAGGCTGGATGCAGGAGTAGAAGAGTCTGCATTTTCTTGAGAGGACTGCCAAATGATTTGTGGCTCCAAAACTAACATTAAACTGAACACAATGTCGTCTTGACTTCCACAGCATAAAAATATAGCAAGATGTGATGCACAGACACTGTCTCTGCTCAGAGAACTATAAAATAAAAGAACCGGCTTTCCAAGTCTCCCTTGTTTTTCAGCTTTGTTTCTTTTCCCTTGTGGCTTTCCTATGCTCCACTTTTTACTTCTTTAACTTGAGTCAATTTTCCCCTCAAGCTAATTTGGTATGAGCAGTCATCTTTCTGAAACTGCGAAAATATTTTCTCTTCTCTCTCTTAAATGCACTCCCTTCACATATTCCCAGCTTGTAGATGGGCTGGCTTTCAAACAGCAAGAGACTCTCAGTACCAACTACCCTCTTCCAGGAGAAGGCACTACGAAAAATTATTGGGGATCATGACTCTTGTGAGATTTTTCAAATCAGGCCTTTTCCAATAACTGAAGAATATTAAAACATAGTGGTACTTTTCAAAAAATCTATTCATTTTCCTTCTACATACCTGCTTCGCCCACAAACACTTCCACTGGTGTGCTGGTAGGGCTCTCACCAACTATATTATATGCCGTCATTAAAACTTCGTATCTTTTGTATTTCTTCAACTCTGAAAATGCAAATAATTAAATTAAAAACATTTTAATTCAGATACTTTTTAGACTCCATCCCCTCTTCATCACCAAACTTCTCTCTCATTCAATACAGCATTAGAACAGTGCACCAGGGCAATGGCTAAGTACTTCCATCCTTCCCTAATTCACACATCACAGCAGGGTTTGTACAATTACAAAAATCTTTGCAACGAAATGCCCAGATTTTCTACTCGCTCCTCGCTGTGTTGTTCCTCTAAGGGGAACAATTCCTGATGGGTAACTAGCAACAGGAACATTTCTGGGTCATTCTTGATGGCAGAAAAAGGAAGAACTTTGCTCTTAACGTTCAACACGTGGACTCATTTTGTTCTCTATGGGCAGGAAGCAATGGAGCTTCAGGCCTTTCCTTACCCTAGAGGCTTTCAACCTGAGAGCCCTCTAGCAACTGCAGTGCTCAGGAGCCTCACTGCTGGAGAGGGTGCGGAAGATGTGCAGGAGGGAGCCCACAGTGCCCTCTGATTTACTGCATGCACCTCTTGTTCCCTTCAAAGTGATCCCCGTTTAAACATCACTCACAAGGAGAAAGGAGAATTTGAAATCTGGACTCCATTTGGCCACTAGGCATCCAATTTCTTTGCTGGCATATAGAAAACCGCACTGACAGATGAGACGGGAAAGTGAAAGCAGCGTGAAGAAAAGCAAGCAAACCCTATGGTATTTGGGTAATTAATAGATGCAAGGAGGGGTGGAGTAAAATCATAGCAGCGTCATTAGGGGAGGCCACAGCTGAGCAGCTTCAGGATTTGCATTCGCAGGATGGAAGAATCAATTCTAACAGAAATATTTATCATCTAAAATATTTAACAGTGAAATTATAGTATGAGAGAGATCAATAATAGAAATTGCTTTATGTAAATCAGCATTGAATTTATTTAGGCATGCATGGACAGGGGTCTAAATTTCCCTCTTTGCCAATAATTTTCTCAATCACATTCTACCCTTAATTCTGTGGCTGACAGCTTGTCATTGGTTCAGTAAGGTTCAATAAACTTGGCCATACTGGTCCTTCTAGATTCAGTTTTGTGGAATGGTTTACAACTGTTCTGCTCGTGTAGCTGACAGGACCCAGCAGCATTCCTTGGTCTCAGGTACACAGAAGATGACATCTGATCCATCAGTAATTCTTTGCCAGCCCATAAATAAAACAATTACATAATGCGTGATACAGACTTCTTGATTGGGATTACAGCACTGGACAACTTGCGCAGGGAAATTTTGATTGCTGCCGTCAAAAGCCACAAGGGAGATTTCAGTGCCAACTCAATGTGGAAGAAAATGGAACATCTGAGAGTTCATGCATGCAATCTCAGTTGGGATAGGGCTTCATTTTTTTAGCCCATCACAATCTGTAACTCAAAAGCCTTGGGCAAAACCTATCTAGTGAACCATCATTACCACAAAGCAACTTGCCTTTTAACTCTGTCGAATGCTATTTTATTCATTTCCAATTGAAAACACTTCTGGAGATGCGCATAAATTCATTGGGCCCTCTCTAAACTGGCCTCATACTCACGGAACGCCTGAGCATCCTAATGCTCAAATCATAGGACTAATAACGTGACACAACTAATGTGACACTAAACTCAGTCAGACTGTGAAATATGAAGGAAGCAAATCAAAAGTCATTTAGCATCAATAATAGTGGTATGTGAGAGTCAATAAAGCTTCACCTTCCCAGCAGCCATATTTCTACAACAGTTATCTACTTACATTATCAATGTCTTTTTGTTTTTTTGATGCAGGAAAAACAAGGCTTAAAGAAAAAAGAGGAATTCAAGGAAGCATAATCACTAATCTGAGCTGATTTCTGCTAGATCCACTGAGAAGAACCATATGAATTTGCCTACCATGTATTTGAAACCATTACAAAGAGTCTTATCTAAAGGCAGTGTGCACTTACGTGTTAATTCATACGTCGTTAATGCAGAGCTGCTGTTCACTGTCTTGAAGCTGCTTTGGGCTATTCAGGGTAAGCAAAGCAGAAAGCTTGTTACGGTGCAAGGAAATCGTTACTGCAAATGATGTACAGCAGAGACAGAGGCAAATGATGCAGCACACACATACACAGTTTGAGCTTTAGGACTATACCTTGAAGGGCAATAAAATCACATCACTCTCTCGTAATACATCAAAAGTATCTCACTCACAGAGGGCTGTTTCATTTCCTCCTCAAACAGAAAATCTCACAAATATACAACACAGGGAAATGTTCTGATTCCTAGATTAAATAGAACAAATATATGAAAAGGAAATTTCTGAGGGGAAACTCTTGACTCTGCACTACGTTCTTCTCAACATGCTGAATTTCAAATGTGAAGGGTAAAGATCGTCAACACAGGCCACAAAGAGTGAACAAGTGAAATAGGATGGGATCTGCTTCTTTAAATGTATGTTAAATTTCCCACGGTTTCACTTATAGCATTCAATATGCCTGCTGTGAATGAATTGTAAGAATATGCTAAGCTGTGCAAAACAGCAGGTCATTGTGGAAGAGAGGTGTACTGAGGTGAGAATTGTCATATTACCAGGAGAGAAGAGGGATTTTTTTTCCTTAAAATACTTCTTTCTCTACCTCTTTCTCTCCCTCTGGCTCCCTAGAGAAGTACAGCAAGGTGTTTTCTACTATATCGCTATCGGGAACATAGCTGCAGGGCCAGCCAAGATAAAGTAAGAGAGGGGACCGGTAGGAATTCCAGTATCCTCTCTTGTAGAATTAGAGAGCATCCAAAATCACTCTATATATACACCGACATCTATAGGATCTTCCCTCTCGCTGGAAGTCTATACACTCCCAGAACTCTCATTGGAGTCTGATGATATAAATGAGAGCAGATTAAGATGCTCACATTACATTTTAAACATCCACCTCTCTTTTTCCACTCAAAAAAAATCACTTTTTTTTTTTTTTGGATAAAATCTACATTTTTTTGTGTGTGTGTAGAATCCACAGGATTTTAAGAGTTCTGGCAAACACAGAAGAGATGTGAGATACTCACATCATCTTCCTCAGCCACATTCTGCCCATCTCTATTATTCTGAATATACCACTGATGTCAGTCAGGACAAAAGCTGGTCCCTCTGTGAGCACATCTCACTGCTGGGCTCTGTCAGGCTCCTACTGAGTGCTCACATCTTTGTCTCCCAGCATCCTGCTCTTTCCTTTGATTTTCTTCCTAGTCCTTGTCTCAAAAAACTTTTCATTTTTTCCATTAGTTGTCTCTCACTCCACCTTCTTGCCATGTGAGCCAAAACCCCAGTGACTCACATGGCAAATAAGCACCTCAAACTTCTTTTTGAAGCTCCTTTTTGCTATTTTCCTCCAAAACAAAAACCAGCATTTTTTAACGTTCTATTTAAAATTCCTCCTCAGCTAATTTCTTATATTGCAAAAATAAAAACAGAACATCCATTAGGAAAACCATTACAAAATAGTGGAAAAGAAAACACAGGCCAGCTGATGCAAATGCAGCCCTCTCTTTTTTTGTCTAAAGGCAGAACGAACCAGGACAACCACGAGACAGAAGGAGCAAAAAGCAGGAACTCAGAGGACACTTGGAGGACACATTGTCACTTTAAGGACACTGCCATAGATCAGAGTACATCATTATGAGTGATGCTGATCAAAGTTATTAACATTTTTCAGCATCTTCACCCTGATGGTGGAAAAGCTGAATTATCCACAGCAGCCTCACATAACTCTTTAGTGTCCTTTCCATGGGGTACAAGGGCACCTATTGGTTTGTACATTGAGAGAGTGCCATTGCGTGACACCACAGGGTCCCAAACACAGGCTTACGTGTGAGCTCTGCTCGTAAAGCTGAAGGATTCTTGATGGTTTTGGATTCTGCTCCAGATCCAGCGTCATAATCCAGCTCCCGATAGTAGATCCGGTAGCCCAGGAGCAAGCCGTTCAGGCTCTCGACCTTCGGGGGCTGAGAAAAGTTCACATGAAGAATGGGTTTGTTAACATGTGTTTTGCAACAACCCTCCAACAGAGCACACGGAAGCTTAGACCGACTCTTGACATAGGCCTTATGCAAAAGGATGAAGTTCTCTAGCAAATATGGACATTATTAATCTACAGGGTCCGAGTTTGTGTAATTTGAAAAACATGAGTTACAGGCAACTGATGATTTCACTCAGCTGTGGCAGCTACAACAGGTTCTTTACTTAGAAGTCTACAGCTGACACGCTTCACTAAGACACAAGCTCCTCTCGTTCCTGCTCCACAGAACCTTGTGTGCAATAAAGAATATAGGAAACCCATGTTGCTGGCAACTAACAGTGGATAGTAAACGACTATTCCGCTTCTTCCAAGACGACAAAAACATTATTTTGTCACAGATACAAGAAAAATATTTGTTCTTTAGTGGCTATTTTCCTTGGGGATTCTTATTCATATGTCATTCTGCATTTGGTGTTATTTTACTGAAAGACTGATGAGAAGCTGAGAATTGGTAATATTTTGGGTTTTTGGTGGTGGTGCCTGCCATGCTACGGACAGGGCTCAAAGCACTTCCCTCATGCCTCCCTCTTGCAGAAAGGCTGGATGAAATCTCTTCTGAACTCAACCACAGATCTTCTATGTGCCAGAAAAGCTTTAGAGAGGAGTCACAGTATGATGGGCTACAATCTGATGGGGATGATCAGTCTTGTAGGAGAATCCCAGCCTTCTCCAAGACAGTTTGGAGCAGGTCAGTATGTATAGCCGTTGGGTTGACTCAAATATTTACTTTTTTTTAGTTTGCTTATTTTGTTTTGTTTTCTGGAACACACCGCATTGTACCTCAGCAGTCCTTCAGTATCTCCAGACCAATCCAGTATAACAAGAGCTACCCATTTGTTCTACTGAGAGGAGATTTTTGTCTGAACGGCTTGCTGGAATAAGCCAGGCAAAAGGATTCTTGATGTTTGGGAAAAGAAATGTCTTTCAAGAGTCAAATGCAGGCTAAAAACTGCAGAGAAGAAAAGATGCCCTAAGCCATTTATCTTCGAAAGATCCTTGTACTGAAACTTAAGGGGCTGAAAGGATAAATGAGAAGGATTTTAATGATGGTCTTGCCTTTAATCTGGAAAGATCCTTAGGTGTCTCGAGAACTTTATTAAGGAAAAACCTTTGTCCATCATTAAAAAATTAACCACTGGTGTAAAATACTGTTACAGGATCAGGTAATACCACACGTAAAATTTTAATGAAAAAAAGTAAGAAGAATATTAAAACAGAAAAGGAGGCAGACACCTGGTAACAACGAAACATTGCTACAAGAAGTGACAAGAGACTTCCATTACTTTACTATCGTACCAAGAGGAAAGGGGGGATGTCCTTTCCCAGTGTGAAGGATGCCTCTTTGAGCAAGAACAGAAATAACTAAGGTAGTTTGTGGCAACCAAAAGAAGAAAAGTATATGCTAGACAGAGGAAATGTAATGTCAGAAAACCACACAGAATACTACCTGAAAAGGAACAGAAACTGCTCCTGCAAAAAGCCTGCTTCCTTTCCTGTTGCCCTGTTTGCAGCCTGCTGAAAGCTGTCCAAAGAGTCTCCAGATCTCGTTGTACTTGCTCTGTGTGGCTGGAGACCCTCAGTCATCACTATGCATCATATTCATTATTTCGCTCCGTCCTTTGGAGAAGCTCTGGCTGACCTGCAGTGCATTTGCACTACAGAATGCCACAGGAACACAAGATTGTGAAGGACCTCGAGAACCACCAAGCCCAGCCCCTCCTGACTGCAGGAGACAACTGTTTAAAATCCTTTTCACGGACAGAACACGCTCCATCAGAAAACAAGGCTTTTTTTCATGCTTCCTGCTACCACTACTGGAAAGCTGTTCCAAACTTCACCACTTGGGTGGTTAGAAACCTTAATTTAATTTCTAATCTAAATAATTCATAGCTAGTTTATAACCATTTGTTCCTGCTCTAACATTGTCTTTCCATTTAAATTGTTCTTCTCCCTATAGGGTGTTTACTCCCATGATGTATTTTAAAAAGAGCAATCATATCCCCTCTCAGACTTCGTTTTACAAGGAAAATAAATCAACCTCTTGTACAACAGCCTTTCCTAGTCAGAGATTGGAACCCCCTGTGCGAGGGACTGAACAAATAGACCAAAAAAACCTGACAGCCTTCTCCTCGTCTGGCTGATGATACGATCGCTCATGCAGCAGCTCAGAGGACTGTTCTCCTCTGTAGGACAGGGAAGATGAGATATTATTTACTGGCAATTACAAGTATATCAATCACAAACTTTTTTTTTTTCCCCCCCCTCCGATCTTCTGCCTTTCTTCTTTTGTTCTCTATATGTTACTGAGGTTGCTTTAGCTCTGTGCCCTAGCAGAGAAGGGCTCTCCAGCATGGCAATATCATTGCCTTTCTTTGTCCTGAAAGGGAAGAATTGCAACGCAGAGAATGAGGATGGTTTCCCCCTAGATGGGGTAAAATGAGGCACTGTCGTCCTACTGCAAATATATCTTGTGTACATCCCTGCAAAGAAGGAGAGAGGTTGTAAAAAAGCAAAGCCTGCCTGGCACAGAAGAAAACTTCACAATGAGAAAATACTGTGAACATTAATTCGATTTATATTTCAGGTTGGACATAAGTTAATTATTACCTAGAAGGAAGGAGCTCCTGTAAAGATTAAGTGTCTTTTCCTATTTCACTTCTTAATTGGTGAAGGTGCAACACAGCACTTAAAAACAAAAGATGATTTTTTGGACAAAAAACTTGGAATATCCAACTGAATCTTAAGAGGAAAACACTACTGAAGAACTAAGAAAGAGACTCCATACTCTGCCATGCAGCGAACTAACAGGTGCAGCTTAATCCCTCACTGCAGAAGCACACAGATTTCATGATAGCAAGCACGGGAATTTTTAAGCCTTCATTTGATTCTCCATTTCCCCCCTCCTTTAAATTTAGGACAGGGAAACTCAGAAAATAAGTGGCTTGAAATCTGCCTTGCTCCTTGCCATGGAAACGATGATTCTTTCCTGAAAAGTGTATTTTGCTGAAAAGTCAGGTCTGCCCCTCCCTATCTGTCTTTCATGGACAAAACTGCTTTTGATGTAATGGATTATTTAGGATTTTGTATTTATATAGAGAAAGGCTTGAGGGATCTGCTGAAGTAGGTAGAATGATTACGAGAGGCAGCCTGTAGTGTCGTACAGAAGAGAAACGTTTTTGTGTTGGTTAAAAAAAGAAATAAGCCTGAATAATTGTTGTCTCTGAGGTGGAAGCACAAGAGTACACACACCTGATGTTAACGATAGCATCATCCAGAACATTTGAAATAACCTTGCATTATTGATACAACAGACCGCAATGGAAATTACTTATTTCTTCCCTCTTTAAATTTAAGAATAATGGACTGATCGGACCAAGCAGCTGAAAACAGAGATAGTGCATCTAGAGTTTGTTTTGTGAATTATTAACACAACTCAAAGTTAAAAATTTAGGTTTGCTTGGAAATCTACTCTCCCATTTAGCCCGAGTGCTGTTTTCAGTTTACATTATTCCTTGAACACTGCTGTGAAACTTCCTGTTAATTGCTGGGTATTGCGGGATTTGAAGATTTTTGTTTATTTGAAAAATATAGCACGGCTGAATTACCAGGACCCACTAATATCCATGTAGTAATGACACGTAATCACCCACAACTCCCTCGAGGTGGCTCTGGCACAACCACCCCATTTCATTTTCATGAAATAAAAAGCATCCAATTACCTAAACAACCACCTATTTCGCATTAATTACACATCAATAATCAGTCAATTGAGGGAATGCCTATTTCTACAGTACATCACGCTTCACATCCTCCTTGTCCTCTCTTTGCGTACCGTTTTCTTCACTGTGGCCTTTATTTTGAGGTGGGTCGATTGATTTACATCTCCCCATAATTCCTGTGCTAAAACTGTTCAGCATGTCTTCTATTTGTTCAACATGCTGTAAGCAATGATGTTACTTAGTATTATGCCACATGAACTTGGGCCAGCAACCCAGTAATAGCGCCAGGCATATTTCTGAAATGCTGCTGCACAGCAATAAACAGACCCTCCTACATATATTTTTTCCAAAATGCAAGGAGCCCCATCTGTACTGTAAATGCCTATGTATATTTTTCACTATAATGCAAGCTGTCCACTGCTATCCTTATTATATGCGTACCAGATTGGCTTGGGAGCACGGTGGGCAGAGGCTTTCCAAGCTAGGTTACAGAAAACTTGTAGTACCCCACTGGGTTCCCTCCATTAACGCTTACTCCACAAAAAGAAGTCACAGGCACTGGGTCACAAAATGTTCTAGCACATCCCAGGAGGCCAGTATTGGATTGAAAGATAAAGGAAAGCACAGGAAATGCTTATAAAATGCAGACTTGGCATGAATACTTTCTCATTCAACACAGAAATACGGTGTCGAGCTGAAACTTGCTTCTCTCTGAAGAAATCTGAATTTTAGCCTTCAAAGAGCCAAAAGCCTATGTGGAGTTCCTCAAAGGCAGGGACAGGATCTCAGACCCAGCATATACTTCTGATTATTTCATCAGCTGAAGGGGACAGCATACAGTGTGAAGGATGGATCTTTTGATTACCTGATCCTCACTGACACTCCAATCTGTTGGAAGCTTTGTATGTAAACAGGCAGTTCTTTTGATATCAATAAAAGGACCAAAGAGCCTGTGAGAGGAACGATCTTGGGCATCTCTCTACCAACTTTTTTCCCTCCCAAGGTTTCTTTTGCAGGGCACAAAGTTCGAGCAACAGCCAGAAATTCTCATCTACTACTAAAATAAATGCCTAGACCAAGAAAATGAGGAATTGGCTGCAGTCCTTTGTCTTTACTTCCAACATTTCCAATTTTGACTTAGAATACTTCCAACCTCAGGAAAATATCCTTTGCAAAGTCTCAGCAGGATCAACAGGTCAAAACTAACAACATTTGTCTGAGAAGCAAAGTAATTTTTGTGTTTTACCTACCTGCCATTGCACAAGGACCGATGAAGTAGTGTGGGGAGTTACTAACACAGAACTGGGTGGTTCACTTGGAACTAAACAATGAAAAAAAAAAAAAAGCAAATCAATATGAAAGGGTAGTAAATGAGCAATATATTCATCAAATTCTCATTCTTCACTGCTGAGCTTCCTATCCCAGCTACAACAGGGTGGCTCTCAAAGCGAGGCACTGAGGATAAATAATGCAATCAGGCAGAAGCCAGTTCCCTCTCCCCTTGCTCTGCCTGGCAACATGAGAACAGATAGGAGAAAAGTTAAGGGCCTAAATCTACCTTGTGTACATTGGAAAGGCAGGCAAACGTGCTGAGTATCTACTTGAGAGCAGGAACAAACTGCTCGCAGATCTTCTGAGCTGCTTTTCCCCCAGTTAGGGCAAGTCCACATTGTTTTTAGGAGTCTGTGTCAGGTATTCACAGATTATTTCAATCAGAACAGCTGGATTTACCATGGGTTAACCCATTCCTCTGCTGCAGCCTATAGCACACAGGAGCTTATCAGGAGCTCACAGCCCTCCACAGAGCAATGCTCTGGTGGCAGCACCAGGTTTGCTCAGCAGAAAAAACGTTCACAGTTTGTTAAGGAGGTGAGAAGCTTTCTCAGTGTTTCCCCATTGTGTTGCAAGGGGGCCAAGCAAAACCCAGGATTCACTGTAGCTCAATTCAAAGCGAATTGAAAATAAAATTTCCAGTTCTGAGACAGCAAGTCAGTACTGCCTCATTAGTACCAGTTACAGCCTGCACTAATACAGCAGCTATTGTTCAGAAAGGTTCCAAAAGTCAGGATGCCTTCAAAAGGCACGTCATTTGTTTGGGTATTACATGGGTTCTCATTTAAATTAGTATATCCCTAAGCTCTATTCCCTGGCTTTCTCAAGATCACGTTCTTTAAAGCTTCCTTGGCAAAACTCTTCCCTACTTTCGTATCTTAATGGCATATTTGACGAGTCATTCTGTGTGCAGCATCGAGTGCCGTTTAACTCCTAGCACTGTATATACACATATGCATCCTGGTGCAGCATCCCTGGGCAGTCTCCCAGCCAAAGGGTAAGCAGTGATGCTTTTTTCACACTTTGGAGAATTCCTCTCCCCATTGGCAATCTCATTTGAGAGCTATTTCTGCATTGAGGCAATGGCTTTATACAATCAAGGAATCAGAAGCTGATCTCTAAGGCTAAAAATAAAAGCCTTGTCAATGTCATTCACAGTTTATTAGCCTTGATCTGCAGGATTAAATGCTCATGTTTGCAGGAGCTTCCTACTCCTCCTTACTTATACCTCCACATTTTTGCCATATTGCAGACTGATGTGGGTTGTAAGTGAAAACAATTGAAGAAACTTCTTCAAATGTATGCACGGTTCTACATTTATTTTTAATGAACTCTTGTAAATTATTCAATTTCTGCAAAGATAATGGTTAGTGCAGAGTTTGGAAGCCAATCAAACAGAGTTTAATTCCATTTGGAGACTCCTGAAAGTATGATTCATTATCAGAGGGCACAGCAGGACACTTAAGACTGCCTGTTATTAATTCAGCCAAACCTCGTTACTACCTGTATCAATCTCCTGTGAAAAAGAAAATCTGTGTTTGATGTCAAATCTTCACTGCACCCTCTCCAAAGCCACAGCGTGGAATGCAGGCAGTGGTGAGGATGTTGCAGCAGGGTCAGCAAGCCCAGGAGCAGAAGGGAGCACCCACTGCAAGGCGATGCCCCCATCGCTCCCTCCTTGGCACTTACCATCCTGCAGAGTTGTGACGGCTTCGGTCTCCGCGCTGAAGTCACTGTCTCCAATATCATTCGTTGCCTTCACTCGCAGTTTGTAAGAGGTGAATGGGTTCAAGCTGTAAAAACACAGAGGAGGGATGAATTCTCCCCCACTGACATGACTTGCCTCAAAATAAGTCTCAAGAATTTGGTCATTGGCAACTGAAGCTCTTTGTCTTTTCCCCATATCACCATTTTTTCCCTTTTTTCTCCCACCTTCCATGTGAAATGAGAGTGTTCATACTGCTACTGTCACCAGCATCTTCTCAGATTCCCTTTGGTCTGAGTTCTTGGAAACAAGCATGGATTCATAACTGCAACAGGCTTCTGAAAGCAAATATTAAGTTGTAGTTCATGGAGAAAGCTGTGAGAGGGGCTTGTTGGAAAGGGCCAAGGGGGCTGTCGTTATAGTTCTGTATGGTTATGCTAAACGTAGCCTTCAAAGTTCTGTGTAAGCTTTGTCTGAGAGATGCACAAAACACATCTGTGGGGCAGCTCATCCTCATTTTGCAGATGGCAAAACCACAAAAGAGAAGGCAGGTGATGTACTCAGAGTCAGCCAGTTAGTGCACAGCTGGCACTGGAATTCAGGCGCCAGCCTTCTGACTAATCCACTACACCGTACCGTATGATCACTGCATTTTATTCCCATTGAATTTCAAATTAATGCTATTACCTGGATTATTTAATAGAGACAGAACAACAGGTTCCCTGCAGCTCTTTTGTATATGTGGTGCTTTAAGATATGCAAAGAGCCATTTCCAGCTGACACAACCTTAGCGAAGATTTTTCTGGCTTGGCTTGCAAGGGAGAAGGTGTGGGGGAGGCTGCCTTTTGACTCGCATGCAGAGGCTGGAAATTCCCAGCTGTAAGTTATGGGGGATTTAACTAATTAATTGGTAATGTCTAGCCACCAGCTGGCAGATGTAGCACTGACTACAGGCCCAAGAAAAGCTACTTGCAAGGAACGATTAAACGTCAAGGGATAATGCATTCTGATGGGCAGCACTCTAGCATCACACACATGCTACTCTTTGGACTTTCACAGGAAAATGCTTTTAGCAAGAGGGAAAAGAAATGTTTTCAGTAGCTCTGTCCTATTAGGGCACTGTCACTTTCCTACAGCAACTTGAATTATCTTTCTTGAAATATAGCTCCCCTGTTTTCAGTAATGACAATGTTAAGTCTAAATGACATAGCCAGTCTCCCTCATTTTAGAGGTTTGGACTGCAGAGATACTGTGTATAACTCAGGGCAGGTACAGCTCCACCAATGTCAATGTAACAGGTCTATATTTGTCCTGTAATTTTCAAGGTCTTTTTTTTTTTCTTTGATTTTCCTTTGGTGTTTTTTTCTGTTTTTTTCTCTGTAGTTGGACAAAAGGAGAGCAATGTATCTCCATCTTCTGTCACAAAACCAATGAGCAGCCATAACCATGGATGTTTTTATAACACACCTTAGATATCCACATTGGGATGCTTCAGCTACTGAATTCTGCAAAAGCCCAGAGCCTTTTAGATGCAATCAGACTTGGACTAGTCACTCACAGGGAAAATGGACAGCAAAACAAGAACCTTCTCATAGCCAGTCAATTGCTTCCATGGATGTTACATGGACTTTAATTACAACAGCATTGCTGAGGATATAATGAAGGCTGAATAACACAGTTTAAACATTTTGATGCTATCTGTAAGCTTCAGCATAGAAAATACAGATAAAAAGGGCTCTCATTTCATCTGGAAGAGTTCATATAGAGATAATTGCAACACAGAAATGAGAGTGGATTGTAACATCAGTCACTACTGAAAGGATTTTTAACTAGTTGTATTTTCCAGAGCACTGGATAGTTAGATATGGGTTTAGTCTGCATAGCATTATCTGGCATGCTGAACTTCTCATATGGGCTTGAAAAATATCCATTCAACCTAATCTTAATTAGATATGTTGCATGACCTTTAGGAAATCCCTGTTTCTAGCACCACCTCCAAAATGGGATGAGTGACTCCCCTTTACCCTGACCCTGAAGGCTGTGCTGCCATCCAGAGGGACTTGGACAGACTGGAGGACTGGGCAGCGAGAAACCTCATGAGGTTCAACAGGTGCAAGTGCAGGGTCCTGCACTTGGGGAGGAATAACCCTGGACACCAGTACAGATTAGGGGTGGACCTGCTGGAGAGCAGTCCTGCAGAGAGGGACCTGGGTGTCATGGTGGACGACAAGTTGACCATGAGGCAGCAGTGTGCCCTGGTGGCCAAGAAGGCCAACGGGATCCTGGGGTGCATTAAGAAAAGCGTCTCCAGCAGGTCGAGGGAAGTGATCATCCCCCTCTACTCAGCCCTGGTGAGGCCACATCTGGAGTACTGCGTCCAGTTCTGGGCTCCCCAGTACAAGAGTGATGTGGAGCTGCTGGAGAGAGTCCAGCGCAGGGCTACCAGGATGATCAGGGGCCTGGAACATCTGCCCTATGAGCAAAGGCTGAGAGAGCTGGGTCTGTTCAGCCTGGAGAAGATGAGGCTGAGGGGGGACCTGATCAGCGTGTATAAATACCTCAAGGGAGGCAGTGAGGAGGAGGGGGGCGGCCTCTTTTCAGTGGTGGGCAGGGATAGGACTAGAGGAAATGGCTTCAAACTGAAGCATCGGAAGTTCCACAGGAACTTAAGGAAGCATTTCTTCACTGTGAGGGTGACAAAGCACTGGAACAGGCTGCCCAGAGAGGTTGTGGAGTCTCCTTCTTTGGAGATCTTTAAAACCTGCTTGGATGCAGCCCTGTGCCACGTGCTCTAGGTGACCCTGCGTGAGCAGGGGGGTTGGACTCGATGACCTCTGAGGTCCCTTCCAACCTTCGGCATTCTATGATTCTATGATTTACCTGTATCCCCCCAAGAGATTGTGCGGCTAAATAACGCTTGCTTTGGATTCCTAACCATTTTAAGTGGACTGCACTGGCATTTGTGTGCTTGCTGGTGTCATATGGTACCTTTCAATAATGCAAGACGTAGCCTCATGGCTGATGGACGAGGAGTAGGTTTGCCACTCTCCACTTGGCAGTTCTCGCACTTGTACCGTGAAGTACCGTATTGGGGAAGAGCCATCGCTTCCAGGGAGCCACTTGAGCTGCAGGCTCCGCGACGACACATCAGACTGGGGGGTCGTCAGCTGCCGAGGAGGTGCTGGTCGTTCTGCAATTAAATCATAATTTGGTACTACCTTGAGAGGAAGCTCAGGCTAACGTGAGAAGAAAGAGTGTAACTGTATATTCATGGTGGTAAAGTCAAAGGAGAGTGAAGTTGTGGATTTGCCATGCGAAGGATGCAAGTCATAACATTTCTTAGCCTCCTACTGTAAAGAGGAGCAGTAAAATTGATTTTTAGCTCCCTGAGGAAAAGGTCATCATCGAATAGCCATGTTCTCTAATAGCCCATAAAACAGACACCGCAACTAAGTCGCTGATACCTACACCTTCAGCATATCCCTTTCTAGAAGAAGATGACCAAATGAGTGGCAGGTTAACAGAGAATCATTAAAGCTGTAGGACAAGCAGCCAAAAAGAGCAAGCTCAAACAAAACTCAGGTGCACTTCCAGCTACAATTGCTCTGTAAACTAGTCCATTTTCTTACCCTGTGCTCACTGCCTGATGCCGGGGGCCTGCAATCTGTAGCTAGCCAAGTTCATTCTGTGCTATGTAGCTCGCTCTTCCACCAGCTGGTCCCCCATTGTGGCGTGAAGAGGAGGAAGAGACAAGCTGGAAGAGGCTGGTGTGGAGCAGAGCCCAAGTGCAGGAGTTACAGCAGATCCTGAATTCCTGCACCAGTTATCTCTGGCAAGCAGGAACCACCAGCAGCCCACGGCATGCAGGGTTTCGCTGCTCTTTCCAAGCTCCTGGCTGGAGATAACACAGATTCAGGGCTTGGGTGTCTGCCCTTTCAGACATTCCCTCTTCCTCCCTTCACATTGGCCGACCTTGCACTGCAAAGTTAAACCAACCAGTCCCGGTGTCGAGAGACTTCCCCGGAGTAATTAACAATACACCTTTAATTGAGGTGGGCAATGGAAATGCAGGTGTGAGCACGCCGGTCCCTAAACATTTCAATATAGATCTCCTTTCCCCGTCACTGGGTCTCCGCAGCCCATCGATTTCAAGAGAGAAACTCTATAGAGTGAGGAATAATTGTTTAATTGTTTATCATGAAGATTATTGATTCTGATTAAAATGTGTGGCATGTAATAAAGCAGGAATTGATTGGAGACACTGCAGTGACTTGCCTTTGAGAGGCAATTCAATTCAACTTCATCAGCACTTGTTTCCATAAACATACCTCAGAGCGCGTGACTCTTCAGAGCTCTCTACGGCGAGCACTTCATTTCCCTGCCACCCCCTAAAACCATTCCCTGTACGTCCTGGTATTTCTCTGCAGCACAGTCCTGCTGACATCAGTGCCAAAAGATTTGTAAGCTATTAGCTGTAGGAAGCCCTCGGTGCCGGCAGCGTGCGATCCAAAGTACAATGCAAAAGGTCAATGCCTTACACTGACAGGCTGAGACAGGTATTCAGGGTTATTCTATCAGGGGAAGCGAGTGTCTTGCGGGGATTTAATACTCTTTGCTGATAAGCTTTATCCAGCTTGCAATTTTGGGCAGGTCAGATCTTGCAGTCAGTCTCCCATGACTGGGTTGCTGTCTGCTGCTAATGGGGGATCTTAAAATCTCCCGTGCTGGGAGATATATTTCCTGACTGTTTGTACAAAACCATTAGTATAAAGAGTTTATTTGTGAGGGTTTAGCCACAAGCAAATGCCAAGGTGAGCGGTTCGTGCAGGAATGTGTGGCCAGGCCATACGACTCCATAGAGCCCTTTTAATGGCAGATATGGCAATTCCTTTCTGCATGTAGCTACAGAACATCCTCTGATTCAGTTCTGCCCTGGTCCCTGGTGCTAACTCTCCTAAAGGGTACCTTGCCATTATGGAAATTCAAAGCCCTGCAGAAGGCTCTCCGGGAAGCATAGCTACAATCCAGCTTGGGGATCCACTAATAACAGGCATTATTGTAAAATATGAAGTTTTATTTGCAATTCTTCAAGGAATTAAATGGATAAAAGTAACCAGTTTCATTGCCTGTCTCCCTTATTATCAGGAACTACAGGCATTTTAAATGTATTTTTATTAATGGAAAGTAAATGTTTATTTTTTTTTACTTTAGGATATTTATCGTCGTATAAGTAAGTCCCGGGTTTGTTTATTATTTACTTGTTACCGGAACGGCTGCACTGGATAAATTTCATTATCATGTCCTCGTATCAATCTTGCCAATGTGAGGTTACACATTTTTCTCTCTCCACCTCCCATACGGGATCACTTCAGTTAACTCTCAGAGCCTTGGGACTCAGTTCAGAGCATGCCTACAGACTCAGTACAGCCATCCATCAAAAAGAAAAAGGGTTCATTTTACATTATGACTTGCCTATTCAAGATAACCCTATAGGATTGATAGCAACAAGGGATCATAGTTCATGCAGAGGAGCTGGCAGTACTGCAGTGAGCTATTGTGCATCCAGCAACAGCCTGCGCATGGCCTGGGAAATCCGAGCAGATTTTATTAAAAAAGAAGAGGCTCCTCTGTGCTCCGAGCTTCCACCGTACACTTTGATGGGCCTGTTGGGCTTTTCTTAAACTTTCACATGTTGGGAGGTTTTCAGCTTCCACTTTGACAGCAGTCAGACAAGGGCAGAAGAAAAGTGAAGCTGATAAATCTATCTGATGGACAGTATCTTCAGCAGAGGCACTTCAGGATTCCTAATACAGTTCTGGAGATGCTTTCCGTGGGGACTGCACCATTACGTGCGGAGAAGGCTACACTGGGCCTGCAGAGCTATGTCAGCAGGAATTTTAACACCAATCAGACAAGCCAAAGGTAGCTGAAATGCATCTCACTGATCTTCCCTGTTGGTGGCTGGGCCAATAGCTTGCTTTTTCTAAAGCAGTTTTACAGGAACATAATAAGGAAGACCTTATGGGCAAACAGTGTGATAGCCAGGCATAGGAAATCCTTAGCGTTGCATTAATGTTGAAAGGACTTAAAGTGAGAGGCTGCTGGGTAGCAACATTTTACAAATCAAGAAGTAAATATAATTTGTTTTATTATAGTGCAAGACTGAGGGAAGAGCCTGGCTCTAGGCACAGAAGCTCAAACAAAAATGCAAGCACTAGTTGAAAGATGTTGATAGGGGCTGCTCTAGGTGTGAAGCTACAATATTCTCCTCTGAACTATTATCTTTATAAATCACAGGAGTTGCATGGTTGTAATTTTTGAGGGTGACGTTTTCTTAAAGATCAACACCCAAACAGCACAACGGACCAGAGCAGCACCAAATCCAACAGTGCACAAGAGACTGGTGCTGTTGACATTGTCCTGGCTAATTTTTGACTTTGCCGGCCCAAGGGATGTGGTATTGTTCTGCTGTGGAACAAGGCATACGTGCAACTTAAAAGGAAAGATTCTGTAACACTTTATCTGCCATATTTTGATGTGTTTGGTATCTAAGCATCTGCATCCAGTTACACACGTGTAACTCCTGTTTTCTTCAAGTAGTTTCCCTGCAGAACAGAGTTTGATTGAGGATTCAAAATGTGAATAACCATTTTGTGGCTGATGCAAGAGGCAGAAATTTTCTAGGCAATCCAGATGTAAATGCTCTGCTAGAGTGCACGGCAGTGAAAGGACAGAGTAATTACTAGCACATTTGGTCAGAAGTGGGGTGCAATGGAGGATCTGCTTGAAGAAACTCTGCAAAACCACCTGCTCTCATTTTGGCTTCCCTAATCAATATAATTAATCCATCACTTTCTTTCTCAAGACTGCAAACTTTCCAGAAGATGAGAAAGCTGAACGAAAAGATCAGACTGCAGAAGGAAGGCTGCACAGGGCTAACATAGCGCCTGATGGAAAAATCAATCTCCAACAGCCTGGCAGCTTAGGAGAACTTTGCCTTGTAAAAGCCTGTCTTGTTCACCAGGTCTCCAAAAATCACAATGCTGCTGTGCTTTAGGGGCACGTTTATGGGGTGAGAAGGAGGAGGTATACAGGCTGTAGCCTGCTTTTAAAATTCCCCGCAGAGCAGCCCAGGCTCCAAGGTGTGTAACAGAGAGCACCTCAATCGGTGGCTGCCGACCTTACCTCGTTTCTCTGTAGTGATCACCGTGGCTTCCAGCGGCTCCCCCCAGCCCTGCCGGGTCTTGGCTGAGGTCCGGAAGATGTAGGCGGACTCAGGGCTGAGGTCTGTGGCCGTGAACTGCCGCACTGTGGAGCCAACCTCCACCGTGGTGAACTTGTTGGGGCTGCTGCTGGCCAGGCGGTAGGCGATCTGATACCCTGAAATCACAGCACCAACAGGAGAGAGTAAAAGGGTTAGGGTTCTTATACAGCTCTCTGGCAGGGAGAAAAGAGCACCAAAGCTACTAATTTAATCATAATTACTCATTTACCTGAGACTAGAACAAAGTAATTTGCTTCCTTTAATGCTTTACATCTCTGCTTTATATCAGCCTTTCCCCATCAGACGCATTCCCTTATGAGGGAAATTGCACACACCGGGACAAACTGAAGAGTCTACTGCATATTACCTGCCACGAAACTTACTTCATTCTCCGTCCTTCATACAAACAAGGTACCAAAAGAGTTTAATCTTTCCTAAGCATACTGGTACCTCAAGAAAAGGTGGAGGAGCAAAGTGAGTCCATGCAATCACTCCCTTCTGTCTGAGCTAGTTCAGGCAAACACTCTTTATTCAGCTTTCCATCCAACACAAATACACACATATACTCGCACATTGTTTTTTCTCTCTCAAACAATTTCAGCACTGAGTGAAGCTACAAAGTTTCCAGCTGCAGAGCAGCTCGAGGGCCCACACTGTGCAGCATTCATCCCACCCAAGTGAGCACTTGCTCCTGCTTTCTGCAGTTGCCTTTTCCTCAGCTTTCCTGCTCATCTGTAACTACCCAGCGAATGCTGGAACTGCCAAAAGGAGCATCTTTCCTTTGTCATTCAACCTTAGTGAGCCTGTCTGCAGCCCAAGGAAGAAGCCGGCCAGCTCTGAGGTCCTGCTTGAACCATGCAGCTCGTAATAATCAATTTTGTTGACGACTGTAAACAATAGTCTCCCGTCAAACCTGCCCAAGCAATTATGAGTTTACAGTTTATCGTGCATTATTGATGACCCAACTGTGCAAAGTAGGGCTTGCAGAGCTCTCACGCACCACTAACAACAACTGCCCCCCAAAGAGGACCTGCCAAATGTTCAAATCTATTCTGTAGACTGAGCAATTCAATCAGGTTCTTTCTTGGTAACCTTCAGCCCAGCTGCTAACTTCCAAAATCAATTAATACCAGGACTGGAGTGGGGCTTTGCTGCACAGGCTGAATATGGGCTGTGATTAAACGCTTCATGAAACTACACAGGGCAGCCAACAAATCCAAATCCAAACAGCTGAGCGGAGGCAGGCTGCGGTTCTCCTCATCCTCCAAAGGGCTCAGCTGACACCAGACACAACTTCTTCCTCTTGTACTTTACATCCCAACCAGAAATTGAACTCCCATCAGCTCCTGGCCATAAAGAGAACAGGGGAGCTGAACCTGGAGTGCTTCATTCATGAAGGCTGGTGTAAAAGAGTTAAGAATTTTATCTTCCCGGTGGTTATTAGGCAAAATCAATGGTATGTTTTTCTCTCTGATTAGGCAACAATTGCCAACGACTCATGCACAGGAGAGATGCAAACACAGTTCCTGCACTCCCTAGAGTAAGTGGCACAAACACACAACTGTGTGCTGGGGGCATTCCCTGAGGAGCACTAGAATTTAATTGGGATACAGATGGTGTTAGTTCAGCGTGCTGATTCTTGCAGTGGCATTAACGATTCATTAGCGCTTCCTTGCCTTCTTTTTTCTTCAGAAGCTGCTAGGGAATTTGGGCAACAGCCACATCTGCCTTACATGGAACAAACCTGATGGCATGTGCACCTCTAGAAAGGAAGCAGCAATGTTTGTGCCAGGCACAGTCTTCAAATAACATCTCAGCTAGAGTGAGATGCTAGATTTCCAGTTAAAAACGGAACATGAGCATGCTGAGAGCCTGGCAAAATCGTACACTCTTCAACTTGGACAATCATATTTTCCACCAGTCAACTGCCTGCTTTTATCCACTGCATCAACTCTTCCATTACTGGTCCTGTGTACTTCACCACACTATTTTTTAGTATAGTATATAGTATTTATAGTATTTTAATTCTCTTTTTTAAAGTCCACAGAAAGAAGATGTATAGTAAAGAGGAGAAGAAAGGGATACATTATCAGCTTCTCAATTTATACGGAAGTGCAGAAAGCAGAAGCAAGAACCCAAGCACAGGATCTCCATAAAAGGGAAAAATAGTAAAAGAAAAGCACTACGGAAAATTTTACAGCAGTGGGAAAGATGAAGGAAGAGTAGCTAAGATGGCAAAAGAAGTTTGATAAGGGGACATGAGACGTAAAGAATAAGACCTGGAGGGAAGCACAGAACATTAAAAGAATAGCAAACTTGATTTATCTAGTTATTAAAAGATAAGTATGCTATCTGGGACATATCATTGTTGAACAATTTCCCCTCTTTTCTAAACCTTTTAAAATAGAAAGTGCAGCTAAAATGTAAGGAGGGAAGAGAAAGAGATAGCTATTTACTGTTAAATGGTGGTGCTCATGCTGGAAAGCCAATTACAAACATGCACAGATTAATCAAAGGAACATATACGTATCTAGGCCATTACAATAACTCATATAAGAGTGAGTATTTGGCTAGCATAGAAACTAATTTAGCCATGAAAAAGAGAAAATCACAGTGTCTCTGACAGGCTACACAAACTCGCTTTCAGGGTCCCTCGGTAGAAAAAGCAGTGGCCCTCACTGTCCTCCCCTGCCAGGCCAAGAAAATATCTGTTTTCACAGAATCCTAGAATGGTTGAGGTTGGAAGGGACCTCTAGAGATCATCTAGTCCAACCCTCTTGCTCCAGCAGGGACACCTACAGCACGCGGCACATGGTTTTCTTGAGCATTTTGGGAAAACTTACCCCAGCCAGAGGCTTCACTTCTACATTTCCCTTATTCTGATCGAAAGGAACATATGGAACCCCTGCTGCTGAACCCAGCTCACTTATTACTACTTACAAGCCACTCAAGAGATACTCAGGACCTTAATTTTGATCTCCTAGATTGCTCTCTCCTATTAGACAATTCAGGGCAGTGAAGATGCACTGTCATAAATGGCACTGCTTTTCTTGTTTCCCAGTGACACAGAAGATGCAGTACTTAAGGGACAGCTTGGATAATAATTAAGGCTAAGCCAAGATCAAAAAGATAAAATTATTAGGTTGACGCATCAACAACAAAGGATGGAAGAAGGCAGGAAATGTTGGGTGAAATCAAACAAGCCAAATCAATAGAGGTAAATGGAAAGCATTCAAAGAGAAATTAATGTATGCTCGAGGCTGTAAGAGGCAATAAATGCAATTGCAGTTATAAAAGCTGCAGCAGTTGAAAAAGGACACTCAAAAGTAACAAAAAGCCACAGAAATGTGCAGGGAAAGATTAGAGCATCAAGGTTGAAGTAGTGTAAGAAAAACTCGAGGCATGAAGAACAAGTTACATGAAGTGAAACTGGTACAGAGAGGGGTTCGGGGGGCCTGGCTGGGTAGCTGGTCAGCGAGGAGTCAGTGGAGATGCGATTGCCATCTACAAACAACATCCAGGAGCTAAAATGCTCCAGGGAAGAGAACTACCTTAAGAGATGATGCTGCAACAGGGCAAACGGTTTAAACGTGTAGGCGGGGAGCTAAGCGGGTGCTTCTCGGGCACAGAGCAAGGAGATTCAGGAAATGCCATCAAAGACAGACAAATTCTCTTCTTTTAAAAGCAGAAAACCCAGCAAGGGCTTCTCTGACACGGCAACTGGCACGGGAAGGTCCCTCCCTTGCTGGATTACAGCAAGATGCGTGTTAGTTAGGAAGTCACAGGCTATGAGTGAAGGTAAAAACTTCAGAAGGTGACCAAAGCAAACTCTTTGGGAAGAGGAACATATTACAGATGATGCATTAGAAGAATTTAAGGCATTTTTACCATTTTCTATTTTTTTTTCTTTTTTAAATGTATTTAAATATAAAGCATCCCAAACCTCTTCTGCAAAGGGGAGTCTTGTCATTGTCCAGGCCATACTAGCATAAAAAAAGCCTGAAAGATCAGCTCCTTTGGAGCTTGTTTATTCATTGAAATACAACTTATTTTTGCATTAGCATCTCTTTTTTTTTTTCCCCCCCTCCTTTTCCCCTCCCCAACTGCAAGCAGTTTCATGAGCTGCACTTCCCGAACTCAATAAAAGGCAACAGTTTAAACTGCCTGTTAAATGTTAGGTCATTGCAACACAAGCACCAGATTCCCCAAAGCAAACAGGCAGGGAGACGACAACACGCCATGAATATCAAGAAGCTTTCAAGCTCATCACCATACAAAGCCCCGCAGAACTGACAGCGCCCGCTCACGCAGGCCACGATGCACCACAGATACAAACCTTTATTAATTAGTCACAGAACTTGGGGAAAGCCAAACGATATTGGGAGGTTATGGTCTGCCTCGTGGGGCTGCAGTCCGGTTTGTTGACTTTACTGCTTATCTGTTTAAGGGCCAGTGGGTGTGCAAATGCAGCCTGGGATCAAAATATGAATTTGCAAACAGGGATTACATGCAATTTTGGTTATAATTCTCAGTGGAGTTCTTGCACTCTTTTGCAATAAGCTTCAGGTGAACGTTAAATAGAAGAATACCATGAGGAATACTAACCAGGGCCTGGAAAGATGCTGAAGGAGCTCTCATTTTCAGGGAAAAGTTGCAGATGAGAAGTAGGCACAGGTACAATAAGCACCATTTTTATTCAGTGGTATTTAAAGAAGCTACATTGGGTGCAAGGTGGATGGACTGCCACAAAGAAGAGTTAAGGCTCAGATGGCTACCGGAACACTCCCAAAAGGGAAAATACTCACCAAGCTTCCACAGTAAAATATTTAAACAAACAAACAAGTGGTTTTCCCTCTTGGTGCCTGCCAGTATTTCATCCTGCTAATCTCGCTCGGAAATGCTAGAACATGTTTTGATACAGATTACAAAGATGTTAGCTGCTGCAGAGGTGCTTGTATACTCAGAGGACAGAGCTAGCAGAGCAGGAACATTGGTTCAAAGGCTCTGAGTACGAGTTGCTCTAGCAAAGCAGGTGTTTTTTCTTTTGAGCCCCACCAGTGAATAAGGGGGCACACTGCAAAATTATGCTAACTTATTTTTTTCCAGTAATCCAACTTCAGGGCCTGTGATGCTACAGTTTTGTTTTAAATGCTCGTTACAGTGATGAGGTGAAGAGGTGTGCAGGAAAAAAATAATAAACTTGCAACCTGTACTACATTGTTTATCATTTTTTGAAGTACTCCACTCTTCTTAGGCAAGATTACAGCAGTACCCAGCAGGAGTGGTTTTTACTTGTTTCTCTCTGACACTGGCACCTGATGACTTCCTCTGCAAACCTCAATTTTTCTACTCCCAAAGAACCAGAGAAGTGAGAACTGCTCAATAAAGACAATAGACTTCAAAAAGGTAGATGTGGGGAATGGGGAGGTAAAGTCTCCTGGGAAGGATTTCTAAGGGAAAAGGGAATTCAGGTTAGCAGACTGTTTAAAAGGAGACAAAAAAATAAAAGGTTCAACTATCCATATGCAGACAAAAGATGTTAGGAGCCCAATATGTTTGCATTCAGAGCTCACTAATGACCTCAAAAATCAAAACTGAATTGCACAAAAAGCGGAGCTGGGACACATTGCTAAGGGAGCGTATAAATAGACAGCACTAGCACATGGGGACAAAATCGGGAGGGCTAAAGTGCAAAGGAAGTTCTAATTTACAAAGGGCATCAAAGGCAGAAGAAAGGTTTTCTAAATACAATAGAAATGAGAGAGACAGAAGGAGGGCAGGTCTGCTACCTGCAATGAAGATGCACACAGGGCGGATGGCACAGAATGGAAGGGCTGCTAGCTCAACTTGCTCTACTTTCACAGAAATTGGGGAAAAAAAAAGAAAGGAAAAAGAGAAAAAAAAAAAAAGGTTGATATCGACTAGATATTTAACACAAATTAGAACTGACAATAGAAGAAGGGATGCAGGCTAGAATAGAGATCAGGTTAAAGAATATTTAGCTAAGCTAGATGTAATCAAGTCAGAAAGGCCTGATGAAATTTGCCCCAGAGTGCTTATGCAACCAGCTGAAGCAAGCTCGGAATAATTAGTGATTATCTTCAAGAACTTGTGGAGGGCAGGTGAAGTCCCAGAGCATTTTGGAAGGGCAAACATGGGACCTTATCTTTTAAAAAGGTGAAAGAAAGACCTGAGGAGCTGCAGGCAAAACAAGCTAAACTTCAGTACCCAGGAAGATCCAAGAACAAAACAGGAGTCAATATAAGCATGCATGAAGATAACAAGGTGCCACAGAGCAGCCAATATAAATTTGCCTAGAACTAATAATAAATATTTAAATAACCTGTTTTCCATTTTGATAATTGGCCAGGTGGAAATAACAGATATGATCCACACTGACTTTAGGTAAGGATTTGATATGGTGTCACATAGCCCTAAAGAAACAGAATCTAAGAAAAGCCCTACAACACATGGAAAATCAAGTCAAAATGTTGTTATCAATAACTGAGTTAAAAATTGGGAGGACATATTAAGTAAGGCCTTATGGGAATATATCCTGAGTATTTTCATTAATAATTTGGCTGTTAGAATTGCCCAGCTACTTCCAAAATTCAAGGATAACACCAAATCACGAGAGGTTACAAGTCCTCTAAAGGAGAAGGTCCCTTCAAGTGATCCTGCTAACTGGTAGACAGTGTGTGGAATCAGTTAGATGTAAGGTGTTTTCTTTCTTGCAAAGAAAAAGCTAAATGCACCTCAAAAGCAGTGACTGACGTGGAAGCACCCTGCAAAAAAGGGGTAGGAGTTAACAGTGGGTCACCAACCTACTTAGTTACAACACCAGTGTCTCAAACAAGTCAAATCAGGGCAGCACCAAGTGTCCTGGAACGCGATACCAGGAGTGTAGGGCCAGGACCAGAACTAGCAAGCATGGTCAATTATCACCGGATATTTAGGCTAGAAGTTAAGAGGGTAAAAAAGGCTATCTGCAAATTTATTTAAAAAGCGCAATAAATTAACAAGGGTCTTGCAAAGTTTAGTTACACATCAAGTATGCTTTAAGAGAAACCCCTCCTTCTAGCCTTATATTTGTACAGTTTTATCATACAACAAAGTGGTAACGAGCTGGAACCAGCTGAGGATGGGATATATTGCACAAAGCAGCGTGCAAAGCCAGAATAAAAGAGCTCCTACCCCGCACAGCTTACAGCAGACAAGGCCAGATGCAGCAATGTAAGACACTGGAACACAGGTTGGGTAGCAAAGCACCAGTTGTACTTTCTCATCGTTGGTATCAAAAGATCTTTCTTACGTCCTTAACCACATCCTGTGATCCAAATCCTAATCTCTACAGAGAACAAGCTGATAGGACACAGCTCCTTGAAAAGACGATAAATCAGACGCAGAAGACAATCAGACATTGAGGTTCCTTGAGCTGCGGTGGGACCTAGTGTGGTTCTGTCCCTGGCAGCTGTCTGATGACCAGTTTCAGGCAACCTCTCTCTTTCATGTGCTCAGAAAATCCCTGCAGCTGCTGCCTGTGAGTCACATCCGATGTTTTCCCTGCTGCTTCAGGTGGCGGGATCACCTCCTGAGCGCGTCTGGAAACCACACACCTGTGCAAACGCTGCGAGCTCCTGGTTCAAGATTTAAACACGACGCAGGGCTAGTCCTCACTTAAAGGGAGGTCACCGACACAGTAAAAATCAAAGCAGGCCCCCTCTGCCCCCAAGAGGAATGCTGTGGGGAATAACCCTAAAAGACTAAAAACACACTTGAATTATGGCAGTGAAGTTAGAAGCAGAAGGGTCTAAAAGGGTGAGAACTGAGCAAAAAGCGTGAGTTTTTCCTTCTCCATTTTCAGAACTGAGGTGAACTCTTGTCTGCTGAAGGTCTCCCACCCAGCCCCAGTAAACTCTGCCCCACGTTCGCTCTCCTTACCCAGGATGATGCCGTTGGGCTCCTCCGGCGGCTGCCAGACGATCCGCACGGACGTCAGCCTCACCTCGGGGAACACCAGCCTCACGGGCGGCCCAGGGGCTGCACGGGGAAACAGAGCTCGGTTATCTGCCCACCGGGCACCAAGGCAGCGGGGCTGCCCCTTCCAGGGACACCCGGGGCCTGGGAGCACTGAGGTCCATCCGTCCATCCAGCTTCCAACCACCCGATGATTTTTACGTGTGCATTTTAACCAGCAGGACCCCCGGCAGCTTTAGAGGCGCTTTGACAGGGGCGGCTGGTGGCTGCACTGACCGTGGCGGGTTCACGGGGGAGGAGATGCTAATTCCTACATTTGCATGCGCAAAATTTCCCCTTCGGCACAAATTCCACCTGCAGTCCCCTCGATGCTACTTTTAATTAAGTGGAGCCCAGAGGAGACACATCGTGTTTATAGCGGGAGAGCGGAGATGGAAGAACAATTTGTATCATTTGCCAGCGCATACGGAAGGAGGGAGCTGCTGTAATGGGGTCATCTTCAATAAACAGGTTTAAAATATTTCTCATTATTCCCTGGTACGTGCAGTCCTGCGAGGACATTTTTTTCTCCTGGCAGAGTTGTGCTAACGGTAACTTCTCTTTGCTCCCATTTGAAGAAAAAGCCAAGATGAGGCCCAGGAGATACATGGAGAAAACAACCCAAACGCCCGGGAGCTGCTGCCCCTCTGCCCCGGAGAGCCCAGCTCCGACCTCATTCCCAAGAGCAACGTGGGCTCCGGCCCTTGGCCTGGAATCTGAAAACATTTTCAGACCAACAAAATCACCTCCATGAAGCTGTTTGTAGAAAACAATGTTTATTCCATTCCTTTTGCATGAAAAAAAAAGGGAGACTAGTGTTTCTGCTCATTTTCACTGGCAGTAATAAAGAGTAGCCTCTTTACCCAGACATTGGCTTTTACTGAATGCTAAAAAAGCAACAAAGCCAAAGGTAACTTTGCCATCTGCCAAGCCAAAAAACATTTAACAGCTGAATTAAATTTCCATAAAACTCCACCAGCGGGAATGCTCGGAGCGCACAGCCGTGTTCAAACGGGATCGGGCCAAGGGGGAGGTTGCTCCAGTTCTTTCAACACATCAAACTGCACTCGGGAAACCCTGAGTTCACAGGAAGCATTGGAGGGAAATACAAAGGGAAGCCGATCCGATCATCTTCCAGGGTCAGCATCTTGTTTTTTCCATGAAAAAAACAGAGTCTGCATTTCTGAAGTTGCAAATTCCCAATCTTAGTTCAGGCCAGTCAGACCCGAATTGGTTTATTGATTCCAACTGCAGTATTTTTTTTTTTTTTACAGCCGTGATTGAACTTCAATAGGAATTCATAATTGGACTCTAAAAATTCTCTTCAAATGAAATTGTCTACATCAAGCTGCAGAGAACAAATATTTTTTGATTTATTTTCCCCCTTGATCAGCTATGAAGAAAGAAGAAAATGGGCGCCGTGACTTTCAGTGTTTTTTCCAATCCTCAGCCCACAACCAAAGGAACCACGCTGAGTTATAATAGGTAAGGATCAAGTCCTTCAAGTTTAAAATTGCAAAAAAAATGTATAAAACCCAAAAAGCCTTAGTTTGGGTTATTGTCTATACTTGCCTCATTAAAATTAAAATTAAATGGTATGAAAAAAATGAAATAGGATATTTATTTTGGTATCTCCTAAACTCACCATCATCCTTGGTTCTTTCTATAACTGCAGGAAAGCTGGGGACTCCATCTCCAATACGTGTGAACGCCAACACCTGGATCTCATAGAGCACGAATTTCCTCAGGCCGGACAGCAGGAAGGACTGAGTGTGGTTGCCTCTTACCACTTGGCTCTTTGGTTCAGAATCTAAATCTCTTGCCTTAAAAAGGATCTGGAGAATAAACGGATACAAATACAGAAAGTAAATGATTATAACGCACAAAATAGGAATTTTGGATTCCTCTTTCACCAAATACAAAATGAGCTCATACTCATACCAAGCAACTAGCCCTTTCAAAACTAGCACACTTCCAATATCTTTTCCTGGCAAGTAATGGAAAATAACATCCAAAAGATGAATTATAAATACCAAATGCAGAAACACATCTAGGTAAGACATTAAAGGTCCAGGAAGCGCGATGCTGCAGTTGCATGTACCTTATAGCCCAGGATGAGCCCGTTCTGCTCCGGCTCGGGGACCGTGGCCCACGTCAGGAGGATCTGGGTCGAGCTCACCGCTTCAGCAGACACATTCGCAGGAGGAGCAGAGGGAACTGCAACCACATAGCATTACAGAAATCAGAGCTAGGGAAGCCCTGCTACATCATTTTGCTCCCTCTCCCCATCTGCTTAGGACTCTTCTGAAAGGCCAATTACTTTTCTATTTCCCAATCTATTTTTATAGATCTCTTAGAAGAGTATTATAACCCAGAAGTCCTGGAATGCATTCTAGCCAATCTCTTCTTCTCTTGCGTTCACTCTGCATCATCTTTAAATTTCAGCCTACTTCGCAATTTCTTACCAGCTCATTGTAGAAATCACAATGTTTGTAAAGAGCTAAACATCCAACGCTAATCACTGGCTGCAGACAGACAACAGATACCAACAGACAGGAATAAATTGCAGGATCTATGTATTCGCAGGGATAAGAATCAAGTTGAGACCGGAGATAAGAGTCTGCTTCCTAATATTTCTTTCTCATACATTTATTTCCCTATGCCAAAAGCTGGAAATCTTTATGAATGGCAGTTTATCTCACGGCATAATCTGTTCTAACAAGTTTTACACCACCGTGGCTTCCTATATTATCTGAAAGGAAATTATTACATCTTGTCTGGAGTTAGCAGCAACTCCCAGTACTGGGTTGTGCCCAGACCCCCTTGGTTCAGAACAAAGCTCTTGAACCTCTGAGCCATCTGATGATGTGATGGTGCTCAGCACTTGCAATACATTAATTATGAAGAAATACATTAACACAAGGTGCATTTTAAAGGACTGATACGGCATAAACGAAAGACATGGCAATTTCATTCATGTTACAAAATCGGCTCTTACGAAACTAAAAACATCATTAGAACGGAGGGCACAGGAAGACTGTAATTTTCCCTGACTGGAGAGGGAAGCAAACTTACATATTCACAAGCCATTAAAACCCAAGCCTGCAGAAGAGCCCCACAATGGCAAGCTTTTGTAGACACGCTTAATACCATGCGGTTACGCAAGCCGAATCGGAGGCTATTTTTAAGAGTTCACATTTTCTGCTGCCCTTTCACATTTTCTTCTGTGGCATTTCCAACATCTGAAGGGTACAATCTTTTTTAGAGCAGGATACACCTGTCAGACCTTGGAGAACATTCACCAAGTTATGTTACACAAGAACTTATGGGCAGTAAGGCTTGATTAGGTCCTGAATATATCACAAAAAAGGAGCACAAATCTCTGGCCACAGTAATGCTTTCCGGGCTGTCCAAACGATAGCACAGATCTATTGTTTTGAAGGCTAGCTCCTGAAGCTCCTAGCAACATGAGCAAGATAATGAGAATGACACCAGAATTAATATAAATTGAAAAAAGAATACACCAGCCCCCACCCCTGTGCACTCAAGGTTAACCGCAGAGATAGTCATTTCTGAAACAATTTCCCTGTTACCAATTAATTGGGACATGAGAAACAGAGCACCATCTCACAGGCTAAAATCTGATTTTTTTCCTCCAATGCTGAAATGCCTGTTTTTTTCTTTTCTTCTTCTTTTTTTTTTTTCTCTTAATCTTCTCCTAGATTTATCCCCCACAAGGATATAATTACGTTAAAGGAAAACAGATTGCCAGGAGCCATGAATGCCTTTGGAAACCTGCCATAACTTTATCTGTGGATCTTCACAAAGAGCTACTCCCACATGAATCACTTGTGGAGAGAGAAAGGCTGGAGGTGGGTCGCAGGAAACCAGGATCCGTAGAGGAAAGAAGCCTAGCCACGTTTATTTTCACTTTATCTGGTTTGAATCCTCTCAAGAATGCCAGCTGCCTTATTTTACAAATATTTCTTTTCCTCCTTGCTCAGCAGCCCTGAGATTTTCTGAATTCACAAAAGGTCAAGGCTGTGCAAGGCTGGTCCTGTGCATGCAGGACTTGCTTTGAAGTCCATCTATGACCACACTGCAGGTCGGGGAGCCTAAAGCCAATATCAGAGAGAACAGTGAAGCTGAAGATGTCTTGGCCACGAATCTCAGTCCCCAGTGAAAGCCAGAGCAGTGAATGCTCCCTTCTCCTGGGAAAGGAATCTAAACCTAACACTTAAATACTCGTATTCACTGTGTGTTTTGCTCTGTTTTAATTCCCCAGTGCAGTTCTCATATCTGTGTTGAGAATTTCCTTCTTACAGGAGTGAGTGGAGTTCAGAACCAGCAACTGATCCTCTGCATCTCGTGGCTACCAATCTTGTATCAAGCAGCAGACCTTGCTTGGCCCTTGGAGGATGAATCAAAACGTAACCTTCGCTTCTCTGAGCCCTCACCCACCTCAGGATGCCTCGAGATTGAATGTTTTGCAAGGCCTGAGATTCCTCTCCTTCCTCTGCAGACTCCCTCCTCCAAAGCTGCTTTGCTTGACCGTTACATGGCTCCAAAGTGACCCTGCGAGAACAGCGCCTAAACCAAGCAATGCCCAAGAAATCTCAGAGTTTTCAGGAAATGAATCAAAAACTCTGAAACTAAACGATTAGCTAATCCAGCAAACTGCCAGGAGTTTGAGAATCCAGCAAGCTGCAGGAGGTATCTTAGAAGATCAAAAGTAGGAAATTACAGAGATACTGGTGCTTTGCACTGGAACTGCAATGAGAACTCGAGTTTTTAAGATTATGCCCTAAGATCATGCCTCTAACATAACTGTACTTAATATACAAGAAATGATCCTGATTTCAGCTTTTAATAAGCTGGTCTGTATTCTGCCTTTCTGAGAAAGCTAGATGCTGTGAGGCAGTGGTTCTCTCCACTTTCACAGCTCATTTCAGCTCAATAACCATTAGTGCTTCTGCAAAGTAAAAATTAAGCTGGCATACTGGTGTCAGCAGGAGGTGCAAATTCAGAGCTCTGTTTGTGGCAGAACTAACCCAACTGCCACGTGCAACCCCTTTGCCCACGGAGTTAGATACGGCAAGACAAATTCTCAGCTTGGAGAAAGTGATAAATCTCCGCCGTGACATTGGACCCCATGCGAATTATCAAGCAACGCTTTATCTCAGCACAGCAACTGCTCCGGGAAGGTCAGTCCCCGAAACATCAGGAGATTGATCTTTGCCACAAATATGTGACCATGCTCGGGCTGTAGCTGATTTTTTAAGGCACAGGCTATGCACATGCACGGACCTGAATATTAGGAGCTCCTGAATGTTAAGGCAGCGGGATAGGTGTTTTTGAGATGCACTGTTTGAAAAGAAGGGTTTATACTTAAAAAGAAGCAAATCTGTCAAGATCGTGTCAATACATTAGGGGTTATCTTAGTATTTTCTTGCTTTCTCTATATTATACCTAACATCATTTACAGTTTATTGAGAGGAAACTGGGCTTGGTGCTTTGTAGAAATTTTACACTGCGATAGTAAAAGTTATTTCATTTTTAACATTTTGAGAACATTTTGTATTGATAAAACCTGAGCTGTTTCAAATCCTAAATCATTACACTCTATTTTCAGCTTCCTGCAGCTGTATCCAGCGTTTGTAGTGTTTCCACCTGCTTTTTCAACCCAGTTCCACAAAACCCATACGTTATTTATCCTCTCTAGCTTCTTTGGTTTCAAGAGTCTTTTTTACATTTGAGCATTGCAGAAACCAGAGAATACCTGTAATAACAAGCTCCTTTATTGTTATCATGTGTGCTCAGCTAATAGTGATTCGGTCACATATCCTAAAATAAACAGAAGTGTTCAAGTACAGCTTTATTTTTAATAAAGAGTTTGGATTTTTCTCTGCACTGTCATTTGATTCCAAGAGCTAATATAGTGCTCGGGCTCTGACTTCTCAGGCTCCTTGTATGGTCTAAAACCCAGACCTATAAGTTCTGCGACTAAACAACCACGTAATCTTAGACCAGTCACCTCTGGACAGCTTTGATGAATGTTAAAAACCTGCCATAGGAGCCAAAATCAGCTTCCCCAACTCTCTGTACATATAAAACAGAACCAAATAATTGGGAGACTTGCTTGCACAGTACTTTTAAACCGAAGTACAGAAGTGATATATTTTTTCATATCGTTTGGAAGACAGACCTAAAAAATAGCTTTGACCTCATTCTCCAGCTTCACTTATCTTTTATTCTTATTTTAACCTAGCCTGACTGTGCATAAGTGTTGATTACAGATTCACAGAGGTTATTTGCTCTAACACAGCATGCTACTGTGCCAACATTTCTTGTCTATTCTAAATCTAAAAACATGCAGCCAAACGTCTGAGTTGCTCTACTCCAGAAATCAAATGTTAGTATCAAAGAAAATACATGAGAAAAAAAAAACAACAAATGAGTCCTTATGGTCTAGATCACAGCTCTGTATTATTTTGATCTTGGTTTCAGCTTGCCTCCTATAATCAGTTCCAAGTCAACCTTTTTTTTTTTTTAATACTGAAGGAGGAAATGCCAAATACGCACATGTAACCTCTGATCTTTAGATGCTGAGCAAAAGCACTATAATCCCAAGGTTTTAAAAAATCACTTAATCTTAGTATTTACTATATTTCAAAAGGAGTGTTTGAAGAGCAGTGGAAAGAAGAAAATGGAAAATGCAAAATCTTTTTATTATGATAGAGAACACTCCCAAACTATTTTATCTGGATCATATAATCTTTAACTCCAGTGCAAACATGCCTTGTTTAAAATACCTCTGGCGATAACTTTCCAATTACTGCTTCCCCAAAACCAACACTTAAATGGAGGGGGATGACTTTGTTTAGCTTTTGCCTTAGCCAGTTCAAAGAACAGTTGTCTAAATCAATGGAGCAAATCCTGCAGCGTACGATGCATTCCCATCTCGCCCCAAGTAAAGCTTCTTGCTACGAAGTACACCCAGACACGCACTTGAGTGTCTGCAACTATACAACAGACACAGTATTAGCCTTCAAAACTCTCTTTAATGAAGAAAAACATGGATGAAATGAAGCAAAATGTGAATGCTGAGGCATAAGAAGCTTTTATTATTTAATTTTTAAACCATGCAAGTCATCCATTTCTTTCACTCACTTGCAACAGTGGGTTGGAGGGCAGGTTTGGGAAATAAGTTTTACTGAAGTGAAAAGTTAGACAGCAGCTTTTCAAGATCTGTCTTTAGGATTGCTGCTGAGCCAACAAGAATTTACTATTGCTTGAAATTTTGAGTTTGCTTACTTCTGATATTTGACGGCTTCAGGGCAGCACACACAAATCAGCTAGACAATACAGTACCTGTGTTCGATGCGTGTGTGAAGGTTATGTCTACATAACCTTGTGCAAACAATTTTAGCAGCCAGTTTTGAAAATGTGTCATCTAAAGCTTAGATAATTACCTCATTTCCATACAGGCAATCAGCTCTCTTAAATAACTTGTGCCCTTTTAGAAGTATTTGGTTCTTGAAATTAATTTTCAGATTGCTACAGCTGTCTGCTTCTAGTCTGGGGCAGATCTCCAGAGGGAAAGGGGGGGAAAAAGGGGCAATGGGGATATGAGAGAGGAAGATGAAGCAAGCCATGAGGGATGAAGAGGGAGCTGCTCAGAGAGAAAGGGTTCATCTTGTATTGTCCATCCTGCTGCCAAAGTGCAGCAGGAGCGAGGAGAGGTTGTTTTGTTTGCTTTAAATTAATAACCTACAGCTTTATACATGAAAACATGGTAGGAGTAAAATAAACAAATAAATTACACGACTCCTTCAAATGTCTTCATGTCCTTTTGCCTTCAGTGAACGCAGAGATTGCCTTTTTCTTTCAGTTCAGATTTAGTGGATCAACAAGTGAAAAAAAAAAGGGTGAATAACATGACATAAAACACTGAAATTTGCTGACATGTTCTTCACAGCAGACATTATCCTTTGACTTACCGGACTCCCGAGTACGACCTCGCACTACTTCACTCCACGGTCCTGCCCCAATGGCATTGAAGGCCTGGATTTGCAGTTCATATTCTGTCCATTCCTCCAGATCTTCAATCGTGTACTCTCTCTCCAGACGGTCATTAATAACCTTCATCAGTGGCGAAGACTGCAGGTCCACTCGCCAAAACTTTATCCTGTAGCCCACTGACTCGGGATTGCCGTTATACTGCGTGTCGGGAAGGGGCTGCCAAATGATGCAAAGAAAAAACATGTTATCGTACGGGCCACATTGCCAAAACTGCCCGAATTACATGCCACGGTTGTCAGAACTCAGGTAAAGTCAAAGCAAAACATATTGGAGGGGTTGATTTTTCTTTACACTTCATGATCTCTAAATGCTTCTGTTGCTTGAGGCATTATTTTCATTTTTTACCTTAATTTTGCACCTAATGGATATATTTGCACAACCGTGCCACTTGCTGCGGGTGTACCAACAAAACTGACACCAACCCAACAAATTCCAGGTCTTTATGATTAATTATGGAAATGAATGATATATTGCTGAACCATACGACAAATGAATCTATTGGGCATTTTTGACTTTTTAATGGAGTCTGCCTACTCATTTATCAGTAGAGATTTATTCTAGTATTCTAGCTCCACAAGCAATTTCAGAGATTAAAGCACAAAGTAATCAGCCCGCTCCAAGAAGTTTTAGAGGGAAAAAAACCCTAACTGCATGATCCCAAGGATGAGGGCGATTCAGCCCTGCACCACTGGCAGAGTTTGCTGTGCATTAACATTTCACAGCTTAGAAGACTACACCCTGCAGGCAAGCAGGGCTAAAAATGTGACCCCTATTCTGTTGGAAAGAAGGAATTCCCTGCTCTCAGGAGGACCCCAGTTCACCTGCAGGTCTTGAAGAGGGAAGATTAAACGTTTTCAAATGCCAGTGATACTAAGCAGGATAAAGGTGAGCTGGGGTCATTTTTGGCCACAGCTTTGCTCCCCCTGCACAGTTTGACTCGCGATAACCAGGCTTCCTGGCAGCCCAGCAGGAAACACACTTTTAAAAGTTTTCAAAGTCTCTAAAAGAACCTTGAGTTAATTTTGATGCGACGTATAGGGGTTTGGATCGAGGTTCTGGGGTTGCAACAGGATCCAAAGGTTTAACAAGGCGGGCACGTTATGCCCTTGGTAAAGCCATGAATTAATTATGTGGGTCCTTTACACATATGGAGGCAACACCTTCAAGTTGAACATTTTAGTCTTTCAAGGATAACAAGCAAGTTCTGTTTCCCATTGAGAAATTGGAATAGTTTTCTTCTGATTGCAGAAAAAAACCCCTCTCGTTTCTAGCCTGATTACAACTTCTGGCCATAGTAAGCTTATGAACAGAAAAGCTAACATTTGGCCAAAAGGAAACCTGTGCTTCATCAACTTCACACTGCGGCAGTCCCAGTGGAAAATTCTCCCTTCCAGGGGAGGAAGAAAACATTTTGGAGCAGGTTAATTGCCAAAAAAACCCATTGTAATAATCCCGCAGGCAACCGAGACCATTGGTGGGGCACAGCCACTCCATCAAGCTCCGCACCCCAGCAGGTAACCATTTGTTTTATCGCATAACGCCGTAACCTTGCCTATGAATACAATCTCCCTGCATGGATCTAATGTGTGGAACTTGGCTGTCTTTGGCTGCATGGTGCTTGCCAGGTGAATGTCAGCAGCTTGTGGGTACCTGCTGGGGGGCAGTTTGACAGCACCCCAACGCAGGAGCCCTCAGAAAGTGCAGCTCGGTAGCAGTGCTATAGATCTGTGTGGATGTGTGTATAGATCTATAGATCTGTGTGGATCTGTGTATAGATCTGTGTGGAACAGGCCTCGGAGCGCGAAACAGCAGAGCCTCCAAAGGCCCCGCGTCCCCTGACGAGGCCGCAGTGGCAGCAGGCAATTCCCGTGATTAATAACACACTTAAGGCGAGGCGCAGCTCGGGGACCATTCCAAAAGCGGGGAATCATTTGGCGCTTGCTCCTTTTGTCACCCGCGAGGGAAGGTTTCCCACCCCCAGGGAAGGTTTCCCCCCGGCCAGGGAAGGTTCCCCCCCACAGCGTCCCCATGGCCGCTCACCACCCAGCGCATCCGCAGGCTGGTCTCGCTGGCCGTGCGCACGCTGGCGCTGCCGGGGGCTGCGTCCGGCGGCGCCTGCAGCGTCCGGATGACGCGGGACGGCTGGCTGAGGGGGCTGGCGCCCGCCACGTTCACCTGCCGCATGCGGAACCTGCCGGCGGCCATGAGGCGGGAAAGGGAGAACACAAACAGTCATTCACCACAGGCCCCAGACGGCCTTCACGTTCGCAATTTCATTTCAATAAAGTAAAAATAACGAGGACAAGCAGATTAGCCTAAGGTCTACAAGCGGTTCAGGTGCTTCAGTGCAAGAAATTCCTGTTGATCATACCGAGTTTGACGAGCTTAGGCCGACAGTAAGTGATTTTCTTTCACGGCGCTTGCATGAGACATTTAGAAAGGTGTTACAATAGCTAACTTGGGATGTTCTCTTTCCCTGTCAATTTTAAAAAATATGTATATATATATACACACATATATTAGTGATAACATTTCCCCTCAATTACAGAATTACAGCTTGAAAGAAGTGGATTCTTCCCTGCGCTGCATTTTCAGTCTTCCTGCGCAAGCGAGATTAAGTTATTTAATAGGGATATGCTTCTCAAAAGATACTCGCCTGCTTGAAACTGTCTCTTCTGCAACTGAATTCCCCACTGGGCCACAAAAGATTTAGAGAAACCTTTTTAAGATGTACAAAATAATTAAGATGTGCTGCATATTTCAGATACTTTCACCTGTCACGAGCATGAAAAGATACTGCAGCTAGAGGCATCCATTTCTTGCCCATAAATACATGACCTGTTCCTATTAAACACTTCATTTTTGGACATAATGACTGAGCTCGGTAAAAGGTTCTCTCTGCTATCATTTATCTACTCTAATCTCCCTAGAAAATGCATGAAAGGAAATACATTAAACAAATACTGTCCTTGATTTCACTCTCAAACATTGGCTCGAAATATAGAAAAAAAAAAGCTGGCTGATAAAGATGCAGTCTGATAATTAGTTCTCATGATTTATCTCCTCAGAGGATAATGACTAAAGCTGACTGCAGGACAACAAATTTGGCATTTGGAAACAACTTTTTAGGTTTCAGAAAATTAGATAAAATAGTTCTAAATTGAAATGAAAACCAAAAAAAAAAAAAACCCTCATTTTTGTGCTTCTGCATGAGAAAGGAAGTACTCTAGACAAAATTCAAGAATCTGCCTTATTATATAAATTACAATGTAAAGATAGAGTTGGAAGCGAGAAAGGCAAAAGTGCCAAGCACTGCAATCTCGATCACTGAGAATGGAACGGGCAAATAAAACCAATACAAGACTCCAGAGAAAGATCAGAGATGTAGCAGTCAAAGAAATAAAAAGTGCAATAAAATACCTCCCTGCTATTTGTTATCCCAGAGACATTTCTCCATGCACCTGAAAGGTGTGCAAGTTATACTCACTTTGTATGTTGAGCTCTGCTACATCTTACACCTACGGCATCTGCTTTTTTGATTGAATAATTGTTAACTTGCAACAGATTTTGAAGAATTCATTGCTGCCTTTTCAACTTTAAGGCTCGCCTGCACGAGGAGAGCAAAAGCCAGCTCCTCAACCTGAAAACAACTTTGCTACAGCTCTATGCTAGAAATCTCAGCTCAGTTTCCACAGTTTTGAAATAGCTTTTAGCATAAATCTTAGCTCTTAAAGTGAGATGCAAAACACTTCAGTGGAGGTTTTGAGAGAAAACTAGCATGTTTGTGGACTTTTGACGAAGAGGGGAAAAAATGTGTGTACCAGCACTGAATTGGCTGAAAGTGATGTGAACTTTACTTTGGCTGCATCCTATTACTCACTAGCTCACAACAGCACACAGGCGAGCCAGGGGAAAATGGACAAAGCTTCTAGGAAGATAACTTAACACTTGCTGCTACATCTCCACGCCAATCAGCCTGTACAGCAGCAATCTATTCCATGAAAACATTTTTCTTTAGCATTGAGCATCTCACATTCTCAAATCTTGTCTATACCAAAAAAATGCATCACTTGAATCACATTGATTTAAAAATCAATCTCATTTAAGTGGGGTGCGCCCCTAATGTAGGTTCACTTCAGTCAGCTTAAGCCTTCCATATATCTGCTTAGCTTAATCTGGTAAATTCTTAAAAGTAAAGGTTTCATCTAAGCCATGTTTCTAAGCTGCATCAATAAAAGTACATTTAAACTGATGTTAACATGTAATTACAAGTTTGCACCAGTTTAACTACAATTGATATGTTGCTGATTGGTGTTACACTGGTGCACCCTTCAGACTGGGAATGTCTCAGGCTATCATTTACTCAGAACATCATCCACTGTGCACTTGGCTTCCCGTTTGTAATGTTATGAACTGTACCTTATGCAAATTCCAATTAACAGTATCAGACAAGTAATTTTAAGTATAAACTATGGAAACAGTGCAACCTTTTCCCTTTTGTTCAGATTACAAAATACAGCCAGCTGTTTCTGATTAGGAAAGCTGTTCCATGGAGCAACTTACTCATTTATTCATGCTACAGTTAATCACCAGCTGTTCTTACCTGTAATGTGTGTAAGGAATGAGGTTTGGTATCTCCAGCATCTGAGCATCAGGTTCATTCTCCACCTCATGGAGATTCACCCACTCTTCTTCATCACCCAGAACACCAACCTGTACATGGGGAATAAAAGGAATAAATGCAAACCCAACAATAAAATACCCACATTTGCAATCTGAGTCATCTCCACAGTCAAAGGGCCAATACATTTATATACATAGCAGGTAGTGAATATTTGTTTTTAAAGGAAAAGATCTTGCCTATTCCCCTTAGTGAGTTAACAGCTGTGAATTTGTCAAATCCTTTTTTAACCTGCTAACCTCATTTACTCCCACAGACTCCTATGGCAGCAAATTCCAGAAGCTCATGACCCACAGTGTGAAGAACTGCTTTCTTTAAACTTTTTAAAATAGATCCCTTGGGAATTTGATGGCGGATACTAGTTATGCATAGACACTGTCAAGGCACGTGATAGGCAACATAGGCTGCTATATCTAACATTTCCCCAAGTACTTCAAATAGAAAAACCAGTTTCATTCACTCTTTTTTTCCCCCTTTCCCCTCCAGGAGAAGAAGCCTGATTTATTTATAGATGTTTTAGTACTTTGCTCACCCAGGAGCTGCTGTGCTGCATATTTATGCTTGTGCATGAAGAAATGACACAAGGAAAATTAGGCCAAAGACGTAAGTTGTGCCTTGCTTTGAGAGAGGGATCTGCTGTGATCTCTTGAGCAGAGGACGGCTTCCATGGAGGGCTGTGCTTGCAAAGGCCTTTCAGCCTGATGGGTATCAGGGCCACACACCAAAGAGCTTATAAAATAGATGGCACTGCAGATTACGGCCCTTTCAAGACTCCCAACCCCAACTGTGCTATAGAAATTTTAGTAAAGTTCATAGATACAGAGGCTTAATTAATCAGCAACTCACACAGGTTTGCAAGGTAAAACAGAGCAGCCCCAAACCGAACCGCAGAACAAAGAGACGATAAAGGGAATTTTCTGAAAGAGCCACTGAACAAAGAAAGGAGGAGGGGATTGATTTTCAGTCACAGACACACGAATACTTCCTGATTAAAAGAGCTTCTGATTAATTTTGTAGAAAGACTTTAGTAAATGGTTATTTTTGCAAAACTCCTCGCTCTTAGCAGCGACACCTCAAAGCTGTTGTACAGCAACAATCCATTGTGTTTTCAGAGGCTGCAAATAATTTCCAGCAGTGAGCTAGAGTCCCCTTTTTTACATTTGAAGAACAGCAAGAGCTTTTTTTAAAAAAAAAAAAAAAAAAAAAAAAACAACAACAACAACAACAAAAAACACCGACCACAGGTTTCAATGACTATGCAGCAGCAGGCAGGTCATTAATACACATTAAGGACCACATGGTTCAGACCCACAGGGCTTGGAACAATTGCCACGGACTCAAGCTTGAGAGGTGTCCAGAACCTCCTCCTCTTTTGCAGCTATGTATTTACCAGCTGGCTGAGAACATGGAAATACTGAGAATCTTTCACTGACAGAGAAGCAACAAAAGCTCCTCTGTGCCCAAGATGATGGCAAGCCCCTAACAAGCTATGCCAGGAGACAGCTTTCTATTTTCCATCATCCCTGTTAAGGATGATTAGTGCAGCAGATCCCACTGCACCCGGCATGTTGGTCCTTGCCACACTCAAGCTGGCACCCAAGGAAGGTGGAAGTCACAGGCCAACTGGCAGCGTAGACGGTCACAATTTCCATCTTCAAGATCCATTTGCTACCATGCTGCCAATGATGGGGTCATAGCCATCTATACATCTCAGCAAAACTTTATGAAAAATAGATGAGAAATTTGCTAGAGTTGAAACTCGCTAATGCCTTGTAATGTTTCCTGGATCTAGTGCTAGCACTTGGGAAACTTCAGCTTAAAGGATTTGTTCTGAAATCAGCACTGTAACTTCAGCGCCTGCTCCCACAAGAAGGATTTTCCAAAGCTGTTCCAAAGTGAATGGCTTCTGGCTCTTGTGGCCAAGCAATGGTCACTGCTGTGCTCACTGCTAATCAGAAGAGGACCCATTTATTAGCAATAAGCTCAGAAATGAGGCTTGGAAGAGAACCTTCAGTGACGGACTTCCATATTTTTACTATGCAGGATCTCTTTTAGATTCTAAGTTTTGGACTCCTGCTTTCTGCTGGAGCGCTCTCATGTCAGATCAGAGGAAACTTATCAGCTGCAAAACTCAGAGTGCAAAAGAACCCCCAGGAGGCAGAAAGCACTACGGGCAGTGGCGAAGATAAGAGAGTCCTCAGTGGGGCCAGAAAGTCCTCTCTGAACAGCTCTGTACAGAAAACCCTCTATTTTGAGACTTATTTCTTACCACTATTTTTTGGATAACAGCATAAGCAAACTTAGAGAAGGGCTGTGCTCAACAGATGCACAGACATTTATTGTTTTAGGAGAACACCAACTGCTTTAAAAAGATTTCAATAAAAAACTACGAAAATTTGTAAGGAAAAATCATCTGCCTGTGTCTTCTTATATAAGACGGCGAAGTTTGCTTCGAAGAAGTACTAACTGCAGCAAAGGGAAATACAATGTTTCTGTACATTATAGAGGCTTCTCATGTTCAAGGCATGTCAGAGTTTTCATTACAGAGGTTATAACTCAGGGATTTGAAGTCGCTTTGGGATGAAATTTGGTACACAGGTTGTCACCCTAGGGGCATTTTTTTTTCTTACAAAAGAGTACTTAAATTGATTCAGTCACTTTTGATTTAAAGATTAGTGAAAGCATAAAACTGTCAGAGCTTCAGACACTTTATTTACCTGCTCTGATGTGAAAATGACATCAAGAGAATCACCTGGCACAACGGATGATTTCTAACAGGGCCGCTGACTTAACCCACAAAGATGAATAAATGCCTGGTTAAAGTTACAATGCCTTTTCCAACTCACTGCTTTATGAATAATATAATAATAATAATTTAAATGCTTTACTGCTTTGAAATTCCCTTTCCAATTCTGCTACTGTTCACTGTAATATTCACAAGAAATTTCTCTCGAAGCAGATTAATTCTTTAATTCTGTAAAGTATATTCTGTGTATACTACCCACAGCTCCGTGGCTTGCACTACCTCCTCGTAGGTGACCTGCTGCCTTCGCACAGGTCTTGTGCTGCCTGTGCAACAACATTAATCACTGGAAAATCAAACTCAGCAGCATTAGCCCAGCTTCACTGAGCAGCTGCTGGAACTCTGGATGTGGTGGGCAAAACAACTACCAAGGCACCGTAATGATTATATCGTTTACCTATTAGTCCTGACAAAACCCCAGGAAAAATTAAGCAAGGAAAAAAAATCAACTGAAACTGGATAGCAGCACAGAGGAAGCGCAAACACGAAACCACATGAGCAGCAGCTGGGATTCATAGGCATTTGTGGTTGCAAATTGCCAAGAAAATGACTACAATATGTAGAATATCGATGAACTGAATCTGAAAGTTCAGGATAACCTGTGCTCACAACAAGGACGTCCGGGTACTATTTGGGAATGAAAGTGTTACCCAAGAGTGTCAAGGCCATAAGACATCTACTGCTGGACATTCTGAACAAGCATCAGCAAAACCGTAATTGTGCATCAGACTCTCTTCCCTCTGCATTATACTGAATTTAATGGAAAAGCAATCCTATATTTAAATGGCACCAGGACTTTTTTGCAGTTCTTTGGGAATCCAGTCTGCTCCACTCCGCTGGGTGTAGATGTAAAGATGGAAAAGAAACGGGCTAACAACTTTTAAGAAATCTCTTCAGAAGTAAATAACGTAGCTTCACTAGAAACACAGGGATGGAATGGCAACCCCTGTAAATCAGGCCTCAAAACTTTAAAGATCTGATTCTCTCTCAACTTCACGGACATAAATCAGAATTAGTTCCACAACAGCTCCAGCAAATTTGCACCACAGCACAGAAAGCAGAAGCCAAGGCCAGATGTCCAAAATTTCATGTAAACTGGAATTCCCAGCTGTGTTTTTCATCCAAATTGCTCAGACTTCAAAAATGGCACTTAGCCAAAATGGAGTACTTGTTAGATTTTCTGGATCTGCCCTTATTAACTAAGCCTTGTACCACGTAAAGGAACAAAGAAGAAAAAAGTGATGGTTGGAAGTTGATTCTGCATATGAGTATAAAACACAAGAAGGCGCATGTAAATGGTACAAAATGTACCAACTTGTTCACAACAATGCCATTACCAAGTGAAGCGATTGTATCAACACATCTAAGTGGTGATGGCAATTGAAGAAGTCCAACATTTGGTTTTAAAAACAGATTATATTATTTATGAAGATCTGTGGATGGAAAGGAAGAAGCACAGCTTATCTGTCAGGAAAACAAATGAGGAATCCATAACACCTCCAAAGCACAATGACAGCAACCGAGGGGGACACCGTTTACAGCTGATGAAGAAAAGAATTCATCCTACTCATATCTAGAGACCTGGATGGAAAACCTTAGCACATCCCATTATAAGATAGCACAAATACACTCAAATCTTATGAACAACAGCATTGTTATTGTCCATTGTAACTCTTCTATAGTTCTGCTCTGTGACTTAGGAGGTAATAACTCCAGGTTTGCATGTAGTTTGAAAATGCATGAAATAGAATCAAAATCCAGGTTTTAAAAAACTAGACTTAAGCTCTGGTGAATGTGCCGCTGAAGTGCCTCTGGTATTCTTCTGAATGTATGCAAAGCTACTTTACAAAAAAACTAAGAATTATTTAAAGGATAAGCATTCTTGCACACATATATATTATATAGAGTATTTTTCCTCTGCCTGTGAAAAAAGCTTACAATATTCATATCACTTGGTCTCTCACAGGTTGTTGCACAGGCATTTCTCACTTACGCCCCTCAAACTCACACATTTCAACCCTTCCAGGACTCTATGAAAAGTTGGCCCAAGCCATTTACTGAATAGATTTGATCCAAAGCTGATGAAAAACTGGGATCCAAACAGGATTGCCTATTTAGATCCCTTTTAATTGATCAGAAACTTCATTATGAGCCTTTTGTCAAGGATATACCTGGCCTTCAACTATCCACTTGGAGATGGAGGTTTTGCCGTCGTACCCTGGCCGGAACTGAAGTGTAGCTGAGCGAGGACTGATGTTGGAAATGACCAAGTTGGATGGAGCGCCTGGGAGCTCTGAAGAAACAGGAACGTAAGTGAGAGGCAGAAAGACTTTTGGTTTAAGACTCAGTAACACAGGTTGGCATTCAGCATCGTAGTATATAAAATATTTTTCTAACAATTCTACTAGGGGAAATATATATGGCATTTTTCCATCTTTGCTAAATATAGTATTCCTCTTTCAGCTGCACTGAGCATAAACAAAACTGTACAGAACAAAAGTGAAAAGAGAATTACAGATGCTATTTCAGAAAAGTTGCCTAACAAAGACAGAGAGCAGTGGCTCAAGCAGGAAAGGTAGTTCCCAACTCCAGATCTGCTAAATCAGTTGTCCAGTCACTCAGTCTCTGTAGTCTCTCTCCCTACAATTAAATGACATTAATATTTTCCTGCTTCCTTAGGTATACAGAACTTTAAAATAGTAACAACTATAAAAGATTGAGATTTTCCATGGATTCTTCCAAAGCCTTATTTTTTTTTTTTAAAGTTGACTCAGGCTTCCTTCTTATGTTGCTTTATAAACATCAACAGATTCTGTATGGTATCCACTTTAGCACTTTATTTGTTCCTTCTGTCATTCCTACAACATTTTTTTTTTCCAACGTAAATCAAACAGCCTCAACTTCTTGGCAATTTCAGAGAGCGTTTCATACTAATTTTTATAATGTCTTTTAAGAATGAAGTTGCAATTCCGTTGTACGGAATTTCAATGCTTGATGAATAAACCTGTTTTCATTATTACTGAAGTCATTCACAACCTTCAGGAATACAGTCACGTTTGATTCTGTTCCGTGCAGCTTTACCAACCTGGGGGCACACCAGACGAGATGGTGGAGGAAGTGACCCATCCGCTCCCTTTGGCGGTCACAGCTGCCACCTCTATCGTGTAGGTGGTGAGAGATGAGAGCCCCGTAATCTTGTACTCGAGAGTCGTGTTGCTTAATGCGCGGGCAAGGCGGGTTTCATTCCTGCCATACACCTCCCAGGAGATCTGGTAGCCTGGAAAACAATTACCGGGGAGTCAGGGGGCTGTAGCAGCAGTTAGGTCTAGTTTTTCTTCAAAAACACAATTATGCAATTGCTCAGACACTGGATAAATTGCTGCTTCGGCAAGATTTGTTCATGGTCAATGGTGCTATGACTTGCTTCTTACTCTGTTCTGATATGGAAACCTTTTATAGACAGAAAAACAAAAGTTCGTGTTAGTATTAGCTAGAATACTCAAGTATTTTTCTAATGCTACTAATATCTACTGAGCAGTTGATAGAGGTACCCACGGGATATCATCTACTCATCACATTACAGGTGCGAGAGGATGCAGACTCACAACAGTCCATCTCTTTCTTTCAATGACTATACAGTGCACTCAAAATAATTAGCAATAGTTAGCAATCCTGGGAATAATCTCGCTCAGAAGAAAGGGCTTTCATTCTGTGAACTCTATAAATAGGAAGAAACACTGGGAAACAAAACATCTTCTCACCAGCTGGAATATCTGATTAAAGGCCAACCTGCACTTAGTAGGGCTACTCCTTTTCTAGGCTGGAGCAGCCATCACTGTTATACATCTAGAAATACTTACAAATCAAACAAAAATGCTCAAGCAGGAACATTGCGGGAATCTTCTAGGAACTGAAAAACCTCTACTCCCCATTGCTTGTTCCTCACACAAACCCTTTGCAGGGTGAATCATTATCTTGTCTTTCAAAACCATCACGCAGCCAATCTATTGTCCACAACTGCACTCACTCTGACCTCCATATTATTCTTATATCATAACCAAGTTCTAATACCCTTCTCTTTTTATCACTTTTATAACCGTTTGCCTTCCAAGAACTTTTGAAACTCTATACAGTCTGATTTGCTCAATTTTGCCTCCAAATCTGCTTGTTCTCCTCCTGCCTGTTCCTACTTTATTCTCTTTGAACCCATCTGAACCTTACTGTGCCATTCTCCAGAGAACTTGTCTGAAAAGTTTGCTTGATTGCCACTTCCTTTGTGATTTGGCTCTAGGGAAAAAATACACATAGCTCCTGAATACCTATGAAATAGCAGTGAGTGAAAAGGACTAACAGAAAGAAACCCTGTGGAACAAACTGCACGTGCAGCAAGCCGGCTAGTGAAACTCCCTCCTGGGTTCCCATCATCTCAGATGAGGAATTCAGACCAGTTGGAGGTTTTTCTTGGTTTTCCTCTTGCCTTTTTTTTTTTTTTTTCTTAACCATGATAAACTGATTAACATATACAAATTGAAACAGCAAAACACCTTCTGGTATCGACCAACAGGGAAGCATCATCTGAGGAGCTGAAGGCATGGTCAGCCAAACACTGCAACACGGTTTGAAGGGTGTGAAACGTTATCCTCCCTGTGGTGTCAGCTACCATCACGGACAGCATGGCCACTAACCTGCCTTTGCATGAAAATGGGCTTGGAGAATTCACACAGTCACTAATTACATTTCAGGTGATGGGCAATATTAAACAGATGAAGGGGGACACTCCCTTAAACCATCTCAACTACTCTGCAACCACGTGTTCGCCTGCACACTCCCAAGGGAAACGGGAAACAAAAACTCTTGGGAGGTTATTCTGGAATCAGCTTTAAGTGTTTGAAAAGCCCTCTCTGCAAGGAGGGAATTAATTAAATCAGCAGTTTTCCAGTGTCTCAGACACACTGCGTTGTTCCAGTGCTGTCTGTGAAAGGCTTGAGAATCATTTACTGGAGATGGCTGTTTGGGCAGAACACACAAGATTACAACCTGATGGAAGATTACAGGAAAACTTAAAGACTCTTTTGACTTTATTACTCGCAGGTGAACAGAAAGCTACAGGAAGACTCTCCACTTCATTAGACACTCAGTGAAGAGTTGGAAGGAGCTGTAAACAGAACGACCATCACAGACACCTATTTCTTTGAAGAGCTAAAGGAGTGATGCTTGCTACAGAGGGTCCAAGGAAGCTGCAGACACATGTGGCTCCCCTTCCCAACCTGTGGCATGGCAACACGTCTGTGCCTGGTCTCAGTCGGACCAGAGCCTGGGCTAACGCTGAGCAGTGGCTGCTCGGGGACCTGAGGGGCCATGGACAACCCTGCGCCCACTCCAAACCCTGTACGACATCTGGGAGAGAAAGGAAGAAATTTCCTCTCAGAATAAAACAAAGTTGTTCAAAAAATAAATAGCTAGAAGGAAAGCAGGTGAGTGTAATGCTCCTCCTACCTGCTTGTGGCTTACAAATGAGTTTCACGGACTGGGCAGTCTGGATTGAGAGAGCTTCTCTCCCACCTAGATAAGCTTGGATACACATCACATTTTGGTGATTACTGTCTGAGTATTTTCTGCTTTCTCTGTTTTGGCCACAGTGATGAGACCCAGCTTTCCTACCATTATGTACAGATTCTCTCTGTATGTATTTACTGAAGAAACATTCACCAGGAAGAACATCCCAAGCTCCCAGGTGAACTGAAGATGAGGCAAAGCAGCAGCACTTACTGTGGCTATTCCAGTCCTCAAGGCACAGTTAAACAGTAATCCTATAAAAATGCGAACAGCACATACATACATACATACCAAAGAGGTACAAACCAAAACATAATCATGCATAACAAAAGCAGATGAAAAAATGTGGAAGGAAAGGAGCAACATGAGCAGTGCCCCCAGGTAGTACTTGAGCCACAATGACTGACAGATGGGTCGAACTCTGGGACATGTGGTTGGGAAAAATGTGCTGTTTTACAGCCATGAGGTCTGCACGGGGAGGTCTAGCAGGCTTGAGAAGAGGAGGTTTCCTCTGGTGTTGGTGTGAGGGAGAAGAGGGTAGGTGCTGCAGAGCCTTCATCTGCACGCCGGCACTTCACCTGCTCCATAAACCACTGCCTAACGCAAACTAATGACCAGAGGAGTTTCAGAAATATTTTCTGTTGATCTGGAGTAAATTCTCTACAAGAGAGCAGTGCACCTAATCACAAACTGTCCGTCTACATCCAGGCCCTCATAAATCAGAGTTTGCGGAGAGAAAGGATGATGCGGAAACTCGCAGCGAGAGTAATGGGCAATTCACGCGAGCGGGCTGCCTGCCCACAGCACCCCCGCTTCCCAACCCTTAATTCTGGGGCACGGAACAAGGAGCTGCGGTAAAGATATCACTGAGCAGAAGGGATGAAGCAACGCGCTCACATTTCCCTGTATAAACCTCTGAGCTACTCAGAGGAATGAACAATTTTCCTCTTGTTTTCTTCTAGCCCAAGAGCTATGTGCACTGATGAGGAAAAATTCCCTCTCCATAAACCTTGCTGGGTGTTTTTGCACCTGTATTTCTTCATGAGCAAGAGAGAGGCTTGAATTCATTCTTTTTAAGACAATTTCTCCCATTATCAGCCAGCCCATGGTCCCGGCTCAGCAGAGGAGGAGGGGGCAGCCTCTTCCTCCTCGAGATGCAGCAACACTAAACACACAGTTAACAGCTTTGCAGGGGCAGATTGCCAATTGCTGGGGTAATCAGGGACTTCTCTCAATGCAACACTGAAGCATTCAGTATCTCACATATAATTTGATATTTGTATAGCCCCTTTTACACCAGGGGAACCTACAAGGCTTTACACATGGTGTTGGGTCAGGATATTAACGGTTGGTATTAAAACAGCGGAGGCGAGAGGAAGGTCATGGGCTAGATTAAAATAGTAGATATTTATCCAGGTAATGTTCCCCAATATCAGGATGGAGTTTCCTTCAGGGAACCACTTATGTGCAGGGCTACTCTTGAACAGCAACCATAGCACAGCAGAAACGTTTGCAACAGGAACTAAGCAGCAGCCTATTCCAATTCATAATACCGGGGAAATTTAATACAGAACAGAGTCTCATTCATATCAGGCAAAGTGCTGCCCAGCATTTGTGAAACACGATACTGTGGTTGCAAATAATAAGGCTAAAACATTTCTTTATAAAGTTTGTTTTTATACTTCAGATGAATTGAGACATACTATTAACTGTCTTTAAGAAAGTGAATATTAAAGACAACTTGTGTCAATTGTGCTTCAACAATTCTAATGCTTACTAGGATGAATATTAGATCATCTTGCTTAGATTGCTAGATTTGGATTTAGGTGCCTAAATTTAAGCACTCAGGCTTGAAGGCTTTGGCTGTCATCACTGAATCAATACTGCTCTGCTTTCAGAAGTCATTAGTTTTTGTTCTTTAGTCATTTAAATCAATGCATATTTCAGGAATGCTACCTTAGTTTAAAGGCATGAGCTGATCTGCAGAACAATTCCACGTACACTATAAACAGCATGGAAGACACATGTACAAATGGTGCACATTAGAGAGACACAGAAAAAAAAGAACACTGAAAAAAGCAAGTGTCCTTACAATAATTAGCACTGTCAAAATTAAAATGCTTGACAATTTTGCATTGATATAACAATACAATGGAAAGTCTGATAATTTTACTCTTTTTTCCCCTATTTTTTATACATTTTTTTTAAGCAGTGTTTCAATGTCAGTGGAAAAGTTTTGATCCATATGAAACGCTCTTCTCTCTTCCAACTATGTTTTTACCTCTAGCAATTTAAAATTTGAGGGCTTTATTGCACTTCAAAATTCTGAAGCCCTTTGTTACATGGCATGCCTGTCCTGCTATAGTTCTTTTCTACAGAAAAACTATATCCTTCTGTTGACAAGAACCAGGATTTTTCTCAACTATTTATGGTTTCCTTTATGAAAAATAATGAAGTAGCTGATGCTGCATCCACATTGACATAGAATATAAAGATAAATAGCACGGAGCAGTCAAATGGCAAGCTCATCAAAAGAGAAACAAGGGAGCTCGGTGCTGCTGGGATGGCTTGTGCAAAATTAAGTAATGACATGCAAATTCTGTCACAGAGCCCCTCTCTGGGCCACCTCATCACAGATGAAGGATACTGCTGATCTGGGAGGCTGCTCTTGCCTGCAACTCCTAGCAACGCCAATGCAGATTTTTCAGCTGCAACTTCAATATAGGAAAACCTAAATTTTGGGACAAAGACCATAAAGTGTCTCACAAAGTTTCAGAAATTTAGTAACACAGGTGGAGGTCATGGAAGATTGAACAAGACTGGCAAGGCAATGGGGAGCTGATGGGATACACAGCTTGCCTTTTCACCGACCACAGTCATGAGCTGCTGGTAATTGGACCCAAACTTTCTGTAATGTGCCCTAGCTGATGTTTCAATCCCCCTAAAGAGGAAGCAGGAAGCCAGGTGGCACTCAATGCTCTATTATACCAACATTTTTTCACTGCAATGAGAATTTCCACCACACACATACACTTAAAAAAAGAAAAAAAGGAATAAAGATCACAGTGGATACGTGCCTGTAATGATGCCGTTCTTTTCTACAGGTTCTTGCCAGCTGACCTTGAGAGACGTGTCCAGAATTTCGGTAAAGCTCAGGTGTCCCACAGCTCCTGGTTCTGGCAATCAGAAAAAGAAATGTGTTAGCGGGAGCCCCCGTCCCTTGATTTGGATGTGATTCACTGGGCAAGGGGAGGGCTGAGGAGAGCAAGCCCTGTGCCAAGGCCACCACAAAGCTGCTGGAACCACCAGTGAGAGCTGCAGTGGGGAGGAAGGAACACAAGGTGTTAAGCAGCGCTCTGGCTATCGCCACATGAATTATTTTTCACAGTCCTCATCCTAAATGTGCCGAGCACTAGAGAGACACAGCAGGAGACGCACAGGCAATGTGTTCACTGTGTCTCTTCCTGATCTAATCTAATTAGGACAACCTTGCTGGCTGAACCCTGGACGGGGCCGCATGTGTGGGGCTCCACCATGGGGCAGCTGCAGAGGCTCCTCTTCCAGCCCTGACTCCACAATGCCACCAACCCAAAACTCATCCCCAAAGAGCCTTTTGCCTCTGCAAGGTCAGGGCAAGGTCGGTGTTACCAAGCCAGCGCTAAGACAAACTCTTTCGAAACATCTTTAAAAATGTCCAACAGAATGGCAAGTAGCTTCTGCAAGAAATGAATACAAGTGTGGGAAACTTTTAAAGGATTTTTATGATGTAGCTCAAGAGCTCTTAAAAACTTCAGCTCCCTAGTGTGCCATGAAAGAGTATAAAAAGGAATGACTGTCAAGAATATGCCATTCTCCTTCAATTTTTATCTTCAAGGAAGACATCCTGACTGATTTTTGATCCAACTGCTGTTCTGTCTTCAATCGATGTACTGGAAAAAGGAGTTTTTGTTCACTTTATATTCACTGTACTTCTGTCATTGGATCCCTGCCTGAGTATCCTCCAGCTCCACTGACATCAGTTGGCAATTTCTCGGCTGCAATTTCATATTTTGTTTCCTCTTCACTTTAGTCCAGTTTCTCATTCCCCTCCAGCTACGATAAAGGGAAAAAAAAGAGCCTGCCAGGAGCTTGACTGTGACCACATTTGCAATTCTGCAATCCTAGGGAGGAAAAACTTCCAAATCCACTCTGCGATATCTGGTCGTCCAAGAATCCTGGAAAACTGCTGTGAGTCCAGGACTAGCTAAGCGAAGCCCAGGAACCACATGCCTTGTGGGAAGGGGGTATCTGCAGACCTCGACCTTGCAAAGCTTCGCTCCCCATCGGTCCCACAGCTACAGGCCAATTTTAACATCCTAATGGAAACCAGGTGCAGGTTGCACCAAGCCAGGACACATTGCTTCTGACTGCGTGTCAGGTTGTGCTTGACCTAGAGTTCTTCAGTAAACAGACTGGTCTGCACCATGTGTTTTTTTGTTCTTTTTGTTTTAAAGAATTGCTTGACTTTTCTGTAAAGCCAGGCAGAAAATTACCCACCTGAGAACATGAGTGACAATCCTTTCAGAGGGGGTTTCTCCCCCCACCACATAAATCCTAAAGCCACTCAGAGTCACTGGACTCTCTGCAAAGATGCATTATACCACACTACCTTTATCTTAATGAGTATCTTCTCAGTCATCACAAAAGCAAGAGAAAGTAATTCTGAGGGATCTAAAAATATATATATACACATACACCTGTCCATCTCTGCTAGCAAACTTTCTTGCAGCCAACAGCTAGACATTCTCACCCAGAAGTAAGTTGAAGCAGATCGGAGTTTGGCTTTCCAGAGTTTCAAGTTTCACGATGGAATTTTACCTCCTGCCTTCCGCGGGGTCTCTGATATGAAAGGTTCGTTGCTGGAGGCTTTCCCCCAGCAGAAACACTAACAGAGTCTCTTTCCTCCACTCAGCTGACTGATCTTCACTAAACCTTAGAGGTCTCCTATCTTCGACATTGGACTCTTTGGGAAATTTCACCGAATTGGCCGCTGGGTTCAAATGTGGTTAGAGGAAGGGAGAACAATAGATAGACATCAAGGCAGAAAGGCAAATACATTTACAAAGCACAATTGCAGAAATTGTCATTTCCTTAGGAAAACAGGCAAAAATGCTATACTTGCACACATGAACCCAACACAATGTTTTTCTTCTCTCCATGCTTTTTGCTTTCACCTTAAGTCAACACGTGTGAGGTTATTTTAATAGCTCATATTTCTGATAGCTCAATTGCTCTCTCTGAGATCTTCAAACCACCAAAAGGTTTAAATCTAAAATTCGCTTTTTCTGTACAGACCTGGGATATGGAGGAGATGCACCACAAAAGCAAAATCCATGGACAAGTACTTAATTTTCTTCACACTCTTTCAAGAGTATCTCACGAACAATTGCATTAGCGCTTTAAGCCTCACTTCTATGAATATTAATGCAGTCCATAATCAGATTTTTCTTTACGGGAACACTGACTAACCTGAAAGATCCCTATTAAGGCAAAGTAGCATTTCTAAAAACAATACCTTAATGGGCGTATTGGACGATTTTTGTTCTGATTTTTCTGTAAATGGGAAGCAGTGTTTACGATGCTCCATCAAAGGAAGGAGACTGAAGTGTGGGTCAGAGCCAAGATTGCCATGGACAAGGAGTGAGCTGTGAGGACCACTGCAACTTAATCATTATCTGCATCATACACATTAAGACTTGTTAGCCCCAAAACAGTCTTGGACAAACACTTCCAAGGGACAGTAGAGGTCAGAACATTCTGTGATGCAGCAAATAATTCATACACTCAATTATTTTATTTCATTCTAAAAATCTGAGTCCAGTTTTGCAGAAGGTTATTGTGCTATTCTGATCTTAATTCTTTTGTTTTTATACAAATTCTTGCAATATAATACAGTTATATTTTCAATATACCGAATACCAGAAGGAAACTATCTTAAATGTACTGTGCCAATCCACATGTAAGTATTTAAATATGCAAGTGTCAGGAATGGCCTCATCTGCAGAAATGCTGAACTTCAGCACTGCCCTCAACCTCCACAGGACGTTCTTAAGCTCAGCTCCTGAGAAGATCAATTAATACTCATTTGGATGCCTAAAAATGGCTTGAAGGGTTCAAATGGCATAAGGGTTCAAGAAGACATAATCATCTTAGTGTGTGCTAGCTGAACCAGACTACAGCACATCCAGCTTCTGGCAAATCTAAGAAAATCCATCTAGGCCTAGACCACGATGGAAAAAATACTAAGTGCCACAAGCTAAAGGAACAGCCGCAGATAATTGCCTGGCCTCATCTGATGCAAAGCAACTTGACAGGATACGATAACCCGAATGCAAAACAGAGTCCCTGTTTTAAAAGTCTCAATTTGACAAATCTGGCCTTTATACAAAGCCAAACAAGCTTCCAGGGGTGAGGTTCCCTACCAGGAGCGAGTACTCACTGTCTTCCAGGGTGCGCAGGAGCTGGGGCGCGCTGCGCGGGCCATCGCCAGGTGTGGTGAAACACAGCACCGAGGTGTAGTAGGCAGTGAATTTCTTCAGGTTGGTGATGCAGCCGCTGTGAACCCCGTGGAAATCCGGAGCAATGGTGACCACGGTGAGGGTCTCTGGTGCATCCACTGGCCACGCGAGAAGCTGCAGTCCAAGGAAAGAGTGAAATGGAACAATGCTTGATGGAATAGCAAGTTGTATTTTCTTTTCTAAAGCACCTTTGGGGGATTAGAATTGTCATTTATAACTTGGAGGGACTGTACTTTTTCCTCGAGATTATTTCATTGTGCATTCTTCAGAAAGTCTGCATGAAATAAAGGTGAACGCTTCTGTCAGCTAAAGGACATAAGGTGTTTAACCCTTTGGAAAAGCAAAGGCCTAACTTTGACTACTAGTAATTTAAAAATCATGAAAAAAAAAAAAGGCAGTAGAAATAGCTGTGAAAGAAATGTTCTCACACAGCCTTCGTAATGCAATTCAAAATCCCCATGAGGAACCGGAACGCTAAAGCTCTCACAATCTAATGCAGTTAAAGAAATCAAAGTAAAGAGAAATTTTCATCATTTCAGAACGGTTTTCACTGACCACTGACAGCTACAAATCATGATTTTAGCTATTTTGTACAATTGCTAAAGAAACAGACTTAAATTAGAAGTAGCTATGCAACGAAATAAACATCTTTATACTGAAATGCTTGTGTTTGAACAAAACAAAGAGTAAAAAGCTAAAATATCGCTTTTGGAAACCTGAGCTCACCCTGTTTGGATTCCCACCAGAATAATGCACTGAGTTTCAGTTCACAGAGCCCCAAAAATGTTTTCATTCCCAGAGTCTGAACAGAGCTCAGTTACTCCTTCTGCACTGGGGTTTTCAGAAGTGCACTTGAAGCCCAAATTCCTTATCAGCCACGTCGGCCCGAGAGCTGCTGGGTCTGTGTCTGGGAAAACCAGACAGCCATACATCTGCATGTATATATTGCTATATTGCTTTGGCAGAGAGATTCTGCAACCACCACTGTTCTTTGTATCTATTAGCCTGAGAAATGCACAGATCTGGCCAAAACTACGAAAACTCGCGTGCACTTCTCACCCTTAGTTTCCTCATCACTTTGAAGCATTCTCAAAAAAGGATCAAGTCATCCAAAACGCCTAAAATCCACCCCAAATCCCTCAATCAGCAGCCTGCCTTTGAACTACACGTTACTTTGAGCTCAGCTTAGACTCCCTCCGCCAGCAGCTCACCCAAGCTCCCTCCCGCTGCTGATACAACTCGCCGTCCTCTTTGCTTCTCTGTGATTCCTACAAGATTTCTCTTTTGTTCTATCAATATTTTTTTTTTGCCCTTCCTTTATCAAGCCCACACTGATGAACCATTGAAGAAATTTCTATTAAGCAATCCTTCCTGAGAGATGGAAATAAAGCACTCGAGCTACCTTCTTAGTGTACACTCCACTGGTCCAAGTACCAACAAGTGCTTGTGAAGCACCCTCTGCTCTGCACACGGTAATAGATATTGCCAGTTGCACCATCAGCAGAGACTGTTCATGCTAACTCTGTCATCAGGCACTACTAATAAATTTTACATTCCTCTCACTCTCAAATCATCACAGCAGGAAAGCTAAGACAAATATTGAGTGTGACATCTTGGTTCGTAATGAAATGAATGGGAATTTTGTGTTCAAGTCTATAGACTTCCCAAGGTTGATTTTCAGTGGCACAACATATCTCACACGCTGCCTTTCCAAAGCGTTTGACATGGAATTGCTTTTTGTGTTTTGGAAACTCTCCAGGTAAATGCCAAAGGGATTAGGACTTCTAGCCCATGACATATTTCCTTCTCCTCTCTGAGGACTTACATTAATCTGCAAACATCATGTTAGGAGCAACAACAGCTCAGTTTTCTCTTTTTCCTCTTTTCACACACTCCTGATAATGAGCAGCCACAACGGAGATGCAGAGCTTGTGAGATTTAAATTAATTCTGACATATATCAAGACTGTAGTCAAACTTGGAGAACTCTTGTTTCTACTCACCTTGTATCCTTGGTTGATGCCATTGATGAACTGCTGGGGTGGTGGATTCCAGAGGAACTGGATGGTGGTGGAGTTCACGGCTTCCACGCGCACGTTTTGTGGCGGAGCTGTCGGCACTGCTCCCACACAGCAACCAAAATAAAGCAGAGGGAAGGACGGATGAGGGCACAGAAGAGAAAAATGAACCCAGAACCTACTCATGAGTCACAAGGAAACGCCAGCTGTGAGAAAAGGGTGCACTTCTGGCGATATGGCAACCAGCAGTGATGTGCAAAGAGAGGTAATTGGGTTATTTTCCATTTCGTTTGGGAGATTTGTTTCAGGAGAGGGGCTGAAATGATGCCTACAGCTTATTAGGCCACAAATGAGTTTCTCATCTAGACCTGAGACAGAAGCGAGCTGAGACAGGTGGACACATCTCGCTCAATTATCCATGGCTGCACAGACAATGAAAGGACTCACCACAAAATTTCTCGAGCCCTTTAATTTCCCTGAACACACCAGCAAATATGAAGTCTGCACGATTAGAAATCTAATTGTGAATTATAATCTGGCAACAGCATCTGTTTATTATTTACTGCTGCATAAAAAAATCATGATTAGTCATACCTGCTAAAGATTTCTTTTTTGGGAAACTGAAGACATTCTCATTTTATCTGATACTGATATTGGATCAATATACACATTCTAAGCCAATACATCCTCAAACCTACTAGAAGTTGTAAAAAAATACGTCATGTCAAGTGTTTAAGAGATTTTTTTTCAACACAAAAGAAAACATGGCACAAAGAGGTAAACTGGCTTCAAACAAAGAACTAACACCGAAGTATTTCAAGAGTTAACGTAATGTCTCTTAAACAGCTTCCAGACAATTTCCAGCAATTGCTTTAGGATGCCATTTTTGTAGTTTGCAGAGGAAGGAATATCAATAGTCAATATATAGTTCATAGTACGCTTACTCAGAGAAAAACAAGCATAAATAAAGGCCTAATATCCTTTGAATGCTAAAAATAAATTTATTACAGCCACATATCTATAAGCGGAGTAATCCACAAAGAGACCAGGTCAGAAACGACCAGAACTTCCCACTCTCATGCCACTCCTCAGTGACTACAGGACTTGAAAATTTAGCTCTGCACATTTTTGTGTACCACAGAACTGCATGTTATTCCGGATTCTTTTGCCCTAATGTAAGACCCAATGTCACAATTTATGAACTATACATAATTATTGAGTTCTAAAAACAGAATTTATCTAATACTACTCTAAATTCTCATTAGAATCTGGCCCCTATTTCCTGCTGTATATTACAACTCCCTGTATGCTTTTGGAAGGTTAAAATATTATCTTAATGACCTGTAGACACCATAAAGTTTTTGTGGTTAAGAGATTCACCAAATCATCCTGATATACAGTCATATATATTAATGTCATTATATAGTCATAATGAGCTGCTTTGGCTACATTCCCCTACTAAATTTTTTTCTTATTCGTGTTCTTTGATGAAATCTGTTCATCACGAGAACCACAAGATGTACTTAAAGTTGCTTTGGTGTGCAATACTTTGTACAGTTTATGGTTGACAAGAGGAGATTTTATGAAATTAAAATTCATACTTTCCAGCACATTTGCATATTCTCATATTGTATTTGCCAGAGACTTGCTACAGTAGGAGAAAATTGTATTAGCAAGCTTTGAGTTAGTTCTTTTATCAGAAAGTCATCTGGATATCATTGGTAGATTAATCCCCTTCTGTCGTGAAGGGTAAATCAGCTTTGCATCATGCCCCTCTCCACCCATTCCTCTTCCCTCTGCTCTCCTGCTATGTTACAACCCTATCTGTAGGTGCTGTGCTGATTTGCTAACATAGGATATTTACGTGGAAAATCTATACATATCATAGATGCTGCTCTACAGCCACACCTAGGGATATGTGCCAAGGTGACCCATTACCTGAGAGTTACCAGAACCATGACTCCCAGTAGGACATTTCTACTGCCTTCCTCAGTGCCCTAAAATACGTGGTAGCAGCCACGCATTCGTGAAAGACCCAAGGATGCTCTCAAATCAATAGCAAATTTCCAGGATCTTGATAAGGCCAGGATTTTATCCTACGAATCTGATAAGCCTTTTAGCTATGTGAACAGTGTCCAATTGAAAATACTGTGAATTTTTTAACAGAGGGAAAAAAAAAAAAAAAAAGCCTAGGTCAGAAAGCTGTAAGTCTGCATTTATAGTCATTCCTGCATCACACCTCAAAAAAGCCCAGACAGGCATTTTAGGATAGGCTACCAAACTTTTGGAAATGTGGATAACCCAATGCATTAGTTATTTCTTTAAAAATGTGAAATATTTTTCTTTCATTAGTAGGTAATTCCCTGAAACAAGAATAAATCATCATAGCACAAAGAGTACCTGCTATAGGAAGACAAATGATAAAAAGCATGACCAGAAAACATAAGGCCTTCAGAATGCTGGAAATTGTGATTTATATTACAATTCATCTTTGGACAACTTTATTGAAAAATCAACATCTGCATCTCAATGAATGCATTTAAAAGCTGGAAAGAACACGGTCTGTCTAACACGCATAAGCTTAATTATACTGCAGCAGACATAATATAATACATTTTTACATTTTTATCAGTAAAACATTGGCATTATATCCTCAAATTTACTTCCAAGTGCCAGTACGAAGTTCTCCATTTTATGTTGTGATATTAATGACTTTCTCCGGTATCTGAACAGTTTTGCATTTAAAAACATGAGGGAAACTAAATGTTTTATATACACAATTGACCTTCTGGTCACTTCAAACATCAGACACTTTCCCAAGATCACGTTTAGCAACTTGCTCAGGCTGCAACTGGCCTCATAAAGGGCTTTCTAATCAGAGCTACTATTTAGTTGTAGGCATCCATCCCGATTTCCCTAACTTCCTTGTGGTCAAGCTATATAGAAATTACCGATATCAAAAAGGAGTTTTGAATGTAATCTGTAAGTATTTAAATCGTTTCTTAAATCAGATCCTCATCTTGTTTGCAAGCATTCCTAGAACACTTCACACTGGAGCCCCATTTCAAACTGGATGTCACATCTGCCTCTCATTTCTGAACTGTAGATCAAATTGGTCGGGCAAAACCAACTGCTCGTTCCACTAGTCCTCCCTGTAATGCTCTCTGGGCTTGAATCTGCCAAAACTCAGGTGCCCAGGCAGCAGGTTAGTGCCCGGCAAGCACTCTAGGTCAGACAGGCACTCTAGATAAAAGCCATTAAAAGGGTTTGGTCGACAAGATAATTGAGAGATGAGAAGGCATCAGGGTAAAGCATGTGCACATGTAATTATTCTGTCTCTAGCTATGTGCAAATAGCATGTAAAGCCTGCACAGATTCCGACAGCCAGGCAAGGGGGTTTAAATATAAATCTTCAGCAAAGGGCTTGCCTCCTCCTCCTCCTCCCCAGCTCCTGACCTTTGGGAGGAGAGCTTCCATGTCTCAATAAAGCAGGCTCAGGGAAGTGCAGGTTTTTCTTTAAGTGAGGATTCAGTTGCTCCTTTAATGCGCTGGCTTGAGGAGATAAGCTGCACGGCCCCAGTGGGAGCCGGGGAAAGCTCTGCCTCGGAAGCCCTGGATCCCCGGTGCGGAGCACATTCCCCACACACCTGGCTGACACCCTCCGCTGTGCCTGGAGCTGCAGCAGGTGCCCAGAACGTGCTCCCTGCAACCCTGCACATGCCAATAGTTGAAATTCAGACACATTGGATTTGGCAGTAACTGAGGAGCTTGCTACCTGCAGCTGGGAAAGCCTGCTTCTCTCCCTGGTGCCTCTCGAAAGGACAAGATTTTACCTCTTTAGGAAGCAGGATTTTGCAGCTTTCCCTGAATTTTGATGTCAGCAAAAGCTGGGGGCAGGGGGCTTCGGCGAGACCATTGCCAAGGCCACCTTTGTGAAAGCATTAAAAAAAGAAAAGGCAGTAGGTGGGAAATGACCCCCAACAGTGATAAAACTAAGAGCTATAAAATCCAAACACTGCAACTGCAGTCTGCTTCAGCAGCAAGAGCAGCTGGCCACGGATGCTTCACTGCTGTAGGTAAATTCTCCATAGGCAGTGAATGAGCATATTTAAGTTTTGGCAAGTAAGGCTGAGGAAAAACTAAGGGAAATCCTGTGTTTCACCTAGATAAAGCGGAACGCCTGGAGAGGATTATTCAAAGATTCCTTTTTCAAAATTATTTTCTGGTGACAGCAGGAAGTTTTCAATTAACAGGGACAATTAACATTTTTCCAGCTCTTATGGAGCTCTTTTCTCACATCCTATGAATCTCTCTGCCTCCCTTCCTATTCCCAAAGACCGTTGGACCTGCCTGGACAGACGCATCTAGTTTTTATCCTCCTCTCCATAACATCGAGACTCCCTAGTCTGGTGAATCTTTTGCTCAATTTTTCTGGCTTTTCAGGATGTTCACACACAGTGCAAAAGGGAAAATAAAGCAATAATAAACTACATGTTGAGGCACCTCTTGCGCTACACTGTTCCTATAGGTAAAAACTCTCTATGCAGCAGACTGTCACAAACCCCTGCAAAAAGGAACATCAAAGGAAGGAACAGCTGGAGAAGCTCTGATGAAGAAAGATCTATATATAGAGAGCATCAAAGCATTATGCTGCTCCTCACTCGGAAAAGACTTGCAAGATTCAGAGACAGTCAAACTGTCTGACCTTACTACTAGGATGTTCAGTGCTTTGCCAGTAAGTCTCCCTGACATTGGATCTAACTGGCATTTTGTGCCAGTTTCCCTGCAAGGTTAGATCTTCTGGCATCTTCCAGGCTTGGCGACATGCTGGGCACCGGCGATTTCCAAAGAGCTTTGAGTGGCTGATTAGTTATCGGTGAGCTAAAGCAACACCAAGGACTAATAAGGGATTAATGGAGTGGATTCTGGTGTAAATCCACGGTTTATAGAACCGGTCAATATTCATCATGACAAAGGTGCCAATGTGTTGATCTGCTCCTGCCAATGGGTTGATCTGTTCCCGCTGTTCTTTTCCCGCTAGGCTTGGACTGCCTAGCGTACGTGATTAATATGAGGTATTTCAGGTATTTTTCATCTGCAGACAGACAGGCTCTTGCCAGCATAGCTCAAATCATTTAATGCATGTCAAAATAGTGGTGGTGGCGGTCGGGGGAAGGGGATGGATGGGAGTGTGTGTCTTTGACATTTATCTCAGCTCATTTTAAAATCAGAATACGATTTACAAGGCAGCTTTACACATGGCTATTTTTTACTCCTGTTGGTTGGGCTTGGGAAGGACATTCCACAGCAAGAAACTGCCACTGGCTTTTCCAGCCATTTCCCAACTGCAAGAAACATAGAGGAGCAAGACTTAGGACGGTAGTGCATTGCATACGGAGACTTGATATTAATTCGCTTTCAAATTAGACCGACACCAACCAGCCTCCCTTCTTTTCAACTCTAAATGTAAAAAGGCTTCAACTCTTTTTAAAACAGACTCTATGCCTTAGGTGATTTGTGCAGAACTCTAGCAAGGCTTTCATTAGGAGATGACAGCATCCATTAAGTAATTATTCACTACTACTATCAAATATTGATTTAAAATAAATAAGAAATAAGTAGTTTTTCATCTATGTCTAACCACCATCAAACAGTTAAGAATTATATAAAGATGAACCGGCCACTGCAGACTGTCCTGCATTCTAAACATTCTTGCTTGTTAATAGGAATGCAGGACTGACTTGCACTTAATTTATAGCAGAGGAGTTATATCCTTATAAATGACAACAGACAGCCAATCAATAAAGGATGATTTTAACAGCACGTAATATCAAGGGAAATTAGAGTCAATTGCAGGGTTAAAGAACAGGCATGTGAAGTCAGAACCTGAGTCTTAATAGATGGAGGGTTAAAGTATCAGGACAGCTCTAAAATGTCCAGATAAACAAAGTCATGAATTACAAGCACATGAACCAAAGAAATTCAAATTCTACGTGCAAACTAGTTCTCAGCAGAGATCTGGTCTTTTGTGGGACACAAAACATTAATCTTGGTTGTAAGGAAGGGACTATATGTAAAACATTCCAAGGTCTGCTAAAAATACTGCTAGGAAAAGGTGGAGTGTGTCTAGCCTTTTCTAAACTGTGAGGCTTTAGTTGTTCTTAAGACAGGATATGCACAGCTTCCTTCTTTAATTGTTGCAGTTAATTAGTGCTGCATGTGAATGATCTTATTTTAAAGATCTCCTCACAATTCCAACTGTATCTAATCACATTATAATGTACTCCTAGCAACAATTAACAAACAACTACATATTCTTCACTGATTATAAATTAACTGATGTACTGTAAAACTGTAAGTTTTTAAAATAGTTTGTTTTATGACCAATAAAGTGGAGATCATGTACTGTCCAGCACTCAGAATTCAACACAATCCTGTAATTATGGGAATATATGAAAGCTCTAAGGGCCTCGTAGTTAATTATCTCAAGGATTTTTATAACAATCTAGAGGCGTAAACATGCCTTACACTGGTTATAAAATGTAATTACATATCCTTTTGTTGATGTAATTTATACTCTTCTTAAAGCACTTACCAGAAAGGTATGCAGGAGCTGCAGCATAAAAATCAAGGATTTAAAGCCCATTTTATCTTCCTCATGCAAAAGCTGGTATCATTCCTGAAATGCTACAGAATCTGCTTTCTCTACAGGCCACATTTGTTCCCTCCTGCTAAGACAAACTCTTTGGGAATGGCTGGTATGCTTGGCATTTGTGTCCCATATTGCATATATGGCCTCTGACCACCACAAAGCCGGTCCCTACCATATTCTGTGTCTCAGACCAGAGCCCTCTCAGCCCATCACATCCTTCCCATCCACTCCACAGAACCTCAGCTCTCTTCAGCATCTCTCCTCATAACTTTTGCTCTGGTTGATGCTGACCTGCAAGAGCACTAACCCTGCGGGTCAACAAGAAGAAATGCTGCTTAGGAAACTGTGCTCTAATCTGTGATTTTGCAGGATTTATTGCTCTGATTTGCTCACCTCCCTGTAAAGTGTACTCGGTCACAGGTCTGCTGAATGCTCCCAGCCCAGCTCCATTGTAAGATGCCACCTGGATTTCATACTGGGTCCAAATGATGAGGTCTTTCACTAGGCAGTAGTTAATTTCGGCACTGGTGATGTTCTTATACTGGTATTCCCCAGGGAGCCCTGCCAGGCGATACCTGCCATATGGGAAGAAAAACTTGTTATTAATTAGATGGTATCAATTATAGCAAATATTCCGCCCAGCAAAACAGCTTCCTTTGTGCAGAGGCAATGTCCAAACCTTTACAGCAGAATTATACAAAGAATTAAAAAAAAAAAAATAAAATAAAAAAAAAAAAACAGAAACAACAGACTAATTCCTGATAAGACTGTATCTTGTTTGCGTGCGATAGTATTTATAATCTGATCTCGCTGAGATTACATGCTCAGGGCTAAACAAAACTGGTATTTTATCCTGTTTTACGGTTGTAGAAAAATTATAGCTTTTTAAATGTGGCTTGTCTAGTAAAAGTCGTGATTTAGTACAAAAAAGCAGCCCAGATGTGATTTTTATCAGGGTGCTGCTGTGAATCAGTTTGAGAAATGCTTTTTTCCTTTGCCTCTGGAATCTGAAACGGACGAGCTCCGAGGGTGCTGACCTTCCAGGCTCAGGCGTTGCCATCTCTGGCTTCTGCCAGGACTCACTTTGCAGCATGAATAAAATAACGACTGAATATATTTGAGGTTGCAGGAACGGCTAGAACTGGAAACTCCAGGGGTAAGGCTGAGACAAAAAATGGATTAGTGGCGAATATCTGAAAATTTCTGCTGCTAGACAAGAAGGAAAACAACTGAATACACATTTCCTTCTAAAACCTTTACAGAAAACAGACTCTGTTTGATGTTTTTCTTTAGGCCCAAAAAAATAGAGAGAATAAATAAATTGTAAAAAAATAAACCTTGCAAGCCTGTGAATGTGAATAATTGTGTTTGGTTTTCTTTCTTCAATAAGATGGCACAACGGATGCTTACAATATGCTAATCCCCAACAAATCAGAAAAACTAAGACCAAGTAAGGGCACGAAGCATTACTATTTCATGAAAAGACAAACATGGGAACATTTGGATTTTAGTCATCGTACAGCTTTTATGGAGTCTTTTTCATTATTTACTTGACAATAATCACCAAAAACCTATTGACACAAAACAGTTTCATTGATATGGTGTGATCTGAAATTCATCCAAGTTAAACTTAGCACTATATCTAGCACCATATCTAGCACTAGCAAACTTCTGCACGTACTTAGGAAACAGAATCTGTTGTAAAGTCTTCTAATAAAGAAATCAGATCTTTATCACTGGCAACCCCTCCCTCCTCTGCTGCAAAGCTGCTTGTCCAACCATAATTCAGTGCATTTCACATCTGTACTGAAATACCAGCTAAGTTTATTGAATGTCCTTCCCTTTTGCCATTTAGTGCAGCATCTTTTCTTCTTTGGGCACTCGTCAAGGTTGTATGAATGTTGGCAAAGGCAATTCTTCGTGCAGTCCTGCTTTGTCTCACACCTAGCAGACAAGGTGTGGAGAGCTCCTGTGATCTAATCTATTATGCTGTTAGCACAGCACTCCTCTAAATGCAGCCCTGCCAGGGAGAAAAAGGGCAGAGGGAGAAGGCCAGTTCAGAAATGTCATGTCTTCCTGATTTTTTTCACCACAGGCTTTGATGAACACTCTCTATGACTTGTGCAGTGCACCTTCACTTTTAAAGATCACATGTTTTATCACTGCAGTGTCTTGCACGTCTGCAGTACTGGGTCTCTGGGCTGCACTGTGGTTTTGATTTTGCCATCCTCTAATTCTCCACAGAGCCACTGTAGTAATACCCATTTGCTGGGCACATATTGTGCACGCTACACATTTTGACTGGCAAGAACAGCTTGGTTTATTACCTGGGACAGTTGCGCTTTTATATGACAAACTTAAATTCCTGTCAAATAAAGGCTTTCTCTGCACCGTAGTCTAGACAAAGCATTTAGACATCAAAAATGTTCACATATTGCCAATAATGAATATGATCACTCGCTATTAAAATGGAAAGTGATGTTATAGCGAGGACAGGGATCAATTATGCTAATAGCTAATAGAAAATGCTTAAGTTAAACATGTTAAATGCTATATGGAGGAAGAGAACTGAACAGATTGCCAAAAGCAGGAGGCTATTTGGACTGCTTGCTCAGAGGGGTTCATGCCCACAAAGGGTAGGAGCCATTAGGAAGAGCTAAGGAATTAATCCTATCATTCAATAGCTTTGAAGCATAGGACTCTATAAACAACACTTAAACCCCATGTAAATGGGAACCCAGATTTCACGACAAGATTCTGGCCACGGGCAGAATTTTTCCACTTGTCACAGATGACTGGCCCAGCTCTCAAGCTGTGTCCAGCTCTCGAAACCGCAGGCACTCGCGCAAGCTGCTGTAATGGGCTCTGTGCAGGTGACAGGGAGATTAACAGACTCCAGCTCTGCCTGCAGAGAGAAGGAACTTTCCAGCACTATTTTGGGAACTCACCAACACTCTAACATCACAAAAGCAACTTCATCCATGCCAGCAAAAATGAAAACACAGCGTGAACAGGGTGCTGGCACTTCTACCGCAGCATTTAGTTATCTTTCAGTAGGTCTGAAGCACAGCACATTAAAAATGGCAGCGACCTGACTACAAGTGGGTCTAACCATCACTTGGAGAGATGTCAATGGTGGTGTAATGCTTGGGAGTTTCCCACAAAATGTCTAATTTAGATAATGTCTCCCTTACTAAAGGCAATGCCCTAGCTGGCTGCTAGCACATCAGGATAAGGGGAAAGGCAAGTAAGCAAATAAACAGTAGTTGGATTAGGTAGGAGTGAAAAACTGATTCCTAAGAGATTAGAAAAGGCTTGTGCTCTGCAAGGGGTGGCAACACCCTTTCCAACAAAATGAATCCTGTGAAAGCTGAAAGACTGGATATATTACGGATTCCCAGTCACCCCTCTGAATCTACTTCTCTGTAATAAATATAGCTGGGGCTGAAGGAATCTTACTCAACTGACTGGTTTTCAAAACCAAACCAAAGTCTGCCGTGAAGCACCTGACCTCTCATTCTCCTCTCCATGCTGTTGGGCACAAAACTGAAGTTTACTGATGCTGTTCTTGTTCTTTGATAATGCAGGATCTCTTTGTTCATGAGGTACTTTGGTAAGATAATTAACTTACTTTGGTAAGATAATTAAGGCAAGGTAAGGTAAGGTTAAGGTAAGGTAACTTACTTTGGTAAGATAATTAACTTTTCTAGTAGGAAGCTGAGACCGCAACAAAGAAATATATATTTGCAATCCATAAGCTGCACTGTACCAGTCCACGTAAACACTTCTAGCATATGGTGCTTCACTTCCCTTTGAAAATAGGAGAGGTTGTCTGGCCATGAGAGTCTCCGCAGGGAGCCAGTGCACACAGACAGTCTGTTCAGAGCAGCTAACAGAGCAAAAAGGAGCCCCCAGCTTCAGGACTCTCCAGTTTAGACAGACCAGGATTTAGCTAACTGGATTTTTGTGGCCACTTAAACAGAGACCTTCCCTCACCCGTAATACACCAGGGCAGCCATGACATTGGTAAGCAATAATTAATATCTTAAAATGCAAATTGGGAATAGCCTTTAACACCTGCCTGAGCCGCGTTGCATTAGGGATTCCCTAATTCACACGTGGATCTCGCTCCGTATTTGCTCTGCTAGGAAGCAAGCAACTCACCTCAGGATGTACCCGTACAGCACTCCGTTGTGTTCGCTCTCCGGAGGAGGCTGCCACTGCACCATGATGGACTGGTTAGTGCGGCCACTGGCCACTATGTTTTTAGGGGGGGCGCTGGGGGGCTCCTCGGGGAGCATCAATCTGGAAACAGAACAAGGGGCTGGAGATGAGCGTTGATAGGAAATGACAGATAACATTTCTTTTTTTTCCCACTATATGAGAATCACTTCCGTTTATCGAAGCCCAATGACTAGAAAGAACTATAATGCTGATCAAACTGCTCAAGACACGCATGAAATAGTTACAACAAATCAACATAATAGGAAATCAGTTAAGCAAGCCACAAGACAGACAGCTGAAGTAACCTTGTTCTCTCCGAATCGCCCAGGCTGCTGCAACACTTTAAAAAGATTACAAGCCTGAATGAGTTAGAGAAAAGGTCCAGTATCTGTGGCTCTTCCCGAATTGTTTCTTTCAATATTTTTCATATCAAACTCCTCCATTTCGAAAAAGCCATTTAGAGCTCAGCTGTTCTGCAATTCAAGCTCACAGCCAGCTTGGGTTCACAGAAGAAACGGGATGCATTTGAAAGTAAATTCGATGAAGCCATCCTTCTGCGTCACATCTGGGTGAATTCCAGAAGTGACACTGTGATGACTGGGGGAACGCTGTGCTTCTTCCAGAGCGAACTGCTGGGGCTTAACACAATCGGGAAAAATATTTAGGTCGCACTTAGACTTAGCTTTCAAGATGCTGTTCAACTGATATTCCAGAAATACGAGGGCATCTCTCTCCCAGAGTACGCTGATATCCTGCATCTCTTAATTGCCATTTATACCAATTACTGACTGTTCCAGAGCAATCTCCAGAGGCCTGAGAAACAGCTAACTGCTCTATTACCCAATTATTGTGTGAAAGATAACTTTATTAAAAAAACAAACAAACAAAAAAATCCAAAACAGCAGTTTTCTCTCGCAGCAGCCCTAGGTTATTCCACTGCTTCTACCTTTACTGCACAGGGACTTTCTTTTACGGTACCTGCTGGTCTCCGAGCTGTACTGGCCCTTTCCCACCTGGTTCACAGCGCACACCCTAAACTGGTAGGTTCGGGCTGGAGTTAGTCCACTCACAGTGACACCGGTCATCTTTGGGTCGAGATTCGAGAGGTGAACCTTCCAGGGAGAATCTGTTGGAACAAATCGGGTGTGAAACACATCGAGGTGTTAGTTAAAAGCCCTGTAAAGGTGACAAACAGCCTCCGAAGGCACAGAGCGATCCGTGCTCGTTTTCCCTTGGAAGAACTTCAGGAAGAAGTTCCTTCTCAACAAAAGAAACCTCCCGATCAACCCACACAGTTAGGCAGATTGCACATTTGTCTCCTGGAAAGTGATGCTGCACATGTCACGGCATAATAAATAAAAACTATATTCATTAACATTTTAATAAAAGAGGAAGCGAGCATGATAAAGACAGATGGGCTGTGCATTTCACAACCCATCTGTTTGGCAGTCCATTACACCACCACACCCATGAGTGGCTCTGCTGGAAGGGCTCTAATGAAATTCGCAGCCGCTCTGGAATATCTCCCTACCCAGCTTGCAAGCAGGTGTGGAAGCGTGACTCTCTCTGCTAAATCAGCTCTTTGCTGCAAGACTTGAGAAAGTTTCTGCTGCGGATTCTGCATTTTTTTTCTAGAGATAGGATACAGCATTCAGGCTCCTCGTTTTTAGAAAGATTTCCTGGTACGTGCAGCCCCGGCGGTACTATCAAACCCGTGCTGTCAGTTCACATCCTTCAGTTGCCAAGCTCCTTTGCTGCCCTAATTACATTTTCAAGTTTTCAAAGAGGTCGGAAATGGAATAGGTTGAAAATTAAATATCCCGACTTCTTCTCTTCCTGGCATGGTGTCATATATTCTCCCCCAAACCATGGCTGACACAGGCAAAGAGAGGCGATATGTGGTCCGTGTTGCAACAGTGCAGCTATGGAGTCAGCCAATTTAAGGATTTGTTCCGTTTTTGAATAATAGCAGCTGTTTTCTTGCTCCCTGCTCCAAATTATAAACACTTCTGGAAATTACCGAGGAGCTAGCTGTAGATTTTGGCAACGTATCTGTGCGTGTGGCTCATCAGAAGGGCATTGCAGTTCCTGGCAGGTCACCTAGACGTCTGCCTGAAAATGAAGATGAGATGTCCCAAATGTGGAAGGCTGCTAAACTTCACACCAAGAAATAAGCCACTAATTTAGTGCTTTTCTGGCAGATTCCTTAGCAAGTCTAAGACCTCTGGGGCGTGATGCCAGTTGGGCTATAAATGCGGCGTCTTTTAATTATTCAAAATATATTTATTCCAGTAATAGCTTTCTGAGAACAAAGTCTCTTTTTAACAGGAAAACTGACACAGCAAAATGGCAGGGCTGGAGAGGGACATTTGCACAGCAGTCAAGCTCCATCAGCACCAGTCGTCGATGATTTACCAACAGTCACTTCAGCTGCAGGACTGGGATGGCAATTTGTCTTAACTGGAGTTTCTTTTAGCAGGCACCTGCACTAACTCAGAGAGCCCTGGCTGGTAGGTGTTGGAATCTGGCTCCTCGGGAAGTTTATTAGGCTCCTCTTGAGATTTTCCAAGCAACCGCTCACCTTGTTGCACGCAGAGTGCATTAAAACAAACCATGGGAAGCTGAAGCTAAGTTATAGCTAACTTATTAAGTAGCCCAAAGCAGATTCCTGAGCAGAAAGGGGAGAGGAAAATCTGCCCACAGCCCCACTGATAAGGTTGGGGTCCAATCCCTTGGGCAAACCGGTCAGTGTAAACAGCACCCGCGTGGGCTTAACCCCAGCAGCTCAGTGTAGTGAGCGGTTCAATTCAACAACGGGGCTTATTAATCTCTCCAGTACCTTAGGGCTTTGTTCTGTTTATATGCTGCATCTGTGGAATACTTTATTTATTCTTTTTCCTCTCCTGGTGGAAGATAAAAGATCTGGCAGGACGAGAGATTAAACTGAAAACTAATATAAACGAACCCTATTCATCTCCCAGGCACTCCGATTTCTAAAGGAAAGTATTTGGGGAGGATTTGCTCGCTCATGGAGCGGTGGATACAGTGAGTTTGCAGAGTATCTCTAAAATTTAAATGTCAAGTTTCTTCTGACAATCAATAAACTAAACATCTTGAAAGCCTGTTCTTCCATCTAAAATACATCACCATCCCCAGAATTGTGCAGAAGCTCATTTCACCACGTTAAAAAAAAAAAAAAAAAAGCAATTCTGACATCGGAAACATTCCATAAAATCCTCAACGCTCCCTCCCTTCTTCTGCAGGGATTACTGTCACTCTCCTGCCCCAAGAAATGTGGGCAAGTTCCACGATGACAAAACCCTGCCAGGTCAAACTATTAAATAAACCTCTGTTATATTGAGCAGCCTGTGCTAATCCCTCATTTAAGTTAAGCTGGCCAGAATGTGCTCTGGGCTCCGCTTGCTCCTTCTTCCGCTGTAATTGCCACTTGCTGAACAACTTTCATGTTTAGTTGTCTATCTTCTTAAGGGCATTGGGTACGAGGAATTAACCCTGATTGCCTCTCCACGTTAATTGGTTTGAAAGTACAGCCTACTCTGTAGTTCACCATTTGATTTGGAGGGGGTTAGAAATTACTTCTGGTCTATCGAGAATTTTGGGATGTACTTGTGATAACCTTGATAACACGAGTTAGTCACTAAGGGGCATTTCTTTCTGCACTTCCCTATATATCCTGAATTTCTGGTATTAATTGCAGGCTCCTCAAGAACCAATTCTGATTTGATACTGCAGATGTAGGTGCAGATGATACTACAGCAGAAACAGGATTTTTCCAGCTAACAGAATGCATTTCCATCTCCTTCCTTCTCCAGGGGGTTTTCTATGAGCAGTGCTCTTGGAATTTGCCATACTTTTGGCAAATTCGTTTGCTCAATTAATCTCTCAGATGTCCTTGACAATATGATACTGAAAAAAAATCAAATAAAAACAAATTGGCTGATCCTTCCTCTGGTGAGACTTCAACAACGTCTATCACTGGCCTGAGAAAAAGTATCTTTTAGCACTGCCGTAAATAGACCTGAGTCACGGTGGTAACAAATAGCATGTTTTTTCCATTGATTTTTTTCCCCAAGATTGATTGATGTGCTCAATTTTTATCACTCGAATAACCCTTCCAAATTCAGGAAGACAACTGATGAGTTAAACATGTACAGCCACTTTTCACAGGAGCTTTAATTACCTCCTCAAGGGCAATAACGTGATGAACCTGAGTTCTATCACAGCATCACAAAGCAGATACCCAAGAATACAATAAAACAAAAACGGGCTTTTATCTTAACTATACCCAGCAGGAAGTACCTCTTTAAATATTAATTCACTCGCTCACATAAAAGACTAGTCATAATAACATTTGATTAATCCCAGAATTTTAAATCTCCGAGGAATAAAATAAACATATCACCTTCTAACTCCACAAAAACGCTTCTCCAGCATTCCTAGGTACTCCGTAATTGTGGTTAAACAGGTTGTGGAACACCCCAAAATTATGTTAGTGCAAGTGACAGTAACGTAAGCTATTATTTCTTTGAAAATCCTATTCCATAGGAAGGTTCGCTTTCCTGTCTCTGTGTGGGTGGGAATACTTAATGACTGTGTTACCCTGGAACTCTGTTTTTCAAATTAGATTATAAATTTGCCCCCAAATGTGCGAGGCCATATGTCCCAAATCACCCGCAGACATGGTCTATTGTGAATACTTATGATTTGAGAATTATTCCATTGTGCCAAATACACTCATTTTAAAGATTATAAATGACTTGGTGACTAGAAGCATTTATATTTCCAGCAATTCATGCGTGCGACCTGCCACTGTATTTTTCACTAATTAAAATGAGGTTTTTACATCTTTTTACTGGACTGATATTAATGAAAAGGAGTTTTAATCCATGCCAGGTGGAGTGACACACCTCTCTCTAATGCAGCTAGTAATTAGTCCCTTGAAATTTATACTCATTATTTTGAACTCTCTTCTGCTAGTTCTGTGTAACAGATACTGTTATTATGTATTCATTTATGGTACCTGCTTCAAAATGCACAGTGGATGCTAAAGCTATCAGAAAATTATTCAAAGCAAAGCAACCAGAAAACCTGAGTAAACCCATGCTCCATTTTGTCACCTGTAACTTCAAAACAAAACTTACCTATTAAAACCCCACAGAACCAGGTTTTCTGCGCAGCCCTGCTGACTGAAGAATAATCTGCAATTCTGATGCCTGTCCCTAACCTTTATGCATACAGGAGAGCAAACTCGGATTAGACTATTAAGCACATTGCACTGCTGCCAACAGCAAAAGAGCTACAAACATGAGGAAATGAGCTTGCAGGCAGCATATGCAGAACCCTCTGCAGCAAAAACAGGGCTGACAGAAAAGCTGAATGAAAAGGCTCTTTGCAAAATGAAAAGAGATTTTGCACAGTCGCATCAGGCAAAACTACAGCACCATAATAAGATCACGGCCCATCACGGAGAGTGGGTGGCAAGGGGGGAAGGAAGGATGCTGTTGGCCGTAGGAGTGGGAGGGACTCACGCTGCTGAGCTCAAAATAGCTCTCAGAAACAATACTCGCCGAGCAAATAAAAACAAAATGAGACAGTGACACTCTCCAGACATTAAAGTCGTCTGTGGAAACCAAAGTCACTGCTGATGTTGTTCTGCTCCTCTGCCGACACGGGTAAAGCTGAGTACATGAAATATGACAGAACAGCAACACGGGGAACAGTCGAGGGCTCAGATTCCTCCCTGTGCTATTTCTGTGAGTGACCACTTAGAGAGAAAATATAAAAGCAAAGTGAGTAAAATAAAGATGAGAATTCCAAGGACAGCAACCTCTAGAATACTGCAGAGAGTTAAGATGCTCAGTTCATGGTAAGTCTCGTTTGTTTTTGTTTTTTACAGCTACAAGCTTGCTGAAGTACATATACCTATGATTTGTGATAATGAGACTCTCTCAGTGGTAGATTGCAATGCCATCAGCCAAAATTATTGGATCTATCACAGAGTGAATGAGAGTTCGCAGGATCCTGCAGAGTTCTGAGGGACTCTGCATAATTTCTGCAGAACTATTGTTGAGTTTTGCAGAACCTTCCGCAAATTCCAGCAAATGAATCGGAGCATTTTCAAACTGAGGGCACTTTTACCTCATTCCCATACTGGAACCAAGTGCAAAGCATCCTTACGTGAAAGACACTTAAAAGACTTTTCAAACTTCACCTGGCCCTGAACGAGCCATCTCCTTTCCTAGGGACACTTCCCAATTAATGCAGCACAGTGCAGGACCCCAAGGGCACATATTCTGTCAGCACTGTCTCCATATAAACACTGCTCTTTGCATCATGTTCCCAGACTGGGATTTTATTAGCTTGCCTTCACCTGAGCTAGTGGGAAAACCAGAAGCACAAGGTAACAATCTTGGGTGACCGGAGAGGAAGCAGAAGAAAAGCAAAAAGGCAGTTACTGAACTGGGGTTAATAGGGAGGGAAGCAGCAGGGAGAGAGCACAGGGAAGGTGGTGAGGAAAAGGGAGAGCAGCTGCAGGCAGGGGGATCCAGCCTGGCACAGAATATTGCATTTCTCCAGTCACTCTGCTGCAGAAATACCAGGGCTCCTTGCTCCAGAGAGCCATTTTAAGGACATCAGCCCTGCACAGGACTGCAGAGCTCTGCTAGGACTACGAAACTGCACTTGGCTCAGCAAGAACATCAGCTCTAGGACCTTTATATATGAAAAGTTATGCACTCCAGCCAGCAAAGCAAAAGGCTTGTGTGTGCTTTGAACCCGAGTTCCCCATGTCACAACACACACGCTGCTCTCTAGATAATCAGAAATCAGCACTGTTTCACATTTAGTTATGCAGCGGCTAATTTCCACACGTCAGAAAAAGTGATGCTCTTAATTTTTCCATCTAAAATCAATTGTTCGGCTTGGATTTTCAGCTCTTAGGGCAACAGAGATTAGAAAGTATTGCCAAGGTGACTGATTTCCATATAACCTCATCTTTCACTCAATTCCTAAAGAGGCATTAGCAGCGTCCCTGAATAACCTTGCAAACAGAGAGCTATAAAGCACCAGACCTACTGAAGAGGAAACTGTGAGAAGTGGCAATTTAAAATGACCAGGTCCTTCTGCATCTCACAGTTAAATATCCTCAACCACCTACTTAAAAGAAAGGAGTAAAATAACAGCATAGGGAAAGTGAAGAGAATATATGAATCCACATACATGCGTGGCAATAGGTCCTGCTACTGGAGCTGCTACTGGATAACAGATCAGAGGTTGGTTCCTCAGAGGCACCACGAGCTCCTTGCATCACCATGCATATTATTATTCAGCTGAAATTGAGGTTCTGCGTTAGGAGATCCATGAACCCAAAGGAAAATATCAATGGGAAGACATAGAATACAGTTTCTGCCATGTTGCAGATGATATTTGGAAGCAGAGAAAGATGAAAAGGAGCCCTTGAAGTCAGGCTGGTAGAGCTGGGGGAGGAACAACTTGCTAACAAAGTCACCATCTCAGGCCTTGTTCTCTTAGTTAACTCCTTCAGCATGACAACAGTTGAATGTAAAAGCAAAGGCTTCCCATCTCTACATATTCTCTCATCAAGGAAAGAACAGGAATATTTTGAGGAATATTTTGTTGGTAGCTCCGGTAAAGCTAAATCTGAAAGCAGGCGGAATAATTAAGGAAAAGGAAAGGTTGGAACATATTGGGCTTTACTCACTGTTCTCAGAGAGCTCTACCATGTAGTAGAGCACGGGGCTGTTGCCGTCAAAGGGACGAACCCAGGAAAGCTCCACGCTGCGGCTGCGCGAGGAATTCAGGGCGGCCAGAAGGTTCTGCGGGGAATGAGGCAGCTCGCTATGGAGAAAAAGAGAAAGGGAGGGAAAAAACAGCACACAAAATCAATCCACTTTTCATTCAGCTACAACCTTACAGGCAGCTAGATGTGCACATGGCACCAGCCTCACATTATGATAGATATAAAACCACCAGCAGCTGTAGCACAATTAAATAAATGAAAGACATCTCTGAATTATTCACAATTTTCTCCTGTTGGGAAAAAAATAATAATTTATGCTGAAAGTCCCAAGGCTGATGCTTAGAACAGCTAATGGAACTGTTGTTAAATGTTGAAAAAGGCCAATTTTCCTATTATTTTTTAATTGAGACAAGTTGGTCAATACATTTCTCTTCTTGTTTTTTTCCCTCCCTCTTCAAATGACATCCTAGCAATAGAACAGCAATAGTACATGCAAACAGTAAAACATATGTATGAGAGCTATGATTTAATACAGATTTTTTCATACTCAGGAAAGCAGAAGACATTGACACTAGTCCTACAGAGTTACTAATCAAAATTACCATATGTATTCTTAGGCTACAGAACAGCTTGATTTACTTGTGCATGAGGGCTTATGCTGCCATGGGTAGAACCTTGCCTTCATATACCAGGGATTTTTTTCTGGAAGCACCCAACCAGAAAACGTAGTGAAAATGCCTGCAGAAACCCCACGGAAATATTAAATGAAACATTAAAAATAAAAATAAAACAGCAGCTCAATTAAAACACATAATTTATCAAAGCAAATGCATTCCTTTGGACCCATTGCCTGAGAGTCATAGAGGCTGCATGGTGCAGTGAGGAAACTAAATTCTTCTACAATCATTTAGTGCTGATCGGTATCAAGTGATAAGAGGCCTCTAGCCACTATATTTTAAGCTGGTTCCTACTTTGTTGTCAAGGAGGACAAGGATCTCTGACAAGGAAGGAAAAGCAAAGAGGGCCAAGCAAGGAGGGCCCTTTTTCTCCCGTTTGATCTCCTGGTGTCCCTCAGGAAAGCTCTGCAGTGATGGTTCCTGGACATACACCACTGCTCGTCTACCCTGGGCAGGGCACAGAGCCACAAGGGTACTTGCCATCCTTCGTTTAAAACGTACTAATTGCTTGCTGTGATGTATGTGTCACGCTCCTCAGTGCTTAGTTACTGAAAAAACCCCACCACAATTCCTTAGAGCTGCTCAAAAGACTAAATGCAAACCCTGGATTCTGCATTCAGATTTCTTCTCCAAGATAGACGAATATACATAATATCTTCTTCACGACAGAGGAATATACACAGAACAAGACAATAGCTTTAGTATTTTTCCAATTAAACCCATGAGTGTCGTGGTTTGCATCTCTATAGGGGTCACTTGCTGCAGAGCCCATTCAAAGGAGGTTGCTAGAAAGTCCAGCAGAACAGCAAGGGAAAGACGTGGATAATGAGAAAAGGTAACTGGAGGGCTATCTCTTGCCCACCTCTATCTAGACCAGAAGGGTTAATGCTTCCTAAGGCTAAAGCTCAGTTCAAAGTCTCTTCTGATCTCATTTGACTTTAAATGCCCAAGCAAATCAGAAGCACAGTCACCCCGGGCGCCTTCTGCAGTAAACATGGAAGGACACCTCCGGGCGTGATTCGGATATTAACTTCATTAAGTCACTCTCTAAGGATGCCTTGCTCTCTCCATTGATTATACGGAGTTTAGGCTGACAAATGCTCCTGTGCAGATGCCTGCAGACCCCACTTCTGATACTAAGATACGGTCGCTTTGGGGCTAGAGGGAACATGGGGCATGCAGAGCATGTGCAGAGCCCAAAGGAAGCAGATTTAGAGCAGAGTGCTGCAAAATTTTGGACAAATAAATTGAATTATTTATTTTTACAAACACCCGCTCCTGTGCCATTGCAAATTTCTGCTTTCACAAGTTCTCCAGGGGCTTTAGCTACCGTGTGCAGGATTAAGTTTAGTGAAGAGAGGGACCTGGAAATAGATTTGGAGAGGGCTGGATTGCAAGACAAAATGGAAGAGGAAGCTCGTCCTTGGAAAAGTAAGGACTTGGGGTTTATAACAGGGCCATTTACCATGGGACTGTAAAAGTGCAATACTTAATTTTGAATGAAACATTAAATTATAATAAACATCACACCTTTGCTGCAATTTATGACTACACCCTGAGCTGGCTGCGTGAAAAAGCCTATCTGTGATGAAGGTGGCAGCGGGAATTAGTGAAGGGAAGAGAGTGCAGGGTCGCGTTGTGACCTGGCTTCAGCATTTCTCACCATACCCTATGGGCACCATCCGGAGACGGGCTGCATCTGTGGTGGCCTCGGGGAGCTGTGAGCAAGGGAGGCTGTGGGGGAGCCCAGGGCAAACACCTGCAGGTAACACCTTCTGTGCACTGGAACTCATGCAGGCTGTTTTCAGGGCGTTTATTTTGTTTCCTCAAAGATTTAGAAGGGCTGAATTAGCCGCTCATTGGATGACAGGAGATATGGGACGAAAAAAAAAATTGCAGTTTGTTCCTTTTTTCTCAGGCTACGAGTGCCCAAGGATTTTTTGGAGAACAACAAACATTCTCTTCCTTGTTCTGTTTAAATATGCCCTGAGTTATAAACATGCTTTTTGCTTAGGAGCTGCCTTGAGCTGACTATTTGGTCAGGTTTGCACCAAATGGTAACGAGGCAGCGGCAGGAAGGAGATGGAGCCTCCGGAGCTGGAAAGGCCCAGGCTGCTGCAGCCCCCAGCACACCTATCTCCTCAAATATCCTATTCTCTAACCATATGGATCCAGCCCGGATAGCAACAGATGGTGCTTACAGATTTAAATCCCTCAAGGCAGAAATAACAAGTGCCTAAGAAACACACCTGGTAGGAAATGAATATTTAAAAGTACAAAGAAATTTCCGCGCAGAAGTGTGCGGCTTTCCTTCTTGCAAACAAAAGCAGAGATTAATAAACAGTAACTCTTACTTTCACAAGTGCTTATTCTTTGTCTCCTTGTTTGCTACCATGTACTGCATAGAAGTGATGATAAATGAGACCTGTATCACTATCATGAATATTCGGGTTCCCAAAAGAGGTCCCTGCTGCTTCTGTCTTCAGGAAAACTACTTTTTTCTTGCTCCTAACGTCCAAGAAGTCATTGCATGGAGCGGTAAATCAAAGCCCTCCTCAGGCTGGGAAGAACCTCACATGGGTGAACAGCACTCACAGCACATAACCACCCTTAATGGGCACCGGCTGTTCAACTCTGGCATTCTCCTCTCCTTTGCTATCCGCACAAATCCCAAATGGAAAAAATACCAACCTTCCTGAATACGGGATATCTCGGGCATCACTACTCTCCTGCTAAAGAGTTCTGGGGAGTCAAGTTTTTCATAACTTGCCTTGTGTGATAGGGGAAAAAAAAAAAAACAGTATATGGACATTTTTAAATCTGTAACTGATAGACAAATCCAGGGTTAATGATACAGGTACCAAGGTGACCAGAGGGGACTTTGACAAAGCAATTAAAATAGAGGATTTGCAAGAAAAGAACACGAAGCTGCTGTGACAATCCAGGAGAGAAATATTAGCTAGTTACAGATGATACACGTTCAAAACAGAAACCCTAATGTTTCGAGTCATTTTGTCACTGCCAGAGGGTACCTGAAAGATTTACTCCGCAAACACATACAATGTTTCATAAAATTAGCTAAAAGCAGACTATTTGCTAAGGGAAATAAACCAGACATGGTTTGGAGAGATTTCTGAGAAAAATGGTCCAACAGCAGGTAATTAGAGAGACTGTGACTGAAGAGGGGATTACTAAAAAGGCAAGGGAGATTAAACATGTCTTCCTGTCAGGTTTTAAAAAGCTCTGCTCCTGCCTCAAAAATGATTTCCTGCATGAGGCCTGCTGCACCCATGGCGTTTGCTCAGGCACAAGTGGCTCTTCTGCTAGACCTGATAACTCGCTAAGAAGCTGGGGCGAGAGGTCTAACAAATCTCTCAGCCCTGTTGCTTTGGTCTTACAGGTTTATAATGTTGTAAATTAACAAACAGGTCAGCTACCGCTCAAGACTTTCCAGTTTGTCCTGTGAAGGAATCCTCGGTAATTTTTTAGCGCTGGAATAATTCTTGCAGTGCATACAACAACAGGGAGCCTTTTTGTCTCTTGCAGGCCTACGACTAGGTGGAACTTAGGAATTAAAGCATGTGTCAAATACTAGAGCACACAGATTTATTTCCTTTCATTCTGTCACTCAACACATGCTCAGATACACGGAGAAAGATTTTTGAATGTTGTGCTTTGTCTTCGCTAAAAAACAAACCCAAAATGTAGTTTTGATATACATTTGAAGACAAGCAAAGACAATTGCTTATCTGTCTGGTTGATTCCTTCTGGAACACTGAGGGCATTTATACTAGCAGGGAACCTTATGTTTTGGTTCTCAATACAGAAAAATAACCACAATCTTTCTTTGCAGTGAGGAAGGAATAACACACTTACAAACCTTCCTTTTTTGCCCTTCCTTTTTTTCTTTTCTTCCTTTTTTGACTCCCCACAAAAGAGCCAAGAGACATCAGCACTGATGCAGAGAGGATCCACACCAACGTAAGCTCATAACGAGGTGTCATTATTTTGCTCGTCTGCATCGCTCTTATTGATTTTCCTTTTAGTCATCAAACTGTTTGGTTATGATGCAAATTTGGAAGAAACCAAGAAGCAGCAGCGATTACAAACACCTCAAAGTCAAGGTGTTTCTATCCAAACGACTGATGGAGGCAGTGCCCGAGGAGCTGCTGGCTTTCCCTGCAAGGGGGCAGCTCACCTCGCCTGCTGTTGAGGAGGCCAAACAAAAGCAGATTTCTCTCTAGCAAAAGAGAACTCCAAGAAAATGAACTTGCTGCCAGGAATAATTTGTCTATTTGTGTACTGTATCATCCTATCCGTATTTTTTGTATAGAGAAAGAGTCTAAAAGTTTCTACCCTATGTTGAGACATGGTCGAGGCTCGCGGAGGGCTTTGATTTCCCAGCCATGCAGCATTACCATACTTTTCAGCCACACTGAAACAACAAAGAGATTCCTTAGTATGGGCTGCACACAGACAGATACCGAGCAGCCAGCACAGATAGTCATAATTCTGCATATTTTATATATACTGAGAACCCTCAGGATATTTTGAGTTGGAATCGGCAGAGTTTCCTGTCAGGAGAGTGATACACTGTGGTAACTCTGAGCTTATCCAGCTTTAGGAGCAAGCATTTCTTTCCCTGTGTGCACTTCATTTTTTATGGCATTTACAGGACAATAAAAGTAAACTAAATGAAGCTGGGATGTTTCATTACACGCAATTATTTTCAGAATCTAATCTCATGACTTGGAAGGATGCAAGGGAAGCAAGAGCTCACCACCAAAAGACCTTTAAATGTTTCTGTGTTTGCAATCGAGAAGCTCTGCTAGGCACACAAATAACTACCGAATTTAAATCTATTTCTTGCAGGAGAGAAACATCACTGACAAATGTTTTACCTCCTGCAAATCAAATGAAGTGATGTATATGAAGAATAAACACATTTAGAGGGAAGAAGAATGAATGAATGGAGTATCTTGCCTAGCAATTAGTTTCTGTGTCCAAGCACCATCAGTGAAGAATTGATGAGCAAGGTAACCTCTGGCTGCACTTTAGCAAGTTCTTATTAGTTTTCTGGCTTTCATTTTCATATATTTTACTCCTTTCACTGGCATGCCAGGGAAGAGGATCCACACTGTAGGCACCAGCAAGGTGTGCTGCATGAGAGTCCCATTCTGCTAGCAATGTATTTCCCTCTAGCAACAACAGTGTCTTCTCCACAAGTCTGTCTTCTAACTAGGGAAGACAATGGAAGAAAAAGTTTTGTTTCCCCCTCTTCACAGATTGGAAAAGCAAACCACTCAGAGATTAAATAACTGAAGGTCAGAGCGAAGGTCAGTGGGTTGGAATTGAATGCCTTTCGATGGAAATGAGTAGCACTGCTTTGGAAAGCTCTCTTAACGTGCCCGGAGATGGAGAAGGGAAAGGAGCTGGTTCCTGGGGGAAAAAAGAGGTGGTGAGACAATTAGAGTTGTCAGATGAAGCTAGGGAGGCTACGATATTATCTGTTGGTGGGTTGCTCGAGTCTGTAATTGGCTGAGAGGCCTCCTCTGAACACTGCTCTGACATCAGTGCTACTCAAGGCACTGAAGTGTAAGTGCTCCTAGACGGGCATGCACATGCCCTGTTTGTTAATGTTCTGCACAAGAGAATTACCTGGGAGAACAGGGAAGATTATAGACTTGTCATTCATATAGTAGCGAGAATTTAATTTACGCTTTACTTCAAACATTTTTTTTACCACGTATTTTCTTCTCTATCCCTCTTCTCTTGTTGTATCTTGTATTTCGCAGTGATTTGGTGCTGCTGAGCCAAATGATAACGATGGGAGCTGCAAGGGAAGGCAACGCTTTGGCGTTCGTTCAGCGCCTGCACTGCTTTGAAATGTCACAATTCAAGGTGTGATTGAGTGGCTTAGCTGCTACTGAAGTCCTCTGAAAGAGTTTCTTTAATTCCTCTGGGGAAAGAAAAGGTTATAGGCCATGAGGCACAGAACATCAGAGGGAGCAGAGATGCAGGATTAAGAGCCAGTGACAGAGCACGGGCATTAAGAGCCGGATAGAACTGCAGCAAATTGGGATGCAAGGAAAGGCAGGCTCAGGAACATTAAAAAAGGCACCTCTCCCAGTTAACTAGTATGGATATAAAATTATCCTTCTCTGAACAACAGGGCTCTGCAGGTAAATAAACCTGTTCTGCTATTCTGGGTTGCACAGAGCACCTTTTGCTGGTTTGAATTAAGAAATTGTGCGATTGCAAAAGCACTTAGCACATATTTGAAGCTTCAAAGTCCAGCTTAGAACATTCTTTGCAGTTTCTATTCCGTAATTTTCTGCCCTCCACTCAAAAACAATATATTCTGAATTATCTTCTGCTCTTGGATTCAAACCAGCTGTAAAATGCACTCCGGGAGGAGAGCTGGGGAGTGCTTAATTAGAGAGAGAATGTATGACCGTTCTCTCAAAACGGGCATCTGATCTAGCCTTGGCACTGTCAGAATAATGCTGTATCAAACAGTGCTCTGCATAGCAAACCTCGGAGGTGAACTCATTATACTGCCAGCAACAGTTGCCATCTTCTCGGAGAGATCAGGCATGACCAGCAGAGATACACGCAATTTTAGCTAAATTAAAGCATGTGGCACTGCTCAAAAAAAGAAAAGAAAAGCAGACCACATAAAATATTACTTCCCCATTCATTTGTTCTACTCCATACATGCACCAAAACCATAGCTGTTGCTTTTAGTGATAAAAATAAACAAGTGTATTTCACTCCAGTGCAGTGGCAGAAATAGAAAATATGGAACTCCACAATACCATTTTTATAACCCTTTTCCAGAAGTGAACTGCACTTGGATTTTTTTTTTTTTTTTAACATCCTTAAGAATAAAGGCAGGCAGATATAGAACTTTTTTTTTCCCCTTGGAAAAAATCATATAAAGGAAATGCAAGAATAAGCAATGCCTGTCCAGATACCCGCTATTTTGGTATGCGTTCAACAGAGGAAAAAAGCAATTCTAAAAGGAAGAAAATATTTTCCTACAATCTTGATATCGAAGCAAAGCACTTGGGCTTTATGTGGGCATTCAATGACATGGCATCAGGGGATGATTCAGGTTGGAAGAGACCTCAGGAAGACTCCAACCTCTGTGGGCAACCTGTTCCAATGCTCGAGTGTCCTTATATGTTTCCTTATATCCAGCCTGAACCTCTCGTGTTTCAATTTCTGCAGAATGAACAAGCCCATTTCCTTCAGCCTTTTCTCACAAGGCAAGCCCTCTAGTCCACTACTCATCCTGGTGGCTCTCCACTCCACTAGCTGCAGTTTCTAAACACCTTTTTTTTTGCATTTGGGGGCCTAAAACTGGATCCGGTGTTTTAGGAATAGACTAATGAGTATTGAGGACTTATGTTCCTCAATCTACTTCATCATTTCCAGTTAACAGCCCAGGTTGCTGTTAACCTTCTTCAAGGTTAGGGCTTCATGTTCAGCCTACTGCCTACCACAATCACCAGCCCTCTCTATCACAGCTGCTTTCCAGCCAGTCACCTCCCACGACATATCATTACAAAAGGTCAATTACTTCCAGATGTGACCTTGCATTTGTCTGTTGAATTGCATAAGGTTCCTGTTGACCCACATCTCCAGCTTGCCTAGATGCCTCTAAATGGAGCCCCTGCCCGTTAACGTATCAGCTGTTTCTGCTTTTAGTACTATCTGCAAACCTGATGAGTGTGATCTCTGACACCTCATCCAGACCACTGATAAAGAGGTGAAACAGGACAGCTTCCAGAATGGTCTCCTGCAGACTCAGCTTGTTACTGACCTTCAGGTAATTAAGACTTATGGACTGCTCTGCTCTGAGCTCAGTCATCCAACTGGCTGGACATGCACAGATGCCCATCCATAAAGATGTTCAGACTGCAACTGGCATCGCTGGCTTTAGCTACTTGGAAATAGAAGCAGCATGGCAGCAAGGATATTTCGAGGCAATTTCATTAGCAATACAAACAGACTTTGTTTGCTCTGTAAACACAAACATCCACCCTCCCTAGATCTCCTGGAATCAGCTAGAAAAGTGTTCAACACTAAGAAAACATGGCATCTTTCCACTGGAATACTCACATCACTTCTAGTCGGGCCATTCTGGAGTCATTTCCTCCAAAAGAGATGACCTCGCAAGTATAGTCTCCAATGTCACCCGACCACGTCTGGCTGATGAGGAGGGTTCCACCTTTCTCCACTGTAATCCTGGAACTGCTGGATGGATTTATGACAGCACTGTCTTTCTTCCAAATATACCTGGGAATCACAATGTTTCAGTTAGTAAATACTAACAGTCCCTTTAAAATACATTTATTTGACCCTGCACAATACGATACTAGCTTCTGAAATTATACATTAAAAATAACAGGCCCCTAGAGTTACTTTCAAGAACAGAACCTTCCACCAAAGCTTGGATTTATATCAGTGATAAGAATGAGAAATGTAATTATATGCAGGATACAGCCTAATTCCTAAACAATATTACGGATTTTACATGGAAAAAGTGAGTTATACCTAAATGACCACGTTTGTAAGTCTGCTGTCATCAGCAGTTTAAACTGAATCATCAGGCTGTGAAGTTAATGGCTGAGGTGTTGGCCCTTATCAGCTAAAGTTTTAATCCTGACTTTGCCACAATCAGCAACACCTTAAACTGCTGTGGCAAGATTTATTAGGGCTCACCTTCTAAAACATATTCACAACCACACATCACAGAGACCTATTCATTCCATGGTCCCAAAATTAAGTATTTTGACATAGTATTTTTACATCATATTCCTCTTTTTTTCAAGCTCTTTCTGCAGTTCACCATTCTAGCACCTTCCAAGCTGTTCCCTCTATCTTCTTTCCTTTGTGTTGCTTTCAGACAACATAAATTTCCCTGTTAAATTTATTTTTAAACGGTGAGCTTCCCCTAAATGCTCTAGTGGAAATGTTAATACTTCAAATTCCGTTTGCCTTTACACTGTTGGAGCAGAATATAGCCCCTAGTTATTGAGCTGTTTCCAAGAGCAGGGGCATTTCTTACATCATTCTCATGCCCCCCAATGTAAACACTTCTGAAAGCCTATTCCTTCTCTTTGGTTTTTACTCTCATTAAGTATCAGCTTCTGACAAGTTGGTTTTATTGATAGTGTATTAACCTTGACAGTAAAATCATGGAAGGCTGTATTGAAGTCATGAAGTGGAACATAGCTCATTGTAAATAATACATAAGGCTGAAATGGAAGATGGGATTTATGTGATTAATGATACAGTGTACAACCTTATAATGCAAGTATCAGGGGTCTGGTGTTAAAACCTGGGGTCCTGAAACTTTTCAGCCTAATGCTATTCGCAGAGCTTATGAAATTAAGCTCAGATAAACCACCCAAACAAGAACTGACACCTCCAACCTGATTGAAATTCTGGGATCGTGAGTGGCCTCGCAGCGCAGAGCGGCGGTGGTTCCTTTGATCACCGTGCTGTCCTCGGGAGGGTGAACAATGACAGTCCGATCTGAAAGGCACACGAGCTGCGTTGAGGTGAAACCGCAGCGTTTTCCTACTCACTACTCCCCGTGCAAGCAGCAGACCCAAGGTTGGCCACTCCAAGCAAGTGGGTCACCTCTCTCAAGGCCTTCGCTTTGTGGAAGCCGCCCTCCCTCTCATGGCATCATGCTGGGAAGGCACGGTGTAGACGGGACGCAGCGGGTCCCAGGCTGGCAGCAGCCCGAGCACGAGGACGGCGCACGTTTTTGCTGCACTAAGGGGCTCTGCCAGCTCCTCGGAGCCGTAAAGCTGTGCATATGTTTATAATGGTAGGCAAACACACAAAAACATACATTTGGTCAGGAAAGGAGTCATACTGTTTTGAGTGGAGGAGACAAAAACAAACAGACAAAACCTGGGCAAGTGAAGAATATTCCCGAAAAGGCTCAGTAGAAAGGAAAATTTAAATGGCACCCTGGAATCTCGTCACAGCTATGAAAGAGGACAAAGGAGGAGGAGTTGCTGGGAGCATGAATTTTCCATATAGGAAAGACATGCTGTTTACTCGAATGTTGCAAAACATCTTTATTCAAGCACCTCCTGGAGACCCAGAACACAATAATTGCCTGTAACTACAGCAACCAGATCCAGTGTGAAAGATCTCTATTACGCTCAGCGCGCTGGAGTGGCAGCAGATAGCATCAGTTGAAGCAGCCAGACAACCAGGACAAGCACAGAAGATAGGTGACTACTGTTAATCAGTCCCAAATCCCTACCGAGATAACCAGGAGCTACGGAGATATCTCATACACACACAAGAAGAAATCAAAGAACTCAAAGGCACACACGTAGAGATAGCATCACAGGCTGTATCCGACAGTGCTTAATTTTTAGCATTATTCCAGATGTACCTGTGTGTGCTTTCTTGCTTCATAATGTTGCTAAACATGAATTATCAGGTTACGTTCCTTTCCTGACAGCCCCTCAGGCCATACAATGAAAGGAGCTATTTTAAAAGACATTACCACTATTCCCTTGAGAATTAATAGTGCGAATCTCTTTGCACACCTGGATAGTGGGCAGTTTGCAATACCCTGATACACAGGGCATCTTTGTTTTATCAGTATGGCATAAATACAATGGCCATATGATGCATGTTCATCACTTTTACTGCCAATATTCTTTTCAGGTATTCTCAAGTTCGAAAGGCAAAATGTTGCTGACGTAACTTGGACTGTTCTGGATTAACAAATGTCAAAAATGTATCATAAACTGGCATCATAATCAGTCTCAGGGCCATATGTCAAGCAGAGGAGGAGAGAGGGGATCTCTACACTTTTGTATTTATTAACGTTATTGTCTCTATTATTTTAATTATTTTCAGTCTCAGTTCAAGGACTGCTATTTCCTACTGCTAGCAGCAAAAAGCTGTTAGACTTTAACACCTTGGCTTTGGATTAGTCACACAGACCTTGTATTTTACCTCTCCCATATGGCAGTGTCACTTAAGAGTAACAAGAGTGAAACTAATAGATCAGACCCTCTACACTAGCAGGGAGAAAACAAGTGGTGATGAAGGACAAATGGTGAAGAGTAAAATCATTTCATAGGCTGCATCATTTCATTGCATTTCATGGCAATCTGCAGCATGAGAGAATAGCTGAAGTCTGCTGTACTTTGCTTTGGCTTCCAAAAACATCCAGGGCCACCGGAAAATTCAGAGGTTTGAGGAAAATCTTATCTGCAGCAGGTGGGATCACAGCCTTAGCACCAGCATGGGCTGCTCCAGGCTGCCTGCAGACTCCTGGAGGCAGAAGCACCTGCAAACAGCCAGTTCTGCAGGAGCGCTGATGTTAAGTGCATCCGTGCAGGCCAGTGGAGCCACCCCAAGGTAAAAACTTAGTGAAATTATAGCTGATTAGATACCCTAAATCATTTAAATACAGTTCTTTTCATAAAAAAAAAAAAAAAAAGTTCATATGTGTAACTACAAACAAAAAAGATAATTCTGACAGGTTTCCTAAAATAGATGTGTTATTCCTATTAAATTATACCAGTATCTCTATTGATTAGAAAACTGTAATTACTTAGGAAAATTTGCTGAGCATATGGCAAAAATGATTAATACTTGATTAAAGTTAGACTTTAAGCAAAACATTATCCTTACTCCACACAGTCAGCATCACAAAGGCATTCAGAGCTCCTTCGGAGTTCACTGCATAGCAAGTGTAATTGCCAGCGTCTTGAAGGAAAACGGGTGTTATCTGGAGCCCTCCGGATTCCAGAAGGATGAAGCGAGGGATCTGTACTGAACCACTGGCTAAGATCTGATTCCCTGAAAGGAAAAAAAATAATATAAACAACTGTAGCCACTTAGACTGCAAGGATGAAACACTGCAATTGCAAAATACTATTCAAAACAGTCAGACTGCTCTGGTAGCTTGCACATTTGCAAAGAGCAAAACAATCCCTCTGCTCACCGAAATCAAGAAATGTGTGTTGAATAGATCTACAGAATGTCCAGAGTAAAAAAGCAAAAAAGCACAGATCTCAGTTTCTCCACATGGGCATAGAGCTGGTTACCTTTCTTCCATGAGATGGCAGGTTTGGGAGCCCCTGAAACTTCACAGGTTAGCACTGCAGTCATGCCCTCGGTAACAGTAGTATCCACAGGAGGCCTTATAAATGCTGGCTTAATGTCTAGAATCAAAAATTTCAAAAAGTCAATAGATCTGCTATCAGCAAGATCTCTTAGGTATTATCAAGGACTATTTTACATCTACTTTTATAGAGCTGATCCCGGAGAAGGACATGACAATAACATATGAAAACCTTTCAACAGTCATTGTAACCTTTCATTATTCATCCCCTAGGAATTATCTAACTCCGTTTATTACCTATATGGAAAATAAAAATCTATCAGTGCTTGCACATGTAAAAGTGAGATGGCTCACAGATAAAGACGGATAAAGCACAAAATGAGCGTTTGGGGGAAAGTTGAGAAATCCAGATAAACAAAACTATTTTCTTTCATCTTCATAACCCCCACTTCTTTAAGACAAAAAGCAACTTGAGAAAGGCATTAACTTCCAAACTTAAATGTCAGCCAAAAAAATTCAGATGCTGATTCTCATCCAAGACATTCTCCAAGTTTCATTCTCTCTTATTTTCCCCCAGTTGCATTTTACTACACTTTTTACTGAAGTTTCCTACATATATATGGAACTGGGACTGTTGTGTTTTCTAAGGTCAAGAGGTATTCTGGTCAATACTTGTAAACTGCCCTTGGGTTAAATATCAGCTTCCTCAAGATGAAACATCACAGCCAGCATCCTGTATGCTCTCAAAGAGTTAAAGTGTTTCGGACATACCTGTTTATATTTGTTTTTAAAATACAATATTAGTGTTTGGATATAGAAGAGTGTACTTTATTGGCCAAACCATTTAATCAGACTTGCTGGTTAAATAAAAGTATTTATCTTGAATTTTCTTTCTTTCCCTTACATAATGTTGACAAAACGTAGATAAAATAACACAATGCAGAATCACGAAGCGGTAACACATATTCAGACGATAATTACATTAGAGCTGAACTAAACTACTAAAGTATAAGGAGTCAAGAAAATTATTTTGCAATTAACTGTATTTCTCCTTTAATAGAATGAATTAAGAGAGCTCATCCCCCATGTGGCACTAAGACCACAGAAATATTTTCTACAGGCTTCAGTACACTCTGTTCGGGCCACACAGGGAATTTTTGAGTAGGTGACAGCTAGAACACCTACACTTTATGAAAATCAAGGTTCCGTGAATGTGAATTGAATGATATAAGCACAGAGCAGTGGAGAAATCTAAATGATTTGGGTCCCTGTTATTTTACACAACAAGCAGAAGGGCCACCACAACTCATGACTCCCTTGTTGTAGCTCCTTACTCACTAGTTACATCCAGGTAGGTGTCTGCCTGCATCTCCCCAGCTTTATTGCTTGCAAAACACTGGTAAATCCCCGAGTCTTCAGGCTGCAACCCGTGAATCCGCAGGCCACCGCTCAGCAGGACTTTGTAGCGAGGGTTTTGCAGCTTGCCAAGAGGAACGGAGTCCTTATACCAGACCAGGGTGGGCACAGGGACACCTAGAAAGCAGAAGACATTCATTATTAGTCTGTGCACAGTGCATTTTGTGCTGTTGTAATACATAGCACTATTATGGTCGTATCGCTGGTGCCCCATGCTTCCACATCCATTACTTAGAGTTCTACAAGCTGCTTTTGATAAATGGAGGCTGCAACTTACATTATCAATGGCAATAATATGCTGTAGAACATGTGGGAATAAAACCAGCAGTGAAAGGGAAAATGTTGAGAAAACATGTTATCAAATTACTTTGTTCACCCAATCATATTTCATGCTACCACAAAATAAGATTTAGAGCAATTTCATATTGAAAGCCAGAATCATGTTACTTAAGCAGCAGCAATGTGGTAATACTGCAAGTCTATAAGACTGTTCCATCCCAAATAAGATTCTTCTCTGCTACGACAGCTAAGATATCAAAGTAAAAGAAAGTGGTAAGTTATACATAAAAAATAATAAAAAAGAAGAGATCATATGGTCATATTAGAGTTCTAATGTGGTGGTTTAGTTTTAACTGATGTGCAAGCAGCATGTTGCAAACAATGAGATAGTTTAAAATTATTATTGCTATTCATTCTCAAGCTTAATTTGTTTTTGAAAAATGCAGACATTAACAGAAACAAAATGATTTTACCTATTCTGAACACAAGTTATTGTCCCATTTATTCCTGTTTTCCTTCACGCACATGTTGTACAAACACTGACAATTATTTCGTATCTGCTGCAGTCAAATCCCAGTTATCTAGGATAAAGTGGCTCTACATTTAGCATTTACAATTAGTGTAGGATTCCCATTTCTTGAAGGGTTATTAGAGCTGTAGAAGAGTCCCACACAGATGTTCCTATTTCCTTCTGTTTCAGACACTATTTTGTCTTTATAACCCAAAAATCCCAACCTCTCCCTGCTGAAATCCTGGGGGCTCTGTGCAGCAGCGGATACTTTGCTATGCAATTGGACGACCACAGGATCAGAAGGGTATCAAGCTGACCAAAATACAGTATTTATATAATGTAGATACTTAACATATATCTTACATCATTTTAAACTCTTGGTGCTTCTTATTCCTTTGTGATAGAGAAGAACAGATACTTGCAATCTTGTGAAGTTGTGGAGTTTAATTCATCGGTGAGTAAAGATTTGCCCAGCTAGAGAGCAGCACTCTACCCCAGAAGCATTAAGAACATGACACAAGTGATGAATTGATCATGGGCAGACAATGAGCTTTGCTATATTGTCAGTAATGCCTCAAGGCAATTTCCTTAAGGGAAAGCATTACAAGATGATCCATATTATCATCATTATTATTTTAAAATTCCCCCAATTAAATACTGTTACGTGACACGTCCAACTCCTATCTCCTTCCAATTTACTTGTTCTCTGTACACAGAAAAAAAAGCTATATTAACTCCTAGAAAGAGTGTACAAACAATATAAAGAATGACTGAAAAACAACATCCGACTCTTGTTATTTTTATAAACACGTATCATTTACTACAATCACCTCTGATGCTTTTGTTCTGTTGATAAAATAAAACGTACTCCTCATCTAGGAGGTAATCATCTCAGGAAGAAACCCACTATGTAAAGTGCATTGTCTGACAGAGAATAGATGTAGTGCAGTAGCTTGCACTGCGCGTAATTTAAATTTAATACAACAGCCCATATACAGAATTAGTGTAGATTTCAATGTTCACAATTCTCGGTGAGAGTGTTATTCATCTCTCGAAAATCCTCCCGGGCAAATACAAATTATCACTGAGTAATGAAGAAACAGATGATGCAAAATGGAATAGTTCTCTTGATGCAGAGGAGCCTGGAAATGATTTCAAGTTTAAATAATAGCAACTCCATTTGCCCACACATTAGGCTTTGATGGGCACCTTGGAAATAATGAAATCCCGCGTTCACTACTTCAAACCTTTAACGTTGGTGTCATTCCAAAAATCCCATTCTACTAACAGTATTAGCAAACCTCCTAATCCTATAATCGCTCTGAGATGCACCTTCCTATCGCCAACGCAGCTGACAAACTGAATATTATCATCTCTATTTTTTCTCAGGTTTTCGGTTACAGATATCTCCTTCTACTCAGCGCTATGAGTCTGAATAACAGGATCTTATCTAGGCATTCTGGAGCCTGTCAGTAGCGCTCATTTGGGCTTTAGTGATCTTCCCAGAGAGATTTGTCTTCAAAGTTGTACAAATTTTCTGTTTTCATTTTGCTATCACTTTGGCTATAAAAATAGTTAAATCTAGATTCTTCTCTTCTACTCCTCTCCTACTCCCTCTCTCCCCTAGGAATTTTCCTTCTCTTTCTCTCTAAACCCTTCTGGTGGAAAAATGAAAAGAAGAAAAGACTTTAAAGACCTGCTGGACTACGTCTTTCCAAGCAGTGTTTGCTCCTACCTTATCGTTTGAGGGATTGCAGAGTGGCCTAAAAGGCTAGCAATAATAAATAAAATAAGCTCAGTTCTCAGCATGTATACAATGCTATTCATTTTTCAAAGAGAGGCTGACAAATTAGTCTGGTGCTGCAGAGGAGACTGGAAGCCAGGAAAGCGAGACACTGCTCCTGGCTCTACCCCTTTGCCTGTAACCTTGGGCAAATAATTTATGCCGTCTGAGGCTCAGTTTCCCCATCTGTGAAACAGATGCTTGACTCTTTGCCAATTTTAACTTATTTAAGAACCTGCATAAAAGACTCTAAATATTCACGGAGTCATTTTTGTTGTTTTTTTATAGTCTTCGTTGGCTCCCAGTGGGCTACTGGGGAGTCCCCAAAGCATCCTTCCTAGTACTTGTCTAAACAGGTAGAACTAAAGTCCAATTAACGGCACTCCCCAGACACCAGCCCCGCTGCCTGCAGCCCTAAACTTCCTATAAGCAAATAAGAAAAAGCATTTAAAGGAAACCCATTGAAAATGCAGGCGGCATCAGCAACTGCTGAAAGATATACAGCAGAGCATGGCTACAGTGCAGCCTGATACACTGAAACTCCATTACAGGGAAGTAAAAAGCTAGTCCGTGCAAGCTGCAATTTTATTTACAGTTAATCTCTGCTTAGACTGTGAAATTAATCTGTCTCTCACACGCGCAAAGTGCACAAAGCCTGAGCAAATGGACTTTGTGCACGGAGCTCTGCGAGGCCAGGGAAATGCATTCTGCTTTGCTATTTGCTGTGAAGTTGCAGGGCAGCTTTGCCTTCCCCTAGTGCTATTATTCCAGCCCCTTGCTTGGAATTAGCAGCCTTCACTTAGTCTTTTTTGAGTGCAGATTCATATAATAATGGATTAAAAGGGCCCTATATTTAGGGAATGTGCAGGGCTAGTACCTGCCCCTTACAAGCCTGGGATATAGGTAGTCAACAACAAATCAGAGGGGCACTGAAAGAAAATAAATTATTTGGCTTTAATAAGGGTCCCCATATCTCAAATGAAACCTCATCTACTGAGAATGACTATTAGTGTCCTGTTAAGCCCCTTGGAAGCTAAAGGACAAGTCAGAATAGAAGCAAGAGTTAGAAATCACCCTCATCTCCCTGATCTCTCAAGGATTTTTTTTTTTTTTTGGGTAATAAATGAGAAATATTTGAAAGGGCAGATAGTTTTCCCACAGTGATAGTGAGACAGGCAAAGGACAGATCACACCTTGTTTACAACGGAAACATTTTTGAAATAAAACTGAGAAAGCTTTTTAAATTTAATTTCCTTAATGATACAGAGGTCTAATTCTGCGACTTGACAGATCTTCTCCCATAGAAATACGCCAGCATGTTTGACACAACACACGCTGAAACACAAAGACAGCAGAACACAGCCAGAATAAATGTCTATCTCGTCATACATCGTTCCATTGAAATTGGCTTGTCCTGGATGCTCAGTCACCAAATGCAAGAACAAAACAAGGACAAAATGCTGTTTCCATCTTTTCAGCTCCAGTAATCTGTGCTTGAGCTCCTTCCCAAGCCAAAGGCAGCACACACAAAACTGTTTAATAGTCCTTACTAGCTTTTTCTTCCACATATAGATGTAATTTTGTTTTTCTAAACTATATGTCTTAACTACTGCTGTACAAACGACCTCCACAGTTTGCATATTTTTTGGAAAACTGTCTTCTGATTTTGTACATCTGCTAGCTGAAAAAACAATCGGATTCCTCTTCAACTCTTCTAGTAAATATGAATCGCATTTTCCTAATCACTTTTTCATGTAGTTACCATCTTCATTGATTGCTTGCATGAGAACTTCCAGTCTATTTAATGCCCCATTATCCAGGAGCCATGCCAGACCTCTAGTTACCTCATTCCTGCTTTTCTGCACTGTTTCTAGTTTTTCTCTACCCCTTTTTCCACCAAAGCAATTAGAACTGTGCAAAGTCTCGAGACAAGGCTGTGCCATAGTGTCACACGCTGTTGCAGTGACATTTGCTGATCTTTTCCTATTCCATTCTTCCCTGTACTTAACATTTTGAACTGCTGGTTGGCACTGAGACGCTGTTTCTAGAAGACATACCTTTTCTGAATAGTAATAGCTAATTTCATCTCTGCCACTAATTTCATCTGCAAGTTTATTGCCCACTCACTTTGAATCACTAGAACCTCCTGTGACTCTTCTGCAGTCAATTTTAATTTTTGATTGCCTTGAATAATCAGCAAACGTTATCATCCTACTGTCCACCTTCTTTTCCCAAGCATTGATGTGTATGGTGCACAGCACAGGTACCAGTCCCTGAGCAGCTCCATCAACAGCAGATCCCCAACTTTAAAATCCGAATATTTGCTCTCTTTAAAAAGCCATTAGCTCATAGCGACATCATGCCTCTCATAACTTGATGGATTAGTTACTGTAAGAGCCTTTGGTAAGAAACCTCTAAGGCTTCTGAAACCCCAGATCAACAAGAGCACCCTTATACACATGTTTGCTCACTGCACTAACAGATTTGTAAAGCCTCCCTCTACAAAATCAGTGTTGACCCTTTCCTACATGGAAAGCACAAAACACGCTTAAATTTTCATGGAAATAATGAAATCGTGCAATAAAGCATTTTTAAATTGGTTCTGATCTGAAGAACTGCCTGTTAACCTGAGCATCAGTAAAATCAAGGTACTAAGTAGCTTGCTAAAGTGACACAAAAATCCGTTGACAGAGTCAAGCTTAATATAAACCTTTATTAACTTTTATTTACCTGCTTTAATCACAAGATTATGCTGCCTCCTATTTTTAGAGTGCTAAAATAGGATGTTCTTCTACTTCTGCAGAACTAAAACTTAAAAAACATTTTATTTGAGGTGAAACTACAACCATTTGAAGGCATTTATATTATTAAAACCCCTACCAATTAAAAAAGGCCCGAAACTGTCCTTCGGCAACACTAACTACACTTAATTATTACAGCTGCTGACATTCTACTCAATGCAAAACCTCCATAATCTTTAGAAACAAGGAAGATTACTGAATTTAGTGACTGTCTGTATTGCAAATGATGGGTTCCAAAACCCATCCTACTTATTTTTACCTTATTTTTACCTCAGCTCATTTACTGCCTGCAGATAATGATCCTCATCAAGCAACAGGAGTCAGGCAGTCAAGCTCAGAGAAGGGAAGAGGTAGGAGATGTCCTGCCCACCAGGCAAGGTGAACATGCCTGCATCACACTGCAGACTAAGCACTGCTCACTTTTCCAAAGGCAGAGGACAGGAATTTCTACCTAAGATCAGTGATTGAACATTAGAACATCAGAAATTGGTGAGATTCTTTCTTCAGTAGGGACCATATACGTCTCCTCACGCGAGCTCGAGTACTCCTGCACGCTCACCCATCGCTTGGCACAGGATGTCCACGTCCTTCTCCGCTTCGGCCAAAATCCGACGCTCAGGCTCCGCAGTGAAATATGGTGGTTCTTCAAGAATGGGGAAAAACAAACAAAAGCAAACAAATGTTTAAAAAAAAAAAAAAAAAAAAAAGCACAGTGGAATGAAAAATAGGTGTTGATTTAAAGAATTTCATATAATCTTTCCACAAGCATTGCATTTAAATACAGTGTATTACTAGCACAGCAGTTTCTTTCCCTTTGGGGGCTGCGTTGAGGGGTTTTTTTTTTTTTTTTAAGTAATAAAAGCAGCATTAAAAAGCCAACAATTATTTGCTATGATGAATATGAGTTCCAAAGAGAGTCAAGTCAACATCAGGTTAGATTTAGGACTTTGCACTGCAAATTAATACTCAGAGTAGGGGGCTAGTTTTCATTTTATAGGTTTGAATCATGGAATGTTTTAATTCTCGGTTCAGAAGAGCCTTCCCGAGAGGTTTATAAAGGCTTTTATTTACAACACAGGATTTTATAGGATAGTTCGCTTCAGTATCTAAACTAAACACCACCTCATGAAGGCATGAAGCATGTCAAATAAAGTGCCATAACATGTCAGAGAGCCTATATCAGAGGATAAGTGCAGCATAATTAAAAAAACCCTCCCCTCAACAGTTTTATTTCTTGAAAGCAAACAGATTTAATGCTTTAATTGAAGTTTAATTGAAGTAATAACCACAAAACCCTACACTTTATCATTAGGACTAAAGAAAAGATATTAGACGTTTAATTAAACAAAGACAAGATTCCAGAAACTGTAGAGCATGCTGTCATGTAACTCTTTCTTCTATGCAGCATAAAATTGAAGAGCATCATGTCAAAATCCCACAGGCATTAAGGTTGCAGTAATTATCACGGTAACTAAAAACTGTCGTAGTCTGTTCTATGCAATTAGCATCCGAGAACTGGTTTTAGAAGCCTTTTATTTGACTGTAACTACAGTTCTATCGCAGCCTAGGCAAACTGATCGCCAAGTTTTAAAAAAAATACAGACGAGGCAATAAAAGTGGCTTGTGAGAACACGTTGCTTGCACTTTCATCTTAAGGAATTCAAGTAGGTTGGGAAAAAAAAACAAAGCACTTAGAAAACTTTGGCAAGAGCCAAAGTCATCTAAGCTGATCATTTCCTCAAAGCTTTTCACCAATCACACGTGAAAACCAGATGTGCCGCTCGTATTTTTGATGGGGCATAACTTATTTCCACAAGTGAAAACAAAATCACATCAATTTATCCCGCAAATATCCTGTTATTTCTCCCGCTACGACCTGCAGTACGGCGAGTGTTGCTATCAGCATTTCACAGAGTGATTATATGATGTGCCAGGACCGCTGCTCACAGCAAGCCTTCCTGCTAACTACAATAAAATACTTGCTTGAGTGCACAGAACCGGGGTCCCGTTTGGGTTACGGTGGATATTACCATTCTGTATTCACTCCAAATAAAGTCAATCAATATTAGTCTTCAAAACCCTGTGCACAGGAGGAGGTGAGGCTGCAAACTAGCCTGGAATATGCATTTACCCAGGAAAACCAATAAAACAAGCTATGTGATTTATTATATTCTAATAATATACATGTGTTAACATTATCGATCCTCACTGCCTAAATATAAAGCCATTAATAAACATACATAATAAGAGGTGATTTATTGCATATGATCTCATGCATTAATCTAAACAACAAATTGAAAAGCTGAACATTTAATTGAAATTCACTGATGGAACACAGTGTTTGACATGTTTGATCATCTAAATTGCTGAGCCATCTGCAATCCATCTAAGTCCATGTCCAGGTACTGCTCATTTTCCCCTTCCGTGCCCTCCTCCAAGCCTTATCTCGATGCTTTCTTTGAGTTCCAATTCCCAGAATTTTATCTTTCTGGTTTTCAAGTTTCTAGCCTAATGTTTTTGCCTATCTATGTGCTCATCTGTTTGCCCTCTCTTAAAAGAAATGTTGAGCTTTTTGTTCTGGTTCAGTTTCTATGATAGTGAGGGGAAAGGTGACCAAAGAAGCAAAGCAGCATCCAGGCACGTGCCCCTACATCCAGGTCTTCTATCCTTGCACTTCTAGATAGGGATGTTTCTTCTCTGCTAGTTTTGTCTCATCACTGACCAGACTGAGCAGAAATGTCTAGGACCTGTAACTGGAGCCAACAGGACTCTGTGCTACCCACTTGTAAGAACAGCCAGGCATATGTTCTGCGTACGAGGGGTGTCCATAAAGAGCTAGAGACCTGTTGCAAGTGTGAAATTCCCGGGGCCTGAATTTGGGTGTTGTACAACACCTGGTGAATTATCTACTGGGAAGAGGCCACAGAAAACAGCAACATTTCTAGGGGTCAGACAGCATTCGGAAGGGACATGCTGGCTTGCTGTATCTATGACTAATGCATATTTATAAGGCTCGGTATAAGGATCACACAGTGTGAATTTGAACATTTATTGTTGTAGGCAGTAATCATGTGCTGGAATTTAAAATGCGTGGGGAAATTACAACGTCTCCCAAAGCATCCGACATGCCAGACACGAGCCCCTGGACAACAGCTATTTCAAGGAACGCCAGTCGTCTCCTGGTGGCGGGTCAAACATTTGATTTAAATTAGAGAATCGCATCGTTTGGAGGAGGAAGAGACCTATTACACCAAGTTCACCCTGCCAGCATGGAGTGTGCTGTGCAATGAGAGGGGTCACGCCTCGTATTAGACTGAAAGAAACAGATATTGTTTTGCTCAGCTATCGTCTTGGTGTTTGATGACCCCAACGAAAAGGTCAAGAACAAGCAAAAGGGAAAAAAAAAAAAAAAAAAAAAAAAAAAAAAGGAGTATTTGAATATAAATGCTTGCTTTTTACGGATGTTGAGGGTTTCGGGGGGATGCTGCACTGCAGACAACATTGCTAAAGCTGCCTCTCTGCAAAGCCCCTGGGAGCCTGCAAAATTTGATACCGTTCGAACTTCTCCCCCACACAGTTACATGGTCGCTGAGTTTAACATTCAAAAGATAGCAGTCAGCATCCATTACACATCCTTCAAGCCGCATTGGAGATGTGCGACCTAATCCCAGATACCTACATAAAAGTCAAGAGAGAACAGAGAGAGCCCCAGGGGCTCCTCCAAAGCTGAAATTCCTGCATCACTCAGAAATTCAGGCCTGCATATTTAAGAGGAAAACCGAGCCTGCAAGATGGAAGCCTTCCTCTGACATTAGCACAAGCCAAGTTATTTGGTGAAAATCACGTAAAGAAGGTGGAATGGAAAACTTGAGAGCCCCGTATAGGTACCAAGTCTGTAACTCCAGGCAGAAGATCTGTGCTGGGAGAGCGTGCACGGTGCACCCAGGTACACCACACTCCTTCAAGCAGGGTTTCTCTTTGCATGAGCATCAGGTTAAAACAGAAACAGATGAAAGGCTTCTCTCTGTCTCTTGTTTTTGAGCTTTGCACATTCTGAGTCATGGGAAAAGTCCTTCTTGCTTGGGAACAGCTGCTTTCAAAAACAGATGTGAATTATTGCACCTGGGAAGCTACGTGGTAGGTAGGACTGGCCTAGCCTGCTGTGTCCTGTGGTCTAAGGTCCTGCACCAGCCCAGGACATGCAGATCTGGCTGCAGAACTGAAAGAAGGGGCAACCACCAGCGCATGTTGTGGACAAAATAAATATTATTAAAGAGTTGGCCTATGAATCTCAGGTAACAAATGCAATCATCACAGAAAAATTCCCTCCTCCGCTTCCAAGACAGGATATATTGTGTTTTTGAGCATCTCTGATGGAGCCGTGAGGGCTCCTGTGTGCAGTTCAGTGCAAAGAATTGAAGGGGTTAGAAAGAGCTGAAAACTTTTTTTTTTTTTTTTTTTTTTTAATCTGCCATACAAACACTTAATGGAAATTCATGAACAAGGGCAAGGAGCAAAGAAGGCTCTTCTGCATCTCCACCCTTGCTCCTGGAGAAGCAGGGTGAAGGAGGAACAGCCCTACAGATGACCTCAGCTTGTGCCCAGGTCGGTCCTCCGTGCTAATGCTATTCCTGCTTCCGATGTGCTCCCGAATGCCCTGATGCCATGAAGCTGTATCCTTTGTACTTCATGAAAATCAGGACAGAGACACAGATCTACAAAGCTCATCTAATGCCCCATTTTCAGAAAGAAATACATCCAGCGGAGATGAAAAATGCTCGCTAGGAGACACTGAGATGAGAATAATACATCTATTAACGCTAATCAATGCTTCCAGGCACAAAACAGCACCAAAAAGAAGGGAAATCCTCTACTGTGCTTCTGCTTTCTGCCATCATATGATAATGATCATATGATTCCATCTCACTCTTTTGGATGTGCCAACAGGACCTCAACACAACACTCAGGTCTGTGTAACACATATAAGCCCATTCTATTTATGTGTTTTTTTCCCTCATTTTGTTCAGGTTTACTTTCAGACTTTAAAGAGCACTAAAGTTTTTCTGTACTACAATGGATTTGTTCTCTTGTGTGCCTAAAGTTCATAATTTTCTGTAGAACAATCACTTTAAAAAATGACTATTGCAAATTGTTGCTACAGTAACTTGCCCAACTGGTGTAGAAGAATTTGAGATTAGCTCCATTTTTAAGTTGGTTTGTTCATGATAAGGCTCCCCCCTAAACCACTTAATTTTCACCACCAGTTAGTGGTAAAACAAATGTGCTCTTATTTAATCTGCTAAAAAATCTTCCCTAAACTGTTACTCTGCCAACTAAGGAACACGCTACCCTTTAAAAATTTATAACAACTGCAAGTAATAAAACCAGAGTTTGGAACCACCTCAGTTTATCTTTCTCCCTGTCCATGCAGTACCACTCTGTTAGATATGCAGATTTGTCAAGTGTTAGGGTGATCTTAATTTACAAAACAAGCAATGTACTCTCAGGAATATTCAGAAGTAATATCAGAAATACTACTGCAGGCCACAAATAGGAATTTAAGCTGATCACACACACCTTTGTACTAAGCTCCATTGACTTCTAATAGAAGACTTGTCACCTTTTCAGCACAGTCTCAAGTTGTGTGACTTGGCTGAGAAAGAATTGAGATACTTGCTTAAAAAAAGGCTATTATGAATTCAATATTTGTGGTATCTTTGATGACTAATCTTTTTAGCACTACCCTTCTACCCTCTTAATAGCAAAATATTTTTTCCTATCAATGCACAAGAGCTCTTACTCCTATACTGCAGAGGGTCTTGGTTTGTCACAATCATTCTGCAAACAAATCTGATCTATTAACACAATTTCCTTTTTCTGTTAGTCAGGACTCCTTACCAAGCCCATACTATCCCATCCTCCCAAAGAAGCTCTGCTCCTTATCGGGTAAGATACACTGCCAACAACATGCACACACTGCAAATGTCTCATACGTGCAAATGGAAAAGCATCCTTGAATCTCTGTAAATACAACTCCAATAGGTTATGAGGGGTATATAACCCCCTCCTTTCCTTCCCCTTCAAAATTAGAAAAAATCTTTGAATTATTCCATCAGAAGAATAAGGAAACATGGTTTGAATCTCGCCTGCACTTTCTTCCAGAATCCCTCCTTTTGCTAATTAAACAACAGCCCGATCCATCTCAAAATCCTACATGCGAATAAAACTATGAATTAACCACGAATCCTTTGATTCAGCTTCCTGTTTAGAACGAGAGCTCCATTCTCCAGCTCAAGAAACTCATAAATAAAGAAACGTAGCAGCCTTCGCTGACACCTTGAGTAAACACCAGCACCTGAAGTGTCTTGTTCCATCAGAATGAAATAAAAGTAATTGGTAACCAATTTGTTTCTGCTCTCTTTCATCTGCGTGTTCATATCTACAGGCCTTTTCATAACTTCATTCCCTGACAGCCCCCTAAAACCGGCTAAGAAATACATAAAACATCTACAAATGAAAGAGCAGATAAGCTACTAAAGAAAGGCAACTTTGCTATTTTAGTATGATCCCCCAATGACTGTTTCTCATTTTTATTGTAGCTATATTTAAGAACATTTTTACATTAACCAAGAGGCTGCTTTAAGTATTGCGCTGGGCTGGGCCTGACAGCAAAGCACCAAAATTAAGCTAGTTACAATAAAATCTTATGAATAAGGAAGAGTTTAAAGCAAAACCATAAATAAGTGAAATCTGTCTCTGCTCCTTAAAGGGTAGGGAAGCAATGCTGTAATAATTCTAAGAAATGGAGTACAAAGGAAAAGACTGGAAGCAAACTAATAAACATAATAGAGACACAGTGCTACAAATGAAGCTGGAGCAGAGCTTTGCACAAAGAGGAGCTGTTTCCTCCCTTAACAAGAACTGCTTTATGGCAGAGTCTTAAAAACTGGATTTTCAGAGGCTAAAGGAACTTAGACACCCATGTGCTGAATTATCTTGGGAAACTGCTCCAGACATTCATGTTAATGACTTCTGATCAACATTAAGAGCTTGTATCATTATCAGAGCTATAACCGATCCAGGGCACCTACATGGTTACCGCTCTGACTATAACTTAAGACCTAGACTGACACAATCAGCACTGGCTTATCATTCTCTCTCTACTAAAATCCCTCACAGGCTTTAGATTGTGTCCATCTGTGTCACTGTATCAGGATACGACATGCACAGGAACTACTATTTTTTAAATTACAACCTCTCTAATACAGCTAAATTCCAGCATAGTGGAGAGGGTGGAAACATGCGGGTCCCTCCACAAAAATGGGCTGAAATGCCTCTTGAAAAATATTAAGTGCAAAGCCTCCCCGGTGGTCAAAGGTCCAGCACGTAGCACTGATGTTCATCTTAACTTCCTTCTCCCTCTTGCTGCTCCAGTAATGACACCTGCCTGCCTGTGTGCTCAGGAACGTCCTTGGCTCCCCAACCGGCTCTTGCAAAATACAACACACAAAAGTGCTCCTAAAAGGCTTCAGCTGGAAATGCAGGCACTTGACACATTAAAACTAGATGCGAGCAATCTGGGAGTTAATCAAGATTTAATGCAGCGAGAAGACAAGATGCAAACCGCCCAATAAGGATTTTACGACTGTATTTCCCCAATTTTTGATTAAATGCACAGTTTCACAGGGGATTCAGAATCATATCAGTGTTTAAAAAAAATCTATTTGATGAATTTATATTCATGGAGAAGAACAGCTGAATTAATTTGGGAGATAACCCCCTTTCACCTCTTTTATTCCATTCAGCGATGAAAGGTTCAAACGTAAGGTCGATAAAATATTAAAATTTTTTTTTCTATTGTACCTGAATCCAGAGCCTGTTTTACTAAAAAACAAACTGCCTTGAGAATTACCCATTATGGAAAGGAAGGCTTTCGCCCTGGCTGGTTCCTCCGTGCTGTCTCTCAGTGTTGCTTCACAGACGTACACCCCAGCATCCGCAGAGGTTGGGTGGGTGATAGTGAGACGTCTCCCAAAATGGCTAATTCCACTGGTTATTTTCATTCCATTTCTCTTCCAAGCAATGCTTAGTCTCTCAACAGGTCTTCCAGGGTTAAAACACAAAACAAAAAAAAACACAAAAACAAGAGAATATCCATTAGAAAGTGAACTTAGCTGCAGTTATATGCAATTGTATTACAAAACTCCTCTAACTCTTCCTGTGCCCCAATCATTAGACATTTAAGACGTAATTCTACATAAAAGTTCTACATACCAAGACCACAGACCACACAAATGCCATTATTCAAGCACAGCTAATTAATATAGCAATAGAGTTTAAGGATTAATAATTTGATTTCTCTAAGCAAAAGGACATAATGAGTAAATGCTGCTGAGGGAATCAACTGTGCAGGAAGTGCTTTCATTATAACTCAATTACCCAAACAATATTAACCATATCAAGAAAATCTCTGCCCTCAGAGGGGAAAGTAAATCTGTCGGTCTTCTTATCTGAAGACCTCAGCTATTCACTTCCCCTAGAATTCAATGCTCTTCCTACTAGATGGAAACTTAACCCTGCACGTGCTAGGAATGCTACAAAATGTAAGTTATAGTGCGTTATAGGCAGCTGAGCAATAATCAATGTAAACTGCATCTCTAATAAATTGCTCCATAGAGTAGAAAGAAGGAGGAGAGCCTTCCTAATTTATTTGCTAGGAAGTGCAGACTGTTACCTTAGGCAATATTACTTTCATGCCAATAGGCAATACAGTTGTAACATTATTAACCCTTAAGGTAATTATTGCTCCTAAGATAAAATCTGGTGATTAAACCATACTATCCTACTTTTCCTTACAGAGTGAGCAGCAGATCTAAGCAGCTCTATGTGTATTCTAACCCAGCCAGAAAAATCCGTCTGCTGAATTCAGCAATGTTGGACCAACATTCAAGAGCTCCTTCAAACGAGAAGCAAATTACACGCTGCATTCCGCTCCGCTCATTAAAATAATTAGGAAAGCATATTCCCACGTCCTTCCCAGCAAAGGACAGTGCATGAGGAGCAGGTCCTTGCAAGCGGCGCCGGTACCTGGCGCTGGCCACGCACTCCAGGGTGACGCCGCTGCCGCCGGCCACGACGCTCCTGTTCCGCGGAGGGACCACGATCGCGGCGGCCACCGCGGCCGACGCGGCGCCGGCACCTGCCAAGGCAGAAGAAACCTCGTGAAGACCCTGCAAATGACCATTCCGCAAAACGGCTTCAAAAGCAGCTGCAAAAGGCCCTCTAAAAAGTGTCAGTGAGGCTGTTTAATCTCATTACCCCCCAGGAAGGTCCTTTTGGGTGGTTTTCATGACGTTGCACAAACCCACTGCTTCTACACCCCCAGTTTGGTGCCACTCAAAACACGTAACTCACACGAACTGCTCCCAGATGGAGAACAGGGGCTATTCGCGAGCAGAAGGCAAATAAATTAAGCATCCTAAAGGTTTCCTATTGTGGAACGCTTTTATTTTTATCAAACGCTTGCTGACTTACATTTTTTAAGACCTTTTCATGTTTTGTTTAATCTTACCACTTCCAAACCATTTCAAAAGAGGCTGCCAATGCTCATGTTAGTTCTTTAAAAAGATTTTACCCACTAGGGAGCAAATAAGGAATTAACAGAGCAGCATATCACAGCAACTTCAATCCCCTGCTCTTATCAGCAAAGTAAATAACCCAAATCTGCTTCTCTTTTGTGAGGCATCATACTGTAAATAATTTAGCTTATGCAACAGTCAGCAGACACTTAAAAAATGGCTAAAAGGCTGCTTGTAAATTATCGCTGTATACATTTAATAACTGAATTAAAATACCCATGCATTCATGGGTACTTTGCTTCAAGCAATTCATTTGGGAAAGAAAAATTGGCTATTTTTTAACTTGAGTATGAGAGCAATAAAAATTTCTAAAGATAGAGAAGCCAATAAATGAAATACAGAAGAAAACATGAAAATAAATCTAAACAGATGCAAACTGAGCCAGCTCATCAAATGTTCTCCAAAAAGGAGGCGAACTCCATCATACCATGGGGAAGCAGAGTGGAAAAGGCCGGGTATGAACCCTGATGTCTCTCTTTTAAGATATTGCCTTAAAGAAGAGAAAACAGAAAGGCAGCTTGTGATTTATATGGCAACTGGCACACCAAAAGCCATCTGCCATTTCACCCAATGGCTGGTCAAAGATTCGCTCCTGGGGCTCCGATACTTTGCCAGGCTAGCTGAGGAAACAAACGTGTTTTGCAAAACAAATTTCTGAATTACAGAATGAAAAAAAAATTCACTTTGACAGCTTTTTGACTGACAGTGAACAATGCACCAATGATTTTAAAATTTTAAGAAAATCACCTACACACCTGACTAATTTCAAGCATGAGGATGTGTTCAAAGAAGTGCTGTGAATATCTCTTCGAGGAAACATGCTCTGTTGATCCAGCGCAAAAACAGAGTTCTTATTTGCAAAAATATAAATCCAATTTCTGCCTGACCTCAAAAACCTTTTTTTCTTTTCTTTTCTTTTTTCTTTTTTTTTTTTTTNTTTTTTTTTTTTTTTTTTTTTTTTGGTAGATTTAATCTCTGCTCAACAACATTCCTGGAAAAGGTATGACCAGGCAGCAAATCTTCTGACAATAGTATCCAGGACAGGAATTTCCCAGAGACTAATTGAAGAAAATTAATTAAAAACAAACCGCACTGCCAACCAGATGAGTTGTTTGCTACTGATGAGAAGGAAGGACCTCTGAGCTGTGGTTCTGCACCACCCTTCTGCCCACGGCCAAGGCTCCCAACAGGAAACATGGAAAGAGCAGCAAACAAGGCAAAAAAAGACAAAACAGGGCAAATTGGGCAATGGCCACTTCTTATCTGCATCAGTAGAAGAGGAAAACCACTTGTTCTGCTTATCAGAGCCCTGGAGAATGGCTCAACCACCCGGAAAAACAACCAAAGAACAGAGGCCGACTTTGCTGCAACCCCTAGGAGTTTGCCAGATGAAAAGGGCTCTTTGTGCACTAAACAGATAAGCACGGGAAGGAGAAGTGCACTTTGCTCTCCCTCCACCCAGGAAAACCCAAGAATGGGTCTGGGACTTTATTACTAATTGTAGCAAGCAGCGAAACAAAAGGCGACGCTCATTTTCCTTTCACGCAAGCCTTAAATCTGCTTTAAAAAGCCTTCTCATAAAGATCTTGAGTGAGGGAGTTAGTACAGATGTGGTACCGAGAGCTCATCCCAGCGCTTGGATTCTGTGTCCTATAGCTAGAAATGCGAGCTGCAGAAATAACAAGGATATATATATAAAACAACACAGCTTCCAAGCATTATCTAAACAGTTCCCAGGCAGCATTCATATTCCTATTTCCTATTCAAAAGCAGCCTAAGTTTCCATTTGCAGCACAAAGAAATCACTTGCCGTAATTCACTCCGGACCCAATCCTGCCAAGTGAACCTCAGCAAGGACATTCCCACGGCTCCCTTTGCAGAAGGGTATTTGCAGCTTTCCTTTGGGGCTGCTGAAAATATCGGAGGAGCAAATATTGTCCTGGTTTGGAGCAAAAATCTTAACGTATCATGGTTGTAATATGGGCTCGTATGTCCATCATATCCTTTCAAAATGTTATTTGCTTGTCACGGCCTCCATGCGCAGTGGGTCAGGCCACCTTTGTGCATTACTCACCGCATCCCCTATGGATGTGTCACAATATTGAAATCTTGCCGTCCCTCTAAATATAAATGTCCCTCGGGAGTGTGCAGAACCCCTGGTGATTCCGCACAAAGCCAGGATCTATTATGGGATGAGATAGGGACAAGGAGGATGTGGGCTGGCAACTCCTACGTGGTTCTGTGGGGTTTTCTCACCAGAGGATGCACAGGGTTGTGCAGCTCTGATTTTGGATCACCCTGAACTTCCCTCATTTCTTCCCTCCTGACTGACCTGGAATGAACCTAAGTGGCTCCCAGCGCTTTTTTCCTCCTGATTTTTTCCTAGATTTTTTTTTTCCTACTGATGAGCTGGAGATTTCTTAACCTGCTACTTAAATACAAGAATTACATTCACTGCCCTATCATCGCTGAAAAGACATAATTGGTGTTTTCATCTCTTTACATATATTACTATATAAGATGCATGAAGCTTTAAATACAATTTATACATTATAAAGATCACAGGCGTTGTCCAAGCCACTCAGGCACTGAATTTTTTCAGCAGAGACAAAATCTCACTCAGGTCCTATCACTGGAGATAGGAAAGGTGCTTTCTCCCATGAATGTATAAACCTTAGCTTCTTTCCCAGGTTTTAGATTATAGCATGTGATGTTTATCTACATCCCTGTTTGTGGTGCAGAATATGAAGAGCATTAGTTCACGGATGCTCAAACTCATCTTGGAGAGAGGCTGTGCAAGCCAGCCTTAATACAAGGTGGGAGAAGGTGTTTATCTTGAGAAACGTAGCAGTAACTTGGGCCCAGACTTGACAAAAATGACAAATCTTACTTTGGGGGCTGAGAATTTAAATTGCTTATGGATCCCAACCCACTGATGACACCTAATGCAAACAAGACCAGCCTAAGCAGGAGTAAGAACTGCCCAAATATGATTATTTGGGCAAGATCACTCTCATTTACTTATTCTGAGAAGAGCCTGCAATGTGATGCTGACTGCTGGACATCCCTTCCCTTAGCCTTAGTCTGCAATTACTTCTCAGTGCCCTGTCTTCAGCAAAGGAGGAAATCCCAGGAAGTATGCAAAAAGGGATTTACTTCTCTATGTCATGCAACACTGTGCAAAAAGATCACCGTTACGCTACCCACAAGCTAATGGAGAAATTGAATATTTCAGCAGAACTTCGGACCTTTTATAAGCTCCCCTGGAAGAAAAAGATTAGAAACTCTTCACTATAAATCTACACTTTCAGACTTGTGCACTATGCAGAAATTCCTATTCAATTATTATGCAAGATGCACACAATTGTTATTGTTACAAAATTATGGATACCCAAATTAGAAAAAAGAAAGTACAATGGGAAATAAGAGAAACAGTCCAACACAAATAGCAACAATATTTTGTTCACCATTATGGCATCAAGAATGTGCAATTTGAGACTATGTAATATAAAGTTTGAAAAAAAAAAGAGAAATAACATTCACATTGTGTCTCAATATGGCTCAAGGGGGAAAAAACAAGGACCTTTCAAATACAAACCACGCAATGAATACGTTTCACTTTTTGCACGTACAACCTGCAGATGTTTTGGATTATCACTTTATAACAAAATAATTGCCCTTTCCAGTACGTGTTACACAACAGAAACTGGATCTTGATCAACAGCCTAGCAAATCCTCACAACCACCTGGATGCCTAAGAGAAAATAATGGTGCCAGTAATGAAAAAAGCATATTTCTAAGGCATAAAATTCTATCCTAAAACATGATTTGTCTATTTGTTCCCTACTCATTAGGCTGTCTGTTAGATTGCAGAATGAATGAGTATTAATAAAAGTTCCTGTTTCATTTTTGTATAGAGTGACTCTGCTCATTCTCAAGAAAAGGTAAATAAATGATGTTCTTGAACATTATTATGTTTTGTACGGGACTCTACTCTGATTCCTGAATGTAAAGAAAAATAAGGGAGATTTTCCTGCGAGGATGGTTCAAGCCTTACTGTATTGAGCTCTCAATCTACCCTGATTTACTCCAGTAAATCTTTGGACGCTTCTTACTTCTTCTAAATGTACATGATAAACTTGTAAAAAGTTCTTTTATTGGTTGTGCTCATCTGCGTGACACTTCCATGAGATCCTGCAATGTCACAGTGGGAGGAATGGGAATCTCTGCAGGACACCCCTGCCGAAGAGAAGCAGGTCTGGATTTGAACCTCTTTTTGGGCTTCTTTTGCAGAACTGCCCTTTTGAGGTGACCTCTAGCTGGGGGGAATCCAGTACAGCCTCAGTATCCAGTACAGAATCCAGTAAAGCATCACGTTTGTTTGGTTTCAGGGAAAACAGCAAAGCTCCAAGTGGAGTATTTGGAGACAAGAGTATCTTATTTATGAAATAAAAGCAATCTAATGACACGGAGCTGGAGAATGAAGCATTATTACGGCTGTTCACTACCCCAGGATATCATAGGCCCCTCAAACATGTAGGTATTAAGAGAATGTCTGACC